ATGTGTATTTCACCCAACTTTTCAGGGCATTGGGAAGATGGTTGCGATGTTTGCCTGCAGACGGCGACAATTGTGGCAATATTTGTGCCTTATGAGCCATGCACTTTTCGTTCTGGCTGAAACAAACCCAAGTCAGTGCGAGCATAAGGAGTCCCACGGTCTCTACGATGCAAGAGAGACCATAGATGTCGCCAATGTGAAGGGTATGGGGCTGAAGTGGAACCTCGAGACCAGTCTGTCAGTAGTCGGTGTTAAGGTTGTAAATTTATACCAAGTGAATTTGACCATGCAGCTTCAGAAACACCCACTTTCGTTGGTAGAACTGACTTACATGTGTGTGACTGAAGTTGAATGCATCCTCAAACCTCCACCGAGAAATATCATATCATCTATGCCGAGTGAGATCACCTTTTCATCCTCCTGTCCTTTTAAGGATGTTACAATAGGTGAACGTTTTCTCTTTATAATAAGGACTATAGTTCAAGACCAAACCAAAAAGACAGAAGTCGCCCACACAGTTTACTATCCCGTCAACAAACAAAATTTAGACATTGTTGCTGGTGTCTGCGGGTTTCAGTACCCTCAACACCCGACGGGAATGACCAATATGACTTACTGCCCAGACTCCAAGATAGTCGTGTGTTCATCACAAGAGGCTCTTAGATCTGGGTTTGCTGTGGTGTTGCTTGCAGGGTTTGTGTGCATTAGGACATTATTTTCTTAGTGTGATTTTTGATTAGATAACAGTGTGGTTACTGAAGTCAACTCTGTGTCGATCGCAGAAGATTTTCTAAGAAGGAAATGTGCAAGCTCACAACTTGTGTCTGTGTTCCACCTCATTCTGGTGCCACCAGACAGAGTAAAGACTGGGAGTGATGTTTGGCACTTGTGCCAAAGTTAATGTACGAGATTGAATCAGCTAGAACTTTTCCTGGCGAAGACATTACGTCAGTTATGACGTAGGCTAATTGTTGCAGCCAAGAAAGATATTGTTACTCAGGGAAACTTCAACAGGGAGTTTGTGACGCTCTTTTAAATGCTACGGAAAAATATGTCTGGTGTAGCAACAATATAACAAGCATAATGTGAACATCCATTCTTTGGCGGGATATTTTAACGTTAGAATAAAAGAATGGCAAGTGGAAGCAGAAGGAATTATTATTACATGTAACAGTACTAGTCTATATATTTCTTTTTACATTTCTGTTTTGTTGTGACTGACTTTTATTATTTGTAATACACGAATGTTGCCGTTTTCATTAAGAATCCCCGATGACGCGTATTGATTTTACGACCAGATATTTGATGCACAGTATTAAGAAGATAATGGACGATGCTTTTATTAAATATATGTTATGTATATCCCCCCCCCCTCAAAGTGTGTGTATGGAAGCGTATGAATACGTGTATGAATAATGATATTGATTAACAATGAATAATAGGTATAATTTGACAAAAAGAGAGAAAAACCTCAGAAAAAAATGTGAAGATGTTGCGGAGAGAAGGTCTGGGTATATGAAAGCGTCTGTGGTTATTTTTTACGGCCATTCCGTTATTTGGCCATTGCTGCTAGCAGCTGTTTTAGTGCTAGTGCATCTTTCCGTTTTTATAAATAGGAACATAGCTTTCTTATCCCGCTTGCATTAAGGGGTGCATGGCGTTTTAGTATGGTAGCCATGAGAGTTATATAATAGGGTACATGTACATGCGTACATATTATCATATACACACGATCTAGTCTGTATCAGGACTATCATGTGTTGAAATAGACACTTGATCATTATACGGATTTTTTTTCATATGAGAACTATTATTGCACTTTGCTCGCTGCCAGAACATTATCTAAAACTAAAAGCATTATAGTATACCTGAAGTCTACGTTAGAACCCTTATTTTGATATATAAGGCATGTGATATCGAATACCATTTTGAAACTGTTGGATATCAGGTAACGGGCCTGTTGCCGGTTATAAAAAATGAAAAACTGACGATACGTGTAAAACTTTGAGGATTTGTGCACGAAAATATAGCTAGAAATAATGGTTAGAGTTTACGACTATATATATATAATATTCAAAGTCATAATTGTTCCGTACAAGAGCGGGGGGGGGGGGGTCAAATTACAAATGTGTACAAGCACGAAGGCGAAGACACACACACAAACACAGACACACACACACACACACAAAGTGATCTTTTACAATATTTATGTCCAGTAAATTACTCAATTTAGCAGTTGCATTGCTTTGCAAATTCTAGGTCTTGCCATATGTAAGACAGAATATTGATCGTCTGACCAGAGGCCAACATTATGCGTTAAATTGGTGATTTATGGCTAGCGTTCAACATGCGCGGTGTTTTCCACATTACCGATATTTAAGCATAATGCAATGATTGGGTGTTGATTTTAACAGCGAATTAAGAACAAATGTTCTCGTCAGTATTCTAGATTTTGTACTTTTTATCTAAAAAATACTTAAAGGAGCAGTTATCTAATAGGGGGAGCCGGAGTAAGTTGAACCTTTGGGTACGTTGGCCACTCGTCAATTTATGAAAAGATAAAGAATCTCAACATCAAATAATTACAAGAAAATGCGTAAAATACATTTATGACGTTTACATGAATTGCTATATCATAAACGAATAAGGTGCCAACTTGCCCCGACCCAGAGGCCAACTTGGCCTACCTGACGTCAGTATTTTTTTTTTTTTTTTTTCAAATTTTCAGTCATGTGGCATTACATTTGGAAAACAAGTACGTTGCATCTGTAGCTTAAGTCCTTGTTGCTCGGTCTAAAACTACCAGTTTTGGTGCTGTAACTTATTTTCATTTGGTTCCACAAGGCCAAAAGTGTCTAACTGGGCCAATTAGCCCCGGTCTGCCCAACTTTTGGCACTGGGTGATGATATGATTTTCTTTTATATCCAGTCTAACTTGCAACAGGTGCTACATGGTCTCTGACACGTAGAGGCTAAGTTTTCCAGGTACAGAGGAAAGAATCACACTAACTGCAATGGCAAAACACTAGCTCTACTGCATCACAGCTACTGCAATAAAATATACCTGGCAAGAAAAATGCAGTCTGTCATGAAAATTTACATTTCTAAGAATCAATGATTCATTATAAAAGGCAGTGGATTGATGGTTGAAACTGACATTAAATGTACATCTGTGTACATCAGAATGAAACACGTGCAAAACGATGTATTACCCGTAAGGATATTGATTTCATTGATTCCAAATAAATGTACATCTGCATGCCTGTTTGCTCGGTTTTGAATTCATAACACCATTCCGTTTTTATGCAAGTGTTTCTACGTTTACTTTAACGAATCATTTCATATTTAATAATTTATACGAACTGACGGACGTAAAGTCAAACAGTTATACAATTCACAATTATACAATTCACAAGTACTAAACTGAATGGTTAAAATTGATCAATATTGCAGCCGGTGAAGTGTGCCATTTACCCAGAGACGATTGATAATGAAATGGTGAAAATTTTATACATAAACTGACGACAAAAAAATCTTAAAATAAGACAAACCAGACAAGCTATTTGGTGCACACCCTCCACTCGTGTATATGTAGAGGGTAGGGTTAAAATTATAACACGTTAGATAATGCCGCAGAACTGAATGCATAATCATACTATGAATTGCTTACGGTATAAAAGTCATTTACATTTTTGTTCATATTTGCGATGTCTTTCTTAGTTTCTTAGGTACATATATTGATGAAAAAAAGACAATTGAAATCTAATGAATATTAAATGTCAAGCACACTGCTACTAAACCGGTGTTTTACGGTTGCAATCATAATTTATTGTTATTTCAACTTCAAAAAGACCAATAAATTATGATTGCAACCGTAAAACACCGCTAAAGTTCGAGTGTGCTTAACAATGAATATTCAGTTATTTCAACTGAAAGGGACATTTTACGAGCTACGCATTATCCAATGAAAGTCTTATACAGGGCAAGTTTATCACTCTAAACTTGATTTAATACATTTGTTATAGGTGGGAGGTATATACTTAAACAAGACTTGACAAGTGAAGTGTTGAGGCTGCTGTGGGGTCATTTGGTGGCAGAAAATGAGTCTTTTTTCTAGGCTCGGCAGGGGTACACCCGCCCTTATCACTTATATCTATTCTGTCTCTTAAAAATATCATTAGGAAATCTATTTTAGCCAAATAACTGTAAAACTACTCAAAAATTCATACTGTACATATGCAAATATATTATTATTATTATTATTATTATTATTATTATTACTCGTCACATATGTGGTAACTTTCTTACTTCTACAATGCATTGTATAAGATTTTTTTCATTTTCTTACTTACCTCTGTTTTCCAATTACTATTTTAGTTTGTTTTCCAATTACAATTTTAGTTTGTGTTACCTTCTCTGAAAGATGTTGTTCTAATTTTTCAAACCTATAAATGGTTCAATCCATTGACTTTATTTTTGTAATTGTATGTTTCCTTTTTGACGTGTCATCCTTTTTATCACTGTTAATCAACTCGAGCGGAAACTACATATACGAGACATGTGATTCGGACACACAACATGCACAGGGGAAGACTGAAGAGAAGAGTTTAACCTTTTTGTACTGGACTCGATTGTCATATGGCCTGTGATATTTATCTTGGACATAAGCAGTTATCGGGCATTCAAGGTGGAACAGGGTGAATCAACACGTTATCTTCACGATCCCTGCACGGCTCGTGTGCACGCTAAACTTTAGAAGGGAGATCTTTTCAACGCCCCTTTAAGTCCCGAGCGGGGAAGTATTTGTTTGCAGAAACAATCTGAAAAGGACCACTTGAGTTAGTAATTGATGTTTTTTACATCACAATAAGCATTGATCGAGCTTTACATTGCTGTCGGCCCGATTCGATTACATTTTTCCAATCATCTTGTCATTGAAATGAACGGCATTATTCATCCTGGTGGTATATTACCTGCTCTTTACCAATGATTTACTTACGATGAGTTTGTCGTACATTTTAATAATGAATCATTTTAAATATATTATCTTACTACTTTTATGTCCATGAAGCATGTTGTCGTGACGCATTTAACTGACAGCAGAGTTGTCGACGAAGGGTAGAAATCTGTAAATATACACTCGTTTTTTAAATCCCATTTCATGTCACTGGACTTAAGTTCACGACGGACCGTGCTCTTGTTTATTCGTGCCCGGTAACAGAGGCTTTGTAAACACCTGTCAAGGTGACCAAATTAGCCTTTTAAAGGGGCAAATTTGTAATATTTTGCACGACGTGATAAACAAAACAGTTTATTGTCCTCTGCAAGTGATAAAAAAGTATCACATAAAATAAACGTAAACAGTAAAGCCTGCTTTACCATAATTACTATACACTAATTTCTATTTTTCTGATTTTACATTTGAAGCATTTGAAGTCGAAAATTTTGCGTGATCTACAAAGGTTGCATTTGGATATGTCGGTAGTTTTACTGATTTAGAAGCCCATATTCCTTTGTAGCTAGGGAATAGTCCAATTTCGCCGGTCTTTAGAGATTTAGCATTTGAATAACCATTGTGATTGTCTATTGCAGAATACACTAAGTCGCCTGGCTCAAGCTTTAATTCACCTGAAAGACAGAAAAGAAATCATTAAAATATTTTATCTAACAACCTCAGCGAGAAAAAAGATATGTGAAAAGTATATTATTGTTTTATCTAACTGTATGTAGATTTGTATTTTCTGTCAGTAACATTGTATTGTGCTTCTTTTTGTTAGAGAGAGAGAGAGAAAGAGAGAGAGAGAGAGAGAGAGAGAGTCAGAGAGAGAATGAAAGAAAGAGATTGAAAGCTAACTTCTATTTACCATTCCCGTCTTTCAGAGGAATATGGGCCAGAAGAATTTCCCTTAGTTGGTGACTTCCGCCTCCAAAATACCATGTGTCGTCCAGCGACCGATACTGGGCGGAGGCATCAGTGTGATGTGTCTGCATTAATTCGTATGCAAGCCTGCAAACCTAAATTGTTTTCAAAACCTTACGTTGAAAGAAATCATATAAAAACTTAACACCGATAAAAAACGCTTTTTATAATTTAATATGCAATATTTATCCTATTAGATCTTTAAATAAGATTAAATTAGTTTCAATAAGAACCATGTTGTTTATTTTGGTAGACAAAACACCAAATTAACAAATGGCGAGAGATTTTACTCTGAAACTTCGGTCGACAATATAAGTGTTAGCAATCAAATGAGCTGGGCATTTCAAGATTTCTGGTATCAATCACTCAGAAAGAAATTTATTCACCTGAGATGAGAAGGTGCAAACCAGAAAGTTGGTTCGCGACAAGAAATATGTGTCCATTATAATACCGAGTAGCGACGCCTCACTGTATCGCGTTTCTTCGCTTGCAGACTTTGATGTAGAGAGATCATTTAAGAATCTGTACTGAGGATATCTGTGAATGAAAAACAGTGAATGCACATCAGTGCTAGCTCTGTTTTCGTCTTTCATTTACTGTGCAATAGGTGTTTATGTCTGGCAAACTATTTCTTCTCAGTTATATCTTCTAGGTGTTGTTGAAGGTTTGATCTTTCCCCTTTACTCGTAGAATAACGTATGTGATATTATGAACATTTAAATCAATCAATCAATCAAAGAATTCGTTTATTTATTTCGATCATAACTGCTCTAATATAATAAGATATTGCCATTATAGAAATAACGCGCTCACTTTCTTCTGGCTTCTGCTACCACATCAGGGTCGTCTGTTGCGAGGTAAACACGAGGTAGATGGGCTGGCCTTGAAAATTGAGTCATCTGCTGATAGTCCTCTACAAACGACATGTATTCGTCTAATTCATGTCTTGTGGCCTCCTTGGTAGTTATTTTGTCGGTCCTTCTGATATGGACACTACAAGAAAAGGTGTTCGTTATCTTCGACTGACTCTAACTGGGGCAATGTGGGTGAGGGGGGGGGGCAAACATTTTCATGCTCCATGAATTATTATTATTATTATTATTATTATTGGTTTTCATCGCCCAAAAATTGGATTCTGAAATGACATTTGCTGGATTTTTAGATGTTTCATTTTTCACAACATAATATTCTCTAGCGATAGATTTGTCCAGGCATCCAGACATCCCGTGTGCTTTTTTATACACTTACCCTACAACAATACCATGGAAATTCAGTTTCCGAGCAGCACCTGATATGTAGTTTCTGGTTTTAGGCTGCAAACGAAAAAGATATCGAGCCAACTGTCCCACCCACCATACTGCTGGGTTACCATGCACAAGACGTAAATCACGTAAAATGTCTTCCGGTACGGCGAGGGGTAACGACCGCGGTAACGGTTTCACGATGTCAAGGATCGGTAGGTCAATGACCTGTGTGTCATTTCTGTGGTTGGTACCTAAAACAAAAGCGAGTAAATTATATATCAAAAAGATTTTCACCGTGATATCCATTTTCTGTGTGTGTGATAAATAACAAACCTAGTTATCTCTGACTGTTTCACCCTATAAATTTATTGCATAACCGTGCATTTCTGCATGACTAAAGCGGCTTTTTGTAAAAACCGACCATAATTCTAGTACTGTAGTATGTGCTACTTTTAAATGCATATACATACTTCTGTAGGATTTCAAGCTTTTAGTAAGTAAGTATGGAATAAAATAAGCAAGTACGTAAGCAAATATATATATATATATATATAGAGAGAGAGAGAGAGAGAGAGAGAGAGAGAGAGAGAGATACCTCCCCACTTCGCCCTGCTTGAGCCAGAATCATCCGTGCAGGTATTGCTGAGCGGCCTGAACACTGTCTCCCAGCCGTCACTGGCGTATCTCCACCCCTTGCTGTTCAGAATTAATGTCCTCTCCGTCTCGTAGGCCGTGGCCAAGCAGTAAACCAAATGGTGCATCTGACAGCCAAACCCACACTCCTTATCCAGGGTGCAAACTATCTTTTTGGCTTTTGCGCAGTCTTCTGGGTTCTGGAAAATATGTTTTTTTTTTCTTTTTTGATTTTTTATTTATTTTTTTTATTTCCAGACTCATTACTCGTAGAAATGAATCTCCCATCACTATGAGGGCACTTTTAAATCATATAATTTGTTTGACAAAACTGTTTGCTTCGGAAATTGCCCTTCATCTCCAATTTTATCGAGAGAAATTGTCAAGAAACTATTTACTTTTTATCATCATTATGCAAGAGGCAACAACAAACTTATTCCTCAGTAAATCTTATTCCTCAGTAAATATGTATTGAAACAATTAAGTTCTTATTCTAAAAAAGAAAAAAGCGCACCTGTAAAAACTGCAGTCGTCTTTGAACTAAAGCACCAAGATCACGAGATGTTTTTTGCCGCCAAGTGTGAAACCCATCACTTTCCTGCAGTTTTTTCATTCCCGTCACCATGTGACTGGAAATAAGAATCATCAGTTTATTACGTGATACTAGTTGACAATTATTAAACCAATTCATGTCAATCATTTTAACCTGACCAAAAGACTAAACATATATTTCCGTGAAAGGGGCTGATTAAAACAAGATGCAAGAAAATCGCCATGTATATACATGTATACACTTCAAAAGAGGATAACTTTCAGGCTTAATGACCATTCTGTTATTATTAGACCTATCAGCGGCCTTCAACACGTATGATCTCGAATCAAGTCTATCTTTTTCGATGACTATGTCGGTATCAAGGACTCTGCGATCCGTCGCTTGTGCTTTTATCTTACAGGACGATCCAGACAGGTTTATGTCGATGAATACACTCAAACATATTATAACTAGCTTTTGGTCAACCGCAAGGTAGCGTTCTTTCGACCGCTAGCATCTTACCAATTCATTTACGATACCACGGAATTGGCTATTATAGCTTTGAGGACGATACACAGAAATACATCTGATGCAATATAGAGAACCCTGGGGAATCTAATAAAAAAACTTTGTAAGTGTATCGTTATTCTGCAAAAGGTGGCTGATAAGAAAAACATCTAAAATGAAAGATAAAAAGTCTGAGCTTGTAGTTACATGTATATCCCAGCCATTATTCATTACCCTTTTCTTCAAATTCTTAGTCTAGTTTATGATGATTATTATAAGATGATTGATGTGGGACTAAATTACCGAAGCGATAAGTTTTTTGCAATCTTTCAACCAATACTTGCAATCAGCAGTTGAACTTTTAATTGAGAACTGTGGTACTTGCGTCCTATAACCCAAGGGGACAACTCCAGGCCTTATAAACGGATTAGGCGTTTACTAACACTACCCGCATATCTTTTAGCACAGCTGCACTAACACCCATATATTAACCACATAACCCACGAATTAACCAGCACACCGTAAAAGTATTTACCACTACCAGAGCGGATGAATGTTAGTGTTAGGAATCGCTCTGGTAGTGGTAAATACTTTTACGATATGTTGGTTAATTCGTGGATTTTGTGGTTAATATGGGCGTTAGTGCTAAAAGATCTTTGGGTAGTGCTTAATCCGTTTATAAGGCCTGGACTCAACAGGTCCAAAAGAATTGAAAAAGTTACCAATTAAAATTCGCTCAACTAAGTCAGCTGGTCGCTATAAGATCGAGTTAAATCATTTTAGTTGAAACATTTATATTTATATTTGAGGACATATTTCGTAATTGATTACACATATGAAAAAAAAATGCTTTTTAAAAATCCAGAATCACGTTTATTTCACTATTCTAAATATTGTACATGTATATCTTAATGATTTACATGCACTTTTAAGTATTGTCTATGTAAAGTCTACTGAACATTTTGATTGAATTTAGATTTCAAATGAATGAATAAAAAACGTAAGCACATGTATCATTGTTGTTGCTATTTTGCATTATACAGCGTGAAGAGTGTCCGAAATACCTTAACTGTTCTCTTCCCTCCCGTAATACGTCATAAAGGTGCCCTTGGATTGAGGTCTTATCTTCATCCTTTTCTATTAATCGATTTATGAGGTTAAGTTTTGCGGTCAGGTATTCGTGTAAAGTGTCCACGCTGCTGCTCATCACCCGTACCATTTGGGTGTATTGGACACTTGGACTGCCGTCGGAATGCAAAATATTCACCGCTCCGTTAACGTTGCTGTAGAGTAAAAACTAGTCATTATGCACTCACTGTAAATATAGAAACACATCATAACTGAGAATACTATGTTGTTGCTTTTTGAATAACCAGATCCATAGTAATATTTAGAAAAAAATACCTAAAACATACTTTAAAATATACTTTAATTGTTGTTTTATCTTTATTCCCGCACCGATTTCATTAATCACTTTACAAGCCACACGTGTCGTGACTACAATCTTGTGTCTGTCACGACGAATAGCTTTACTTTTCACAAGAAACCACGACGTGGAGACAAGACGCACCCTTCAAAAAAATCCTCCTCTACCCGGGGCAATATTTCAAGGTAAGGATCTCTCCTTTGCGGCGTCATAGCCAGGTAGCCCATCAGCAGCAACCACACACAGCCAAACCCAAGTAAAATCGAGCCCAAAGTTCGCAACAAGACCCTCTGCATACCGATTCACTGTTAGTGTCTCTGTAAGGGGATAATACATGTATAGTGCAATGGATATTATTGGCTATTAACCTTATTATGTACAATAAAAAGATTGCAGGTAGTTAGGTACATACATTATACCATTGACTTTATGTCGGGTAAAAGTAACGTTCTTTTACAATAAACTTGTATCTCTATGATTTATGTCAGTCCAGGATTTGTTCATTCATTTTCATGTTCTGTCATTAATGATTAAAACTCGACACTCTTAAGCTTTCTTCTATTACTGTCTCTTTATAATCATTTCATTTATTTCAACATTTATTTATTCAATTTTTGTGACAGTTTCAGAACCATCGAGTTTATTTTTAATTTTCGGTATTTTATTGATGTATACAAAGACCTTGAACTCATTTAAGTCTACATATACCTGCCAAGGACTAAATCAATTCAAGATCTGCTAAAACAAACTAACCAAAGAAGCATGAATAAAGTAATCGGTGCAAGGAGATGGAATTGGATTGGCCATGTACTGAGAAAGGGACGCAGGAAAAGAGGCAGATCTAAGACCACGTGGAAAAGGACTGTCGAGGCAGAGCTAAAACAACTGGGAGAAAGCTGGGAATCATCCAAAGCCCCTGACAGAGAGCAACCTGGTAGCCAAGACCTGGTAACCAAGACGTGGCTACAGTTTTTTCATAGATTTGATATTCTTAACAAGAGTGTTGTACGGCCTCGTTGGTTGTACGGTCTTTGGTGGTGGGGCGAAAAGTAATTGATTATGGTATCGGTTTTTGACTAGCTAGTGTAATCACTTATTTGAACAAGAAATGCTCCGGAAAATTTGCAATCTGTCTCTTCATAAAATGAACAAGAACTCTCATCCAAGAACTGTTCCTTCTTATCGCAACATTAATACGTCACCGTAATAAAACAATCCCGCCAAATAGTCAAGTAGGAAGCGACGGCATAAATAAACAGTGTGTTTCTTACGTTTAATATGTGCCTAGACGTTCAAAATAAGACAAAACTATTTTCACCTCGAGCTTTCACCTGGTAACCAAGACGTGGCTACAGTTTTTTCATAGATTTGATATTCTTAACAAGAGTGTTGTACGGCCTCGTTGTTGACTTATAGCAGCGTTTTTCAGGTAAAAGTTTCGTATTTAGTTTCGGATTAAATTGATTCACAGGCGCAGCTATTAATAGTATTCTTACAGCATTACATAGAAAAACCACAACACGTCACATAAGTTATATTAAAAGGTGTGATGTACATTTCATTAGCAAAAACGGGAAGTGGCAATATTTTATTTAATGATTTCCTGTCTATTTTTATCCGAACCTGTGATCAGGAAACTTAACTCACGATTGACAAGTGTAAACAAGCTACCTGTGTGTTCTCGTTAAAGCGAAACACATTTTGTTGCAGAATTGCCCATTTGAGACAGACTTGATATTTGAATGGTCATCGAAAATTTGATGATTGATTTTAAGAAAACACTCACTTGTTAGAGTAATAACCATGACTGTATATTTTATATGTTAGGTAAATAACTGAACACCGCTGTCATAAAAAAGAAAAGACCTACACAGACCTCTCTTCAGGAACACGTTTCATTACATGACCTCTAGGTACGTCTGAACCGAGCCCAAGGAAACCAACTATTTCCACGGGTGAAATGGCAAAGTGCCCATCTTTTGTGATACAAGGATTGTAATTTAAGGATCATCAAATGGCGATAATAGGTCACCTTAGGTACACAAAAACTAAATGGGTAAACAGACGCACTTGGATTGCATGCACAAAATCTGGTGAACATTTAAATCGTGAATTTGCCTGAGTGCACCTGCAGCATGCCCATACTTAAGCGACAGCGCTAGCTATTTAAGACTGACAATAATTTAACCTAACTCTGACGTTATCCGATGCCATCTCGCGGTCCCATGTAAAACAAGTAAGCATTAACACGTCAACAGAGGTGAATCGAACGGATCTAACCTCCCCCCCCCCCCCAACACACACACACAATCACTCGGGTCTAGTCAGGCATGCTTGCATAATTTGTCTCCACACTCGAGAACAGCACAGGGAATGCCGTTAAGGTACCTTGATGAACGTAAATTGCTATACAAGTACATAGTGTGGTGTCAGTTTCAGTGTCATGCCAAAACCACACCTTACTGTAAAGAATACTTAACGCTTCTCAAGTTTTAAAATATGTGGTTGTTAAGGTCGGTAGGTTCTTTTTTTAGTGGCTGTGTTAATGTGGAAAAAACAAAGAAAGAGAAGAAGTGATGTAGATAGAGACATCAATGCTTGTTACGGCTGTTTGGCTTTTTATATAGATCGGCAACAACCATAATCATGAATAAAGTATTAACCCATGAGAGATACTTTTTTGATACTTTAAATATTAAAATAACTGGTACGATGTCAAAAGCAAACTCGTGGTGTTAAGGTTCATTTGTACATAGGCCTAATTTTACAATCTTTAGATTTAGGCCTACTATTTTAGTATGTTCATTTTCTTGTGAAAAATTAATGTACCTCCTTTCTGAATAAGAAAAAACAGATCAACGCTGTAATATATGATTAAGATATACATTGATAACATACGTGTAAATTTGCTTACTTGTATTCCGAGACAGGAATTAATCGTCACCGTCGAATCTTTTATAAATGTCTTTATAATCTGTGCCTCTTAACAAGTTCGTTTCGCTCGTTTAAATGAATAAGATCGGCGTTATCAGGACCAAAAAAGCTCCCCGCTGTACCGCCGAGGCGGATATACATATTTAAAACGTAAGTGGAGGAGGAGGGGGATGTTTCCTGATTAATTCAAGCGTGTTCTAATTGGTGGCGGAATATAGTGACCCGAGAAAACAATTCAACATGTGGACAGCTCGTGATATGAATATGCAAATTTTATGAAACACCAAATCAAATGCGAGCTAGTATAAATAGCAGGTGATTTTCAAGAACCCAATAAAGTTCATGGACTAGGCTCGGCGTCAGACGCACAGTGAAAAAATGTTTTATTGAGGCGGCAAGGGGAACTGAGAATGGAAATCACTAAACCAGGTAAAACGAATATCAGCTTCGTATTTTCTACAGAAGAATCAATTTAATATTGAATATAACATTTCATAGCCTCGTCGCCAGATGAAAACAGATTGAGTTGCATAATCAAATGTTGAAAACGAATGTATTCGGGGACCCGGAAGACGGGATAAGTCTTGTAAGGGTGTACTAGATCTTGACAGCCTATATTTTACCCTACAAATCCTAGCTGCGTTCTCCGTTTTAAGATTTGTCAGTTTTACCCCTTCAAACGCGAAAACTGATGGTTCTAAACACATTTGTCAGATAAAAAATTTAAACCTATGACTTTCCATAACAAAAACATTATTCATTTATTTATTTTGAAAAGAAACTCGGTAGGCTACAAAGTTTTTCACTAACCCTGTCGTTACTTGAATTTACAAAAAAAGGGACTGCCAAGGGAAGATCCAGAGCAGACAAAATACTACTAAAACGTACAATTGTAATTTTTAATTAAAACGCGCTAACGCATTTGACCTCAAAATATGCTCATTTTAACACTTATTTTCTTTTTAAGTTTTGTACCAGGCTTCAATTTATCTACGTGTGATAAGAAGAAAAAGCTGAAAAAGCAAGAGATAGATCACAAGAGCTAAAAACTTATTCTCCAGAGGCAAACCCCCAATTATCAAGCTAAATTTTTTAAAGTTACATATATTCAAACGGAATATTTTCATTTGTAGTGGGTGGATAAAGGTGTTTTTCAGACAACATAGCAGCATAGCATTAGTATTAGAAGAAGAGACATAAATAGACGAGTAAATGACATTAAGACCATCAATTTTCTGGCCACGTGTCCGCAACGTCGGTGTTATCAAAGTGTCAAACTGTACAACTGTTAAGAAGTCGTAAAATTGATGTCATACAAACCGATAATTTTTCTTCTTTTTGTCGAGAACGTTACCCTAAGGCGCAGTATTACGCGATAACGTCAAGGTACAGTGTATGATGAGAATGATAAATTAGATAAAAAGAGAGTAGCAATTATACAAATAGACGTCCAATACAAACTAAACCAAGATTTAATGAGAAGGAGGTAAATATATTGTCATTTTTCCCGCTATGGAAATATTTTGTAGCACTAATGTGTACTATCAAATTGAAGAAAATATGTCCTAATTAAAAAAAGAACTTCTTTATTTTTCACGGGCATTTTCTTCAGTCATAAGAGTGTAGATATATGACTGTATTTACTGCTGAAAGGCGGCACCCTCTACCAGGGTTTTGTCATATATTCCAGGTTGATTTTTTTTACCAGTTTTTGACAGTTTTTGTACATCGAGAATTTGGGTATGGAATTGACGTTATCACTCAGGTGACCTTGAGTAAAGAATAGGGGAATAAACACTTCTGAGAGGATGCTGAATCAGACGTCTCTTATGCATATTTAATGCTTGACTAATTGATGGAAACTCAAACAATTTCGTTCTGAAAATGAACTTATATGGCATCGTCGCTCCAGATAAAAAGCTTCGTTTAACATGAATGTGCTTTATAGCCATAGTGAAGCCTTTAAGTGATAATAGAATACTTGTTTCACAGTTCTTTGTCCTTATTTCAGTATGTAGGTGTCTGAAACTAGCAGTAAACCCACTGTATTACGCCTTCATTGTGCCATGTGTCCCGGAATTCACAAATTGTCCTTTTGTGCAAAATACATGTATAATTTGAACTTAACTAGTTAGTGGTTATACCAACAAAACTGTGTGGTTTTCAGTAGTTAAGAATATCCGTGAAAAATAGCATGTACTGAAAAGAGTGGTCCCTAATAATTAAAATAAAAAAAAATAAAAAAAAAAAACAGGAGGAAACAAAAGTGTGTAGCGTAGCCGAGATTGATAACAATGGCTAGGAATGAACAAAGAAACAAAGCTTAGCGGAAATTGCATGAAATAAATACATTAAGAACATGTGTCATATTTCACAAGCCTTTTTCAGATCCAGGGATAGCTATATGATGTCACTGGACATCTATATTAAATGGAATTTAAGGCACGATGGGTGTCCGGCGGTTTTTCCATCGTTTGTAGACGTCATTGAGTCCATTTCCATTTTAATTGACCCATTATATGCACATCAAGTTGACTGCCTCACTGAACGTTTAACCCTGTTTACCAAACTTTATTTAGCCCCGCCTTCTTGTTACCTCCCCCAAGGAGGTTATGTTTTTGGTTCCGATAGTTTGTCTGTCTGTCTATCTGTCTGTCTGTCTGTCTGTTAGCAACATTACAGAAAAAGTTATGGACCGATTTTGATGAAATTTCCAGGAACTGTCAGATGTGGGCCAAGGAACAGATGATAAGTTTTTTGGTGGTAATCAGGATCAATAATCAATCAATAATCAATAATAAAAAATAAAAAAACTGAATCATTATTGAATGAAAATTTAGGGGTGAAACGGCATTGGGTGGAGACTTTGCTGTCTTGGCGGAGGTCTGCGCTCTCGGAGTGCTTTTCTAGTTTCGGATACGATTTTCATTTGTTGTTAAAAAAAATAAAGATGCCCATTCTGACGCAATTCCTTAAAAATCTTTATCACGTGTTATTTTGAAATTGGAAGAAAAAAGTATTACTTCCTCCTTCAATAAGAAAAAAATTTGAAAATGTTTTTCTGTAATATTCCGGTGTCTGTCTTGAGCATCTTCATCAGCCAAACAAGTTCTATATTTAGCTGTTTATTGAATAAAAGAAAACTACTACTTTATTTTTATAACATAACACAGCTGATGAAATTCTTCTCTGACTTATAATTAAATTTGGAAGGCATTTATGACATATGAAGTCTGACAGGTGCATAGTGTTGTAGTTTAAGCATGATCAATGGCAGTGCAAAGATGAGACGTGCTTGTCTTTCGTTCATATTTCCTATAGAGTCAATCCGCTAGACGCAGTAATTGAAGTAGGCACAACAGCGATAACCTGAATCCTAGAGCAAAGCCCTAAAACATTATATAATACTACAAGTGAAGCGTTTACAGTCTTACAATAATGTTTCAGTTGCTCTCTCTTACAGGTGCACCAAAAGTGTTCTCAACACAAAGGCAGGCAGGAATGCGTACGCCTCTGGTAAGATAATAGACTGACCGACTTTCCCACCTGTTTGCTCCCTTTCTCACCTGGACAACCTTGGGTTTCCAAGGACACTGAAAACTCACCTTTCTTCTACCAGGCATGCTGATAGTAGAGAGGTGATTTTCTAGTGTCCTCTGAATCTCAGGGTGACGGAGAACCACAAGTTATTAACTAAGACAAAGTAGCTTTCAGAACTCATCCCCTCCATCCTTTATAGGCTTGGTCAGAAACTGTGACCCCAAGAAGAACTAGTGATAAATACATGTAGTACTTAGTATAATGAATGGCATTTCGTTAATATTTATTTTTGTCATCAGTTGATGATGGAATGCATTTCCTGCACACAATCTTAACAACTTTTTCCTTGATGTATTCATATAATGCCATCTTCAGCATTCATCATATTCACCGGCTTTCATCAACATCGTTAACTGTCATCCTCAGCTACGCGCTGAATTCGTCTTGCCAAACAAGAGGAAATGTTTTAGTGAATTTCTTCAACATTTCCTCGAAGTAACCAACGTTGAGGGCTAAACATATAGTAGAAATGATCGTTTATCATTCACTTGAACTATGACCCTTAATAATTCATTCGAATTCCTTTATAAATCAACAGACAGCTTTTTAACTCCCGAAATAAATAGAAATATCTTATGTGTGCTTGAGTAAGTTTTAAAAAGGAAATGAATCAATCCCTGTGCAAAAGTTGTCCAGCTTTGTTTGCATAAAATTTCTTAGAAGACATTAAAGACGGATGCGATAACTGTGAAAACTATATCTATTTCTAGACTTGCGCTCTAATTTTGACCGCACTCCTTGTAACCAGCCTTACCATCCACAGGCTGTCCACGCTGTGGCTACTGGCGGGCAGATTTCACCAAATTTCTTTCGTGGAAAGGTAAAACTACAGTATAAAGACCTATAAAATACAATGTTCATCGGACATGCATATTCCAATACAATTACATTTTTTAACCGGATATAGTTTCTATTTTGCTTTTCATTTTTTCCATATCTATTCGATTATTCAGGATATTAGTAATTACTATCGTTTTCAACAAACATTTTTGTCCTATCTTTACGAACAATTGCAAGATCATTCTGTGCTACAAGATTTGAATGAACCTTATAGCAAATACCGGTATCTAGGATTACGGTGTTGCACACGTAAAATGTCAAAGACAATGGAATGCTGCTAAAGTGAACAAATACTGCCTTTTTCAGAACATATGCGACTGCATTACTTCTCAGCGTTCCTGAAATTTTTTGTTTAGTAATGTCTCTCTGGCACATAAGTGTCAGCAAATTCAAGAACAAAAATGCATGGCCAAGCGGATTTCAAGTATTTAAGGTAAACTATGCATATTAATTAGCAAAGCGAGAAATTGTTCATTAAGGTGAAGAATTACATGTACATCGACAGTACCAGCACTTTGTCAACGTGACTCCTTGAATAATAAAAGTGTGAATTATGTCAATATGAACAATTTGCTTTTTTTTCCAGTGTTTCTTTGTGGCCGGGACAGAGGTTATTGTCCAGTTCTTACTCCTAGTGGAGATTTTCCCGAACTTTCCACCGCACGTTCTCCTACTGTTGCCAAATATTTTTCAAACTGTCGCACTTGGTAACGTTGGTGAAGATGGACTGAAGGCATCTCAGAATCACAAATTTCGAAGACTAAGGCCAACCCTGAAAGTTCATAAAATAAGATACATTGCATTATCGTTTGTACGATGCGTCAACAGGTTGATCCACGTCCTTACCTCGTCTATAAATTCATATTTCCACTCTGGAGCTAAAATGATAATCGTTGCCATTGTCTTGACAACGGTTGCTAAATTGGTAGCATTGCCATGGCAACAAACTGCAGCATTTGTGGTGGGCATTTTGGTAAATGCCATTATATGGCAACATGAACATCCTAGCAAGTCTGCGGACACAGATGTCGGATACACTAACACCGCAAAGTGGGAAAAATCCTTTTTCCAAAGTTTTTTCAAATTAATTGTCATTATGTTACAGTACAATATAGTAAGCAAAGATGCTCCTCTTTGGAATAATGGTATCGATTCTAGCACGCTGTCGCTGTTGTTCGTTCAACTAACAAGTGCACTGGCCGCGTATCTGGTATTCATACTTTGTGCCAAAATCTCTCAGGAAGATCACATCTTAAAATTGAGTTCCATAATAGAAATGATCATATCAGGCGGTTATTGTACGTTCTGGTGTGTTGCTGGTGGTCAGGAATTCTGCATAAAGGGATCCTACGATGCAACAGCTTACATTATATGCATAGTTATTTGGATCATAACACTCGTTCAGATGCTTAAATATACCAAATCGGTAAATGTTTTGCAGCGTCCTCTTTACCAAATTTTCAAAACTCCAACATTTAACAGCGTCTTTCTAACACAGTTTATTAATGTCAATCAACAGCACCCAGATATAGTTACGTCCAAAACAACAGCGAATTTACAGCACGCAGACTCCAAGAGTACAGTTTTCATTTGTACCACTATGTTTCACGAATCTAAGAATGAGGTTAACATGTATCTTTTGAGCCTGAAAAACATTTTCATTTCTAAAAAACTTCAGAATGTAAATCTGGAGACACATATTTTCATGGACGACGGTTCAAGAGACAGTCACCTGACCCCATACGGAGCACAGCTGCTGAAATTAATTAAGAAACGTTTTTCTTCGATGTTGTCTCGTTCGCCAGACACCAAAGGCACACCATATGGAGTTCAAGTAAAATGGCTTATTGATGGGCATATACCTCTATACATACACTTAAAAGATGTCGTGAACTTCAAACCTAAAAAAAGATGGAGTCAAGTGATGTACATGCATTATATTCTCAATTACCGAAACGCAGAATCTGCACAAGCTGAGCACGCAGATAGACTAGGTGACTCCTCCGAGGATGATGCCGGATTTGGAAGTGGCGAGGACAGCATGTGCAGTGATGACTTCGAGTCAGGCTCACAAATTCTACTACATCAGTATGATTCTGCGATTGATCTCAGCGAGTCATTTGTGGAGATAGACCTCGGAAGAACGAAAACAGAGATGAGCAATAAAAACGAGGAAATCAGTCAGAATGAAACTGCATATATTTTGGCTACAGACGCGGACATGCAGTTTAAAGACGAAGACTTATTGTCTCTACTGCGGCTGTGTAACCAAGAGCGTGATCTGGGCGGCGCGTGTGGATGGACCCATCCTATTGGGCAAACTTTGAACCCTCTTGTGGCGTACCAACAGTTTGAATATGCAAGCGGTTAGTGGGAACTTCCTACATATTCATCGCAAGTGCATGAATTTCACATTTGATTAAGATCCCGTAAGGTGAAAAGTGTCCTTGTAATATACATGAATATATGTATATTTATATGTAATACTATGCGATATTCTTGCATTAAGATTCTAGTTGTCCTTGTCAATTTTATCCATCCGATGCCTGATGTTAAAGTGATGCACTTATTGAACTTCTGCTACAAAAGGTCTGTCTTCAGAGAATAGTTCTTAACAGCAATATTAACCTAATATGTTAAAAAAAACTTTTTTCTTCTCAACAGATTTCTGGATGGTGAAAACGACTGAAAACGCTCTGGGATCAGTTCTTTGCTGTCCTGGCTGTTTCAGTCTCTACAGACTAAGTGCTTTGAAGAACATCATTGACAAATTTGGCGAACCAGTACAAACCCCCATTGAGGCATACACCAAAGATACTGGTTAGTAAAACATAAACAGAAAAAGACGTAAAGTGTCTGTCTTTACAGAAAACGGTCACCAGCAGACTTTCTGTTCCTGCACATGATTCTGATTCATTTCTATAGCTGTTAAAAAAAGTGAAAAATGCGTTTTTGGTGAGCAGATGTTAATGGTTAATATGAGCAGAAATGTTTGGTCTTGGTATGGCTTATCCTGCATCTTCGACTTACACTTCTTATTTGGACGTTTTAAATTTTCTTATATCTCCTTCTTTGATGGTATTATCAGTAGTGTTCGTAACCGCATACAGTATTGTGTTCATGTTGACAGGCGAGGACCGCTGGATGTGTACGCTACTCATGTCCAAAGGCTGGAAGATGGCTTACAATGATTTCTGCAGTAATTCTACATTTTGTCCAGAGAGCATTACCGAACTATTCAAGCAGCGACGGCGGTGGAGTTTATCAACTTACGCCAATACCATTCAAATGTTTTGGAACTATATAACACTTATGAAGAAGAACAGCCACATTAATCTGTTTTTCCTTCTGTACCAGTTGCTGTCATTTATCATGAGTCTGGTTACCCCTGCCTCTACAGTCATATTGATAGTGACCAGCCTTAGTGACCGTGGCATCTCTCTTGAGACGTCCAGCGTCTCTTTGGGTGGACTTTGTCTTTTTTACATGATTGTTTGTCTGTTTACATCCCCGCGGACACAGGATCTCTTCACTTGGTTTTTGTCACTTGCAATGGTGGTCCTTATGTCAGCAGTGCTGTTTGGATCGTTTGTGGACCTCGCGTATGACACCATGCACCGTAAGTTACACACTTAGCATTTAAGATAAATTACATATGTATAACGTTATAATGGTATCGCACTTTTCTACTCATCATGATGTTTAAACTTAATTACAAAACACGGCGTAGGAGCAATATATTGTACATAAGATAACATTAGCTGGACCGTAGGCTGCTGTGGGGTGAGGGCAGGGGCAGGGAAGATCCATATAAAGTGTTACAGATTAGCTTTTCCTTTCTCACAATCAAAATCTAACCTTTTCCTCAGTCAGCGTCCAGATGAGTACCACGGGCGCACAACTAACCTGGTTGGATGATCTGTAGGCCTTAAGCAGCTATCCCCTAACATTTTTCTCAACCTATGCCCCTGCTAGTACATGTTACTTATGAATTCACGAACAATATCGTTTTTAAAAAAAACGAAATATGTAAATATTTTTGACGACATATATACTTTTTGTTTTTCAGTGCTCTCTGCCGAAACAATGGGTTTTCACAACCGTCACTTGTTGCTGGCTCTTTCATTACAAACACTGTACTGCGTTTTTCTGTACCCTGATCGATTACCACTTGTGCGTCATATGGTAGCGTTCCTGGTGCTGTATCCTGTGACACATTTACTGCTACCAATTTATACCGTCTGCAACATGTCCAACCTTAGTTGGGGAACAAGAGAAATGGTAATGCAAAATGACTTTTAAATTGACTTATATTTGATTTATTCCAATATTTGATTTATTTCCAAAGGGCGTAGCAAAATGCATATGGAACTTCTTACGCAAGATGAAGATTTTGACTAATAAATGAACAGAAAAGTTGAGAATGGGTAAAACGCCCAAGTACTATTTTTCTTTTCACAATGTTTAACAGCATAAATTGAAATAAAACTAATATTTTTCTGTTTCAATCACAAATTACTTTAGATATAGTGTGTATACCCTAAAAGGACGACAAACAAGCGGGTCTAATGTATAAAGAATTAGTCGCATCAAGACTGTTTCACGTGAGAGAAAAAAGAGAACAGAATACTAATAATTTGCGTTACATCTTTTACAGAATGAAGCCCCACATATCCAAATGTGCTGCAGCTCTGACTGGCATGTAAAAAATTCCACCCATAACATTAGCCTAGTAGATTCTACAAAAGTGAATATGGAATCATCACCTCTTGTCTGCACAGCGGATCTCATAAATCCCATTTCACATGAAGAATTCTCATTCTGGAAGAGTCTCCAAGACAACGTTCTTGGTACACGAAATAACCTCGGTTTGAGAAAGGACCAGATAGTCAGAGGATTGACAATGCTGAGGAACAATGCGCTTTTTATTGTTATAGTATGCAACGTGCTGTGGTATTTGGTGATTTTTTTGCCACTACGGGGTGGAGATACCCGCATTTATAGTCTTGTATTAATAACGATTCTAATTTCTAATTGTGTCCAAATGTTTTCTATGACTTTTTACCGCATCCAAGCAACATTGTCACATTACAGTCAAAAACTGTTTCCTGATGTTCCAGTTTGGATAAATCCAAGAACTGTGGACAGAGAATCTGCGACTCTCTGATCCATAGGGTACGTTTTTTACAATATAACTTATTTCACTGTTTAAACGTTGTTTATACTCTATACAAAACTAGTAAAGAATTGTTGAACAACATGGACTACTTTTTATTGCATTTTTAAAATGATTCTCAGAAATGAAAGCATTGAATTTGCTAAACACCCTAAATTATATTACAAAGTTTGACATTTTCGCACACACACACAAAAAAATTATTATTTCTGGTTTTCATGGGGTCCAAGAGGAAATTTATCTTGGTTACCATTGGTAACCTTGGAACTTTAAAATAACCTACGGTAATGCCTTTGGAGGAATACATCTTTTCACAATACAGGATTTCATTCATGCACCATACCACTAATATAAAAGCTTAATAGTTCTCTAGAAAACTGTTTAAAGAGTTCCAATGTAATCAAGAATGGATTTCAGATTTTGATAGCCTATCGTGAAATCGTTAAAATGACAAAAAAAGCAATTTTAGATAACCCATAAATTTCATATATTCACTGCAATTTCTTAATTTTTAAATCAGAAATGGGAAGAAAAAGACGAAAACAATCTGGTAGATAATAATAATAATAAATATATTGATAAAAATAATAATTATAGGCGATTCCAGACATTTCGTGACTTTTTGTATGTAAAGACAATAAATAGACTAAAAATAATATGTGCACAGAATAACAACATATCTTGGCTTTCTTCCTCCCAAATGTGCCCATAAAATGTGGTCTAGGTTCTAAGCTACTAAATATCCGATTTTAGTGTCCACTAAAAATACATGGGCTAATGCACATTAAAGTGGGGTAGCCTATTCAATAATTTATCAGAATACATAATGTTTATATTTTTTCACCCTTTTACGGTCCAAGCCTTAAGTTTGTATGTATTATCAATTTAGAAGGTTGGTGCTTCAAAAAGTGGAATAATTATCATATTGCACTCTTACGACCCAAGGGCGGATCCAGGATTATTTGAAGGCCGGAACGACAGGCCTCAGATGCAAAGCCGGCCATCGCCCCCTTGGCGTGGGGTTCGGGGCCTGCTCAAGGGCCCCAAAAAAATTTGGTGCCCTTTGGTACGGTTTAGAAGTATGATTCTGCTGGTCAAAATTTTAACTTCAAGAGAGAAAAATAGGTGTGATATATTTTTCAGAATCTGCCACTAAATGTGATTTCAATCATTGACGAAATGGTCTAGGTCACAAGCAACGCTATGTAGTTTAGAAAAAATAAACAAGATGATAATACACTTGCTGTATTTGTTGTCATGTTAAAATAATAACATATGACCTTGTTGATGGAAAAAAGACATACCCGAGTTCCTATTTTCTTTTAATGTAGTATGATGCAGTAGTAGTAGAAGTAGTAGAATTAGGATATGGCTAATGACCAAAAGGGAGTTGGATAAAATCTTGACACAAATATTAAGTGTGATAAGGCAGACTCGATGCACTTTGATGTTAGCCAGTTATTTCTAGCGTCACGCTGAAGTAAATGCGGTCAGCAATTACTGTAATCAAATACTAGTAACACCTAAAAATGTCTAAGCAAATAGGTAGGGGCGATAACAGTTATAAGAAATTAAGGGTGATAAAAGTAGAAGGAAAATGTCCATGTGATCTACAATAACATTGTGCACTCAGGCTCACCGGATGACGTCAATGACACAGCTGCAGTTTGGTGGATAACAATCTTCTTCGTATAACGTTCTTAAAAATTCATCTATTCATTCGTTTTTTGCTTGTTCATTTATTTCTTTTAATTTTATTTCTTTTTATTTTTTTTTTATTCGTCACTATTAATAGCGCTACATAAACCTGAGAATTGATTCAACGTCAGCTTTCTCAGGAATTTATTCAGCGCCCTTGCCATAGAGTAACTTGTTATGTAAATGAGCTAAAGTTAATGAGACTTGTATGAAAATATCGTTTTTCTGTAGAATTAAGGAGTCACATAGCGGTTAAATTTCGAAATTTAAGCCTGTAGCGAAAGAAAGCATCTATATCTTTCACGCTGACACAAGATTAGAAAGTATACAACTCCAAGCCAATGAAACTCTCTGGGTTGACTCACCTTGCGTCATGTCTATTCGAGTTTTTTGTTTGTAAATATTCTTTCATTTGCGAAAAAACACGTAAACAGTCTCAAGCAGATGTTTCTGATACAAGATACAATGTAGATGACCAGATTAGGAACCTCTCGTGCTAGAAGCGACTACCGGTACCTCCAGGAAGCATTACACAGTTATCAAAAATCTCGCATTAATGCTCCACCTGAAATGACCCTGGCACGAAGTTTCACTTCGCGATTTCTGATATGTACGATTAGCACGTAAAACGAAACATTGCGTTAAAGTGACCCCCTCTTTTTCAAACTCTGGTCATTTGAGTTAGATGTTGGATTTTGCACTCTCTCTAGCTCAAACATGTGACAAGGCATTTCTACTTGTCCAACCAATCGGATCTTACTGAATTAAATTTTTTCAATAACTAATGCGCAGTATAGTTTGTCATGGAATCCAGCGTGTCCCTTGGCGGTTGTCATAAATGTTTACGGTCTACATGTACCTGTGTGACGGTGCAAATCATCTCGTTCTAAACATATATTAGGTATTTTTCTCTCCTATATTATGTGAACAAACAGTAGCATCTAAGCTGCTTAGACAGACAACAATGTTAACATGCGACATTACATGCAGAAACAAACAGGGGTGAAAACATAACCTCCTTGGCGGAGGTAATAACAATTATTATTAAATCACATTAACTTTCTGTGACAACAAAAGGAAAGATACGGGCGATACACAGGTTTTGGCGACTTGTTGCTTAAATAAGATCATGCTGGTTTATGGTGTTGCCGCGGTGAGCGACTTAGTGGGGGGTCTATCGAATGTGCCCCACGTGGACGCCTGTCGTTTTTTAACAATAGCACTTCGCTTCAACTCATGTTCCTGTACAATATTCGCTGTAATCAGAACTTTGCTACAAGCATTAAGCCTTACAATCAGCAATTTAAATTAATTTGGTATGGTTCTTCAGAGTAGCCTACATTTCGGCGACGGCTAACATAGGAAGTTATATGATACAACTTACAAAGGTATAAAATGCAATGTAACAAGTGGAAACTTGGGTTTATCCCTTTTATTTTGGATTAAAATTAAACAGAACCTAAGCAATGAAATTAATCTGTATATAAATTCCCAGACTTTCTTTATTATTTTCCATTCATTTTTGCCATTCCATACAATGGAATGGCTCAAAAGATATATGTACATGTAGGTGATTTACCATGCAGTAATCTGTTTAATTATATTCATTTGCCTCCTTCTTATGGCCAATATCACTTTACATTAACAATATGCAATGTAAACTCCAATTTGTAAAAACATTGGTTTAAACATTTCCTAAGTTCATATTCATCAATTTCCTAACCCAGGCGCTTGAGTGATGCTTCTGCAGACTTTTTCAGGAATGTATTGTGCACTTTCAGTATTTGTGAAACAACCACTCTTTCATCTGGATTTAACTGAAAAACATAATTAGAGTTAAAAATTTTAGAGGCACATTAAATGTATGTGGCTTCAGGGCTTATTTTGGAGATTAGTTTGAAGCTATGAAGATATTATACTCAGTGAAAAAAAAAAAAAAAAAAAAAAAAAAAAAAACTTATTTCTAAGAGTAGTAGAAATAAACTTATTTCTAAGAGTAGTAGAAATAATGTCAAACTGCAGGAGTATCAACTCTTTCCCATTTTTTTCACAAAGAAGGGTCCAAGACAGATTTTATCAAATAGTTAAGCACTGCGAGCATTTTCTTACCTGTTTACCATACTTATTAATGAGTGCAAGTATCAGCTTTCCATATTTCAAGCTGTTTGCCAAGGACACAGCATACTGTGCTAGGTATGAAGATAAATCCCGCAGGAGCTCATCATCAAAGTTGGGCTAAAAAAAATATTAAGAAATTGAACAAGATATTGGTATAACAGTGTAAGTCTGCCACATATTTACCCATTTTTTGTGATAGAACTTTGTTGGAGCAATATATCTTTAGACCTTACAGATTTTCTGGACGACTTGAAAATGCATTAATAATTTTCTACCCATGCTGACCCTTGAGTTTTTTTTTTAATTACCCACAACCCTTCTAGAATATAGTTACTAAATCACAAATTTATTTCTATATTTTACTTGGCATTCCAGAATGGTCTGCAAGACTGTGAACACATCTTCTGAACACTCCACCTGGGATCTGATCACCTGCCTGCAAGAATAATGTTTCAGGCATCACCCACTGACCCACAATGTTTGGTTTAATTAAAAATTACATTAATCTTCACAAGATAAAAAATGCATACCTTAATTTGAATCTGACCTGAGTTTATCCTACCGACATGACCTGTCACTGGCAGTGTCTAATGCATAGTATAAAAAGCACCATTTTCAAGTTGGATAACTATGAACACACTCATGACTTAGGTAAAAAATGTCATCAATTTTTCAAACAATGCACTTAAACACATCCAGACAACCATGTAATTGGGAATATAAATTGTCAATCACGTTGATTTTTTACATTACATGGAATATGAATAATAAAACTGTCGCTCACTTCAGCAACAGCTGTTGGTGTTCTGATGGGATTGCCTCCTTGACCACTTTTGAAACCAGAACAGCTTGATATTTCCCTGATTAAAAAAAAAAAAAAAAAAAAAAAAAAAAAAAAAAAGCGAAAATCATGCTACAACACCCATTGCATTTCATGAGGTATGAAAAAATTGGAGGGGAATGTGATATACAGTGCTTCAATGACCCCATTCAGAAAGTCACATTGTACTGGTTGGGTCTGGCCAACTCTGCAGGGATTCTTGCTATTTGAAATCGGCAGAATCAAAGTGTCTGTCTGAGGTGTCATTCAGGTAAGTCAATTGCACTAAGTGAGACCCCCTGAAGAGTTGGACCTACCCAACTAGTATGATGTGTCTATCTGAATGCTCCCCAGTGCCATTGTAGAATTTAGAAATATTACAATCACAGCAAAATTACTACAACTCTCCTATAAAATTTATACTTAGTTAGCCAAGTCCATGAATTTCAGACCAAGAGTCAAATTTTATTGTACAAAAATGTATTAGTATGAGATGAATGTCCAAGAAAACACTTATAAACTATCAGGCTAAAATCCTGGCAAAAGATACCTTAACAATACAACAAGAGAAAATGAGGTAATGTAAAAAATCTGAATGCTGTTTTTGCTGTATGCTATTTTCAGGTGTAATGAAGAAGAGAACTGCAAAAGGAAAGGGAAGCTTTTAAAAATAAAAATGTGAATAAAAAGGTGAACACATACCAGCCTGAACTGTGAGTACAGGTATGATGGCTGCTTCTACCACTTGCTTGGGAAAAACTTTGGCAAACGTAACAACAGCCCCAATGAAATGTCTTGATGGGTTTTGGTTAAGAGATATAATCTAAAGTCAAGACAAATTCTTTTTTATTAAGTTCCTCTACCTAGTAATCAAAATTAAACATCTGGCTTTGATTATTATAATTATTTCTTTTTTGACATTTTCATTGGCTGGCCCAGAAATTTCCAAGCACATAAAGACGATTTTTCTTTATCTTGTTTGTCCCTCCATGCCTTTAAACAAAATCCTGGATTGCACAGGTAGAAATTAAATTGCTCACAAGTAAAAGGACTTTGGGAAATAACTGAATTAAAAAGAGCGTAAAAACTCTGACCAATGAATAATAATATTCTGCTTTAACCCTACCTTTGGCATAAGAGCAGATCTTGCAAAACACACACAATTACTGTAACTGACTTCAGTTCCCAGGCTGGTAAGATGATGACATGCTGTTACCAAAGCAACTTCCTCTAGTGATTTGAAATTTAAAACATTACACACTGCCTGTATCTGGAAAATCAATTAAAAGACATCAAATAAAAATATTTTTACTGGATTTCACAGATGGCACATATACAGAAATTAAACAAAGACCCTACTGATTTTATGACAATTTACAAAGATATAAAAAATAGCTCTGATTAAAATAAAATGGAGCAAAAAGAAGTGCAACATGATGGGTACAAGCCGGAATTTCCTACCTGTTCAGCCGTGCAGGTTTTGAAAATATCAAGTTCTGACTGAATCTCAGAAATATCACCACCACTACTCCAAACTTCTTTCAATCTTTCTGCTTGTAACTGCAGCAAAAAAAAGTCATAAAAACATGTAGTGTAGGAAACAGTCACTTGAGAATCAAGATAAACAATATTAGGGGTTTTTAATAATATAATATAATATAATATAATATAATATAATATAATATAATATAAAAAACAAACAAACAAAAAAAAAAACGAATTATGCTCAAGGAAAACATGTCATTGCTGTGAAATCATATAAGCATTTTGTTTAACCTATAGGCCATTTTACCTTGAGTGTTACATTTAGTGTCACATTTATACTTGGGTGTATTTTAGCAATACAGCTGTACTGGTATGGTTTGAGAGGCTATACTACCATGTTATAAGGATAAAGGGTACTAAAGTTAATTTCAAAAGTTTTCCAAAAATATAGTTCTTGCTGTTTAGTTTGGCCATGTCCAGATCAGGGGCTCAATTTGGGTGACTTTGATGTTATAGCCAGTCTGTTAGGTTGTCAATCTCTCAAAACATTCTGGTTCACAGCATATGATGTATAAACACTCAATATTAAAAGGTCTTATGTATCACATACTGATCAAATGCCTCAAAATCACAACTGCTTACAATATAGTCGTGATCCAAAGTAGATTTTTCTGTTGTGTCTATTTCTTCTTCTTCACTCTTGTTAGCTGTCAATTGAAATCAAACGCACATATATTATTTTCTTCGCTGTCTAAAAATTTTTCACAGTATGTAAATCTGTCAAGTTACTTATTGGGCTATCTTTCAGATTCAGCAGATGGCACATCCAACTGTCAAGGTAAGAATCAAGTTAACAATAAATTTTTCTTGTACACATGTTACTTGTCTATTATGTACCTTCAGTGTCATCTTCAGCACTCATTCTCCTCCTCTTGGCTGATAGAAATGTTGGTGTATCAGTATCAGTGAAGGTTAAAACTTTCTTCTCAGGGGTCTCAAATTCCACTGGATTTGGTTGGCTTCCACTTAGAACAACTTCAGCTGACATTTCTGAAAAATCACTTAATTTTATAACTTATTTCTATGGAAAAGTGGAGATAGAAATATAACTTACATCATCATTTATCAAATATCATTAAAAATGGTGCATTTTCTTCCAGCTAACTGCTTCACATGCAGAACACATGAAAAATGCAAAAAATACCCTATGCACAAGGGTTGCAAGAAATGAATATCACAATATCTCAGTGGAATTAAGACAATATTTCAATGGAATATTAACTTTTTAAGAATCAAAAAGCCTTGTTCAGCCTTATGTACTTTTTAAGAATCAAAAAGGCTTGTTCAGCCTTATGTTACCTTTATTGCCCTCTACTAAACCATCACTTTGATAAGACCTGGCATAGTTAATCCAAGGATTAGTTTTCTTCTCTTGATTCAACGCCTTCAGTTTTTTAATTAATGAGACTGCTCTGGTTTCAGAGAGAGCAGAAAATTTGTAAAGAGGCTCGGAGTTAGATTTTTTGCACTGATCATCCTCATCTACATGCACATTTTCTGTCTGTTTTTTTAGTGCATGAGTCTTCTGACCAAGCAATCTAATTAAGGCTAAAACCCAACCATCCTTTGAGTGAAACTGTTGTAAACTACTCAGCAGTTGCTGCATCAGTCCCTGGGGTACATGATCTCCGTGTAAGTGAAGAAATGTCAAGATAGTTCTTTGATAATGTGCAGGAAAACACAGCAGCCTTGGCTTGCTGAAAGAATTAAAAGCAAATTTAATGATCACTTTTGAATCAAACCATGGAATTTCAAGTAAAAAGATCGTATAAAACATGTTAAAATTTTAAATAATCAAATTACCTCTACTTTGGTATGAAAAGGGGTTATATATTTAACATCCAAATATACTGATCATTTTTTTTTAAATNCATCTGGCTTTGATTATTATAATTATTTCTTTTTTTACATTTTCATTGGCTGGCCCAGAAATTTCCAAGCACATAAAGGTGATTTTTCTTTATCTTGTTTGTCCCTCCATGCCTTTAAACAAAATCCTGGATTGCACAGGTAGAAATTAAATTGCTCACAAGTAAAAGGACTTTGGGAAATAACTGAATTAAAAAGAGCGTAAAAACTCTGACCAATGAATAATAATATTCTGCTTTAGCCCTACCTTTGGCATAAGAGCAGATCTTGCAAAACACACACAATTACTGTAACTGACTTCAGTTCCCAGGCTGGTAAGATGATGACATGCTGTTACCAAAGCAACTTCCTCTAGTGATTTGAAATTTAAAACATTACACACTGCCTGTATCTGGAAAATCAATTAAAAGACATCAAATAAAAATATTTTAACTGGATTTCACAGATGGCACATATACAGAAATTAAACAAAGACCCTACTGATTTTAAGACAATTTACAAAGATATAAAAAATAGCTCTGATTAAAATAAAATGGAGCAAAAAGAAGTGCAACATGATGGGTACAAGCCGGAATTTCCTACCTGTTCAGCTGTGCAGGTTTTGAAAATATCAAGTTCTGACTGAATCTCAGAAATATCACCACCACTACTCCAAACTTCTTTCAATCTTTCTGCTTGTAACTGCAGCAAAAAAAGTCATAAAAACATGTAGTGTAGGAAACAGTCACTTGAGAATCAAGATGAAACAATATTAGGGGTTTTTAATAATATAATATAATATAATATAATATAATATAATATAATATAATATAATATAATATAATATAATATAATATAAAAAAAAAAAACAAAAAAAACTAGAATTATGCTCATGGAAAACATGTCATTGCTGTGAAATCATATAAGCATTTTGTTTAACCTATAGGCCATTTTACCTTGAGTGTTACATTTATACTTGGGTGTATTTTAGCAATACAGCTGTACTGGTATGGTTTGAGAGGCTATACTACCATGTTATAAGGATAAAGGGTACTAAAGTTAATTTCACAAGTTTTCCAAAAATTTAGTTCTTGCTGTTTAGTTTGGCCATGTCCAGATCAGGGGCTCAATTTGGGTGACTTTGATGTTATAGCCAGTCTGTTAGGTTGTCAATCTCTCAAAACATTCTGGTTCACTGCATATGATGTATAAACACTCAATATTAAAAGGTCTTATGTATCACATACTGATCAAATGCCTCAAAATCACAACTACTTACAATATAGTCGTGATCCAAAGTAGATTTTTCTGTTGTGTCCATTTCTTCTTCTTCACTCTTGTTAGCTGTTGTCAATTGAAATCAGACGCACATATATTATTTTCTTCGCTGTCTAAAAATTTTTAACAGTATGTAAATATGTCAAGTTACTTATTGGGCTATCTTTCTGATTCAGCAGATGGCACATCCAACTGTCAAGGTAAGAATCAAGTTAACAATAAATTTTTCTTGTAAACATGTCACTTGTCTATTATGTACCTTCAGTGTCATCTTCAGCACTCATTCTCCTCCTCTTGGCTGATAGAAATGTTGGTGTATCAGTATCAGTGAAGGTTAAAACTTTCTTCTCAGGGGTCTCAAATTCCACTAGATTTGGTTGGCTTCCACTTAGAACAACTTCAGCTGACATTTCTGAAAAATCACTTAATTTTATAACTTATTTCTATGGAAAAGTGGAGATAGAAATATAACTTACATCATCATTTATCAAATATCATTAAAAATGGTGCATTTTCTTCCAGATAACTGCTTCACATGCAGAACACATGAAAAATGCAAAAATACCCTATGCACAAGGGTTGCAAGAAATGAATATCACAATATCTCAGTGGAATTAAGACAATATTTTGATGGAATATTAACTTTTTAAGAATCAAAAAGCCTTGTTCAGCCTTATGTACTTTTTAAGAATCAAAAAGGCTTGTTCAGCCTTATGTTACCTTTATTGCCCTCTACTAAACCATCACTTTGATAAGACCTGGCATAGTTAATCCAAGGATTAGTTTTCTTCTCTTGATTCAACGCCTTCAGTTTTTCAATTAATGAGACTGCTCTGGTTTCAGAGAGAGCAGAAAATTTGTAAAGAGGCTCAGAGTGAGATTTTTTGCACTGATCATCCTCATCTACATGCACATTTTCTATCTGTTTTTTTAGTGCATGAGTCTTCTGACCAAGCAATCTAATTAAGGCTAAAACCCAACCATCCTTTGAGTGAAACTGTTGCAAACTACTCAGCAGTTGCTGCATCAGTCCCTGGGGTACATGATCTCCGTGTAAGTGAAGAAATGTCAAGATAGTTCTTTGATAATGTGCAGGAAAACACAGCAGCCTTGGCTTGCTGAAAGAATTAAAAGCAAATTTAATGATCACTTTTGAATCAAACCATGGAATTTCAAGTAAAAAGATCGTATAAAACATGTTAAAATTTTAAATAATCAAATTACCTCTACCTTGGTATGAAAAGGGGTTATATATTTAACATCCAAATATACTGATCATTTTTTTTTAAATCAAACTTTATAAATCATAACTGCTGATGTCTTGAAAATAACTTACAAAATCAGCTTTCCATGTTCCTCAACCGGTTCCCTGTCCTGTAGACTCACAACTAGTTCCTGCCAATTCAAGCATGTGCCAAACTTGGAGTCAGTTTGTTGCTGAAGCCAGAGGTCTGCTGATACTACCTGACATTGGGGTGTGGCCATAGCTCCAAACAAACCTCTCCATGCCATGGGAAATGCAGCAATTAGGCTTTCCATTATAGCCTAAACTGATAAATCACATTGCATGTGTTACAACATCACACATTTATTTGCACATTTTTATGTCCAGAGAAAAACACAAAAGCCATCAACTATTCATTTGGCATGTATTCTAAAGCAGTGGTCAGCACCTACCAGTATTGTAAAATCATTCAAACTGCCAAGGTTATTATCTTTTTTTGTCCTTTTCACTCTAAATTTAAGGGTATTATTACATCATTAATTGTCATTTTGTGGAATACTCAATGGTGAATATACGAGAACATATAAAAAATTATTTTTAATTTATCTGCAAAATAACATGCAGTGGAATCAAGTTGTGGAAGAAAAGAAAACCTTGGTGTAGCACCAAAACTAAAGTGGGAATGTGCATGTTTTAGTGATAGCCTTATAAGTCTATATCACAATTGTGCATTTTATTTTTATTACCTATTATTTGAAAGGGGAGGAGTTGCCAGGGGAAGCACATTCATGTACTGGTACATGCATCTTCCCACAAAAAAAAAAAAAAAAAAAAAAAATCAAGAGGATGGGCCAGGGAGAAGAGACACATGCACTTTCCTTTAAAAAAACTTACACGGGATATAATTCAAATAATTTAAATGTTAAATCAAGTTTTAAAAATCGTCTGGGCTGTCGAGTGTTGTACAAATGAGGCAGATCTAAGCTGTTTTTTTCCCCTTATCTCCAACATCAAAGCTCTGGATGTTTATGGATTGACCTTTTCTCCCAGGCCCATATTTTTCACCATAAAATACTTATTTATAACACAGATTCTTCAAAACTGTCCAAGATACCTGTTTTGTTGCTCTAGATCTAGCTGAACCCGCCGTTCATACTTTCGCGCGACAATAATGACGCAAAGTAGCTTCCGGCTGATGAAATTGCAAAATAGTACCATTCTTTTACCTTGACCTAAATGTATATCTCTACGCATTTTTCCTAGATCAAATAATCTAATGCCGAATCTTTTGGATTGGGTATATAAATGACAGCAAAGTTTTCGATACAATACATCAAACTACACTGTTAGAATTATAAAAATCAATAATTAACATAAAAAGCTATTATATAATGTTCTATTTGATAGTGCAAGGTTTTCCGGACTGGTCAGTAACTCGTCATAGTTACTTCCTGAATAGAGAAAACAGAAGTGCGCCAATTACTATTAACAGCTGTTAGTTCGATTATTTCGAAGATAATGTATCCAAGTATTAAAGAAAGTGAAGAAGTCTACAGCAAATACTACCAGGAATCAAGCGAATCCTTTAAAGGTTGCCGATCATATACTTTTGACCTGAATTTTAATACTTTTATTCGAGGACACGCGGGGTGGATCGCCCCAAACATTACCATTATGAATCATCGGCTTAATTTCGCATCAAGGCGGACTGTTGCGTAAACGATATTATCATGGACGTTAAAAGTTCTTTACTCTCTCAGAAAGAGCAGCAGAATTGGCCGAGGTGGCCATGGACTTTCGGTATGTTCAAAGGTGACACGAAACGTGACGAACCTCACACACAAAATAGAACGACACCGCATCAAAGACGGAGTCCACTCTTGCGCTTAGACAGTATTGGAGAAATTTCATCAGATGATGACTTAACACACTGGACTTCGGGTTCGACTGGTTTTAATACCCAAGATCAGGTACGAGAAACAAATACACCAGGTAACTTCACCAAAATGATGGGCTCCTATTTTACTAAGTTTTCCAATTTCTTCAGTGAAAGAAACATTTTTAATCCGTGTCATTATCAGACTGCCACTGGGTCGAGAATGACTAGTAAAAATATACAGAGTCTAGATGCCACTAATTGTTCTCCAAATATGAATAAATCAAGAAGTCAGTCTGCAGGAGCATCCCAAGTGAATGCAGAAATTTACCACTGTGACAACAAATCAACTAGTGAATCACATTTTTCTATGAGGAAAATACCAGACATGGATAAAGTTTCTAGTTACATTAAACCAGTTCCCAGAATGGGGGCTGTAACACAGCTTGGTGCCATATTAGGTCAGCTGCATATTTCTCAGGACAAAGCAGATAAGACTGCAGAGGCAGGGTGTAAAGGTGAGAGGAAAAGGTCACATGGGGATATTGAAGATGGTGACAAAGGCACATCTCATGACAGTACAATTAGCAGTCCCAATGATGCAATGAAACAAAGCCCTGAGCAAGATGCTGGAGTGTGTGCTCAGCTTGACTGGAAAGAAACACTTGTGAACCAGACACCAGATTTTGTTTTCAAGCTTAATGTAAAAATTAATTCAGATGATGGAATGCAAGATGGAGGTTTGCTCAAAATTGGTGCAATGAAGAGTACAGTTTGTAATCACAGTATGCCTGATTGCACTGGCACAGGTGTAAACTCTCCAGAAGTATATACCTGCATGCCCCATTGCAATTGTGTCTGTCATGTGACAGAGATCAGTTTATGCAATAATGATATTACAGTTTCCAACCCTAGTGATAATAAGTCCGTCAGCACTCCAAGAAACAGTAATTCAAGGCAAAAGAAAAAGAGGAGGAAGTCCCGTCCATCTGCGAAAAAAAGACAGAGACAGAAAAAGCGCCAAGCCAGTTTTCAGACAAACTTTTCTTGTCACCAACCTACACAAAATTGTGATATGAAGAAAAAACAGAAAATTGAACATCCCAATGTGGTTGATAATTCAAACACATTTCAAATAGGTGCTAAAGACAAGAACTTCCATAGTTCTGTAGCTTTTATTCTAGGAAATGTTGATAGTGATTCTGAGGATGATTGCAGTGATTTCTGTGACTCTGACACAGCTGCCCCTTTCGTAGTATTTGTAGAGGAAGAGTTTATTGATCCCTTTGAAGGAAGTTATCTCTATGACTTTGAGGAAACTGATGGTCTACATTCCATGCATGATCCTGATCACCCTTTAAACCTGCAATTTGACGTATTTACCAGACATGTGCCAAAAGTTAGCTCCAGTCCAGAGATGAGGACTTTAGAAAAAGGCAGGCTGTTTGACCTTGAAGATGACCACTATCCATCCTTCCATTCTGATACAACACCCAAAAGGGTAAGATTCATCTCTGTGCATAGACTGTTTAAATAAAAAAAAATCTGTCTACATGCAGGATAACATAATATTAAAGAAGATAATAGATGGTAGAATAACATTTTACAAGGATATTTATTTAAATTATTAATAAAAAAGGCATTTAATAGGTAATAAAAAGGTGCAATTGAAAAAAAGATACAATGAGGCTGTTAAATTGACATAGGTGACTCTTAAATGATGTTATGTTAAAAGACATTTTGCTTCTGTGATAAGACTGGTTAAAATAACCCATTGCATGATAAAAACAATGTTCTAGATAAAGTTCAGTTAAATTAACTTGAGATGAAAAGAGCTATTTGTTTCTAAAAGAAGGGGGCCTTTCAGATGAATGGGGAATTCTACAGTATAGCACGTAGTATGATTAGGGCAATAATGCTAAGATACTTTGGGATGAGAATATAGAAACACTTGCCTGTTGGTGTATGTTCTTGGGTCTAAACAAGATGTTAGGTTGCATTCACAAATAAAGTAGATCTGCAGACTTACAGATGCTCGAATCAAATATGACAACTTGAAAGCTAACCATGTTATCATGGGCTCTGTAACTCCAAAGCACTGCGAATTGCAAACGAGCACAAGCGTCACTATTCCATAACTCAGCATTTACCTACCCCATATAATTGCCTCAAAATGAAAGGTGATATCGCTATTGCAATTTGCAATGCTTTTGAGTTTGGGAGCCCTGGCAGGAAATCTACTCAGTGTCTCTTAGGAGATTATGTGACAAGCTTTCAGGTGGGACGGCCATATTTGATTTCCTGATCTGTTAGTTGGCATATCAACTTAAATCTGTTGCTCAAGAAATCTACGAAATAAAATTTTGTGAAGTGCAGTTCAGCTTGTGGTCAAAATAATAAGTACTAGCAAGTAATTTAGATTCATGCCAACAACATATGTCTATACATATCTCCTTGAGAACAAAATTAGGATGATTATATCAATTTGTACAACACTAATTCAGCACAAACATTTCTTTTCACCAAAAATTAAGTGCTGTATGTTTGACCCAATGTTGCATCTGTTATTTATATTGAGGGTAGAAAAAGGTCATAGTGTCATGCCAGGTTGCAGCCTGGCAGTTATTTATTGGTCAATTGGTGATGAAATGCAGGAGGTTGATTACAATATTGAGTCTTGTGTCCTGTCATACAGACCTGTGTGATTAGTTTTCCTTTGATCCCATTGTGCAGTTGTATTTATAACCAAATGTTGCATTTCTATATATAATAACAAAACTTGTTGCGTATCTATCAATATTAAGAAAATGTATTATTTAAAACTGAAAATGAGGATTTTATCTTTCCTGTGAAATTATAAATGATTTTAAGAAAAAATTCTGCATGTTACATAAAATTTTAGTTTGTGAAACATGCCTTAATTTCATTATCAGCTGTGCTGAATGAAAACGAGTAAGCTTACAAAAAAAAAAAAAAAAAAAAAAAAAAAAAATCAAGTGATATCGTCTTTTACATTGGGAATCATTTTATTCTGGTGGGAAAATGACAATAAAAACTTGTACAAATGTTTTGTCATACTATTATACATAAATATTCAATAACAGACATCTTTTTAAAAATCTTTTCAGGTGCATTTTCCAGATGAGGAACATATTGCAACTGTGTATGAAATTATGCAAATGGATGAAAATGAATGTCGCAAAGGTCCCTGGGAAGCCTATGCTGTAGACAGATGTAGGTTCCAGAAAAGAATTGCTGAAGTAAATGATGCTATTGGTTACTGTTTTGATCCTCAGCACAGGCAGCACATTTTAGAGTTTATCCGAGCATGCCAAGCCAAAGATTAATCAGTTTTTGTTTTAGATTGTTACAAAATGACTCCTTAAAGTTATTTGAATGAGTTAATCTACTTTTTAAGTTTAAGTAGTTGACGAAATCTTCAGCTGCCTTATAAATCATGTACAGAGTGGATTTTGAAAACCCAGTGATTTAAATATCTCTGACAAAAGATGAATAGTTTGTAGCAAAAAAACTGGTTGAGGTTCTTTGAAGGCAAACCATTTTAGAGAGGTTAAATATGCACGTTTAAGGTGTTGTGCAGGTCACAAGTATTGATATGTTGTTTTGAAATCCATATTGTGGACAAGTGTGTCAGACATAGGCTATAAACACGTCAAGGGTTTTATTTACCTCCTTCAAGTAGTTTTCATTTAATGCAGCAGATAAACTTGTGTTAAGCGTTCATAAGAGCTTATTTTGAATACTGAGTATTTGTGATATTATATTAATTTATTGAAGACTATTGTAATTTTATCAAATAAAAGCTATTCAATTTCGGGCAAATGCTCCTGTTTTAAATTATTTTCCAAAAATAAGTTAAATGTTCAAAGATTGCCATGTTCCACCTAAAATTCCATAATAGTTGATATACTCCACTTAATATATAAGCAATTAACAGTTTTTAATGCAATTTCATTTTTCGTAAACAATGGATATCTGGAACAAAAATGATTAACAAGTCTTCCAGTAGGAAAGGCTGTCATCACTGATGATGGCATAAGACACTAAGGTTAACTTTTCAGAAATGAGGGTAAAACTATTCCCCTGGAATATCGGCTTAATAGTAAGCAATACAAAACTGATTACTTAAGTCAATCTGCTTTTATTTGTTGCTACACCACATTGTAATATGCCTTTTTTGACCCATTCTCCAAATCCTTCAAAATCTCATTTGATTTTATATAAAGGCATGATTCTTTGGGCTGTCTCATCTGATCTCCATTAATTATGTTGCATGAATGAAATATCTCAAGGAAGAGTTGTGATGATAAAGTAAAATGTGCACCTTGACTGTAAGCGTCCATCATGTTCACCATAAAAAACGTCTGTCTTCTTAGCATGGATAAAAACAACAGATAGAAACCAGTATTTCTAAAATTAACAATGAAAGTTTTCAGTTGTTACCAATAAATTTAATGATGCTAATGGTCCACTAATGAAGGTGCTCTGTATTCCTCGAGTTCTTCAAAATGTCTCCTTCGTGACAAAATCTGTAACTCCATAGTGTCCATCCCCTCTCTGAGAATACCATGGTGCGATATTAGAACATTGGCTGTATTTGCCTAGAAAAAAATCATAATAAGATTCTGTGTTTGCATGTTAGGACTTGGGATGTTGTTGACTAGGTTTTGTTCTAGCCAAATCACCATTTAGCATCATATGACAGGCCGGTAGCCAGCAATTTTAGAGGGGGGGTTCGTTTTCTGAAAAAGTGGACCTTTTAGTATAAAATCCTCAAGTACATAGATCAAATTGTACCCAGAGTGGACCTTTTCCCAGTAAAAAGGGTGGTTCTTTTGAACCCCCCGAACCCCCCTTGGCTATGGGCCTGTATGATATCCATGCAAAAATATCAAGTCAAAGTATGAAGTCAAAGTAAAATTGCACTAGTGGTGATTAACAAAATGTTTTATGTTTATTTTCAAAATTTGAACTTGAACTGCATAAAGTACACTATGGAGGTGCTTAATCATCAATTTTTCTTCAATGTTCTATAATTTTAATTAAAAGCTCACCAGTTGTAATGTTGCCAGAAAAAGCCTTGCTATTTGATATGCAGGTTCCTTCTCAACTATTTTTCTGAATGGTACTTTTACTTTAGAGTCCTGAAGCTTTTCCAGAATAGCAGACCCACACTTGTGTATATCAAAAGATCCTTGTGTTTCCTGAAAATAAAGAATGAATGAAGTTATATACCGTATAGACCAGACAATCTTGTGGTCAGTGTCTGAGAATGTGGGTTCAGCCCTGTTGGAGGACATACCAGTCCTTCCTTAATGTTACTAGCTGTCTCCCCACTTAGCACTAATTAGAGGCTCTGGTGATGTACCTGGACTGCCTAACTTTCAGCACTTCATACAAAAGCTGGGCCATATCCTTCCCATGGAGGTGATAATGTCTATACCCAGTCTGATTCAGGACCAAAAAAATGTTCCAGGCACATTGTCATTTAAAGTAAACCCCATTGTGATGCATGTGGAACATGGTACATAAAAGCAAGACTTGACTTTGCCTTTATTTAATAAGCCAATAGATTAGCTATATAGTTTAAGCTAACAGTTTTTCCTTTTTGGGATAAGTAATTCTAACAACATGTAGTTCAGCACTAAAGGTGTTAACCTTTTTCATTTGTGACTAACAGGGCTGATAAATATTCCTGAAAAGAGAAAGAGCAATGAAATGGTATGGTTTAATGTTACCTCTTTTCTAAGCCTTGGTAAGATTTTCTCTTCCCACTCCGAGACTCTCTTTGAAAGATCAGTTATTTGTGCATATTGCTGGGCACTTGCCAAGTAGTTGTCCTAAAAAAAGGTAGGGAAACAGCAATATATTGATGATAACTGCAAAAGAATCTTATATCTTATGAAACTGAAATAAAATGCAAAATTTGCTAATTGCGATCTGATGAAAGATAATGTATCCAGATATTACCTGAATTATATTCTTTATTGGGTATACAAAGAATCTGTTAGTCATGTCTATGGTTCTTACCACATGGTATCTGACAAGATCTTCATAATTTGAAATGATATTTCCTCCTCGTTGTGTCAATATGGTATCCCCATCTGGGAAAAAAATGAATAAATAAGAATAAATAAATAAACAATTAAGTGAGTCAAAATTAATCTGAAAATCTTTACAATATCAAAAATATTAATTATTCTTTACCCACATATTCTGGTGAATTTAATTGATAATTATGTGACATTTATTTTTAACCTTCATCCATCTCTTGGTTATCTTGTGGGAAAGCTAAGTCCTGATCTACTGGCCCCTGTATGTCGGGTATATTAAATGGGGCTTGGTTGTCATAATCATCATCATCATCGATGCCTGAAAGCAAAAATTTGAGGTACAAAATATGGGGAAAAAAAAAATTCATTGAGTGAGTGTTGATAAAGTGTTATGAATAGCAGGTTGATATAAACCCCAACACAGGTTTTTAATAATTATTTTCATGAGAATATCATGATTATTTGCATATCTCTTAATATTTTCTGAAACTGATACAGCATGGCTATTGTAAGTTTTCATGGATTAGAACCATAAATTGTGCATAATCTTAACATCATATCAAATTAGCTAGTAACAAAACAAGACTGGCTGTGAAAGGGAGAGAAGGTGGCTTAGTTTGTTTATGAATAAGTAGGATTTGTGGAGTTCTCACCAACAGGAGCAGCTTCATTTTCTTCTTGTTCTTCCTGTTCCTGTTCAGCTAATTCTTGGAACCTGCCCTGCTCTGCCTACAATCATAACACGTACAATGCTTTATCACACCCAAGGGTTACTAAGAGGCAAAGCAAAATGTTCTTTTTTCTTTAATTTTCAAGATGGTAACTTTTTGGTCTTGCAATAAAATTAAATTTGTTTATGCTTTGAGTTTCGATCTTCCAATGGCCTCTTTTAGAATCATAGACAATTCATCTCTATCCAAGGGAGTTAGTTATCAGGATTGAAACAAAAAGTTCTGTAAAACTTAATGTACCAGTTGTTTTTTCTCCTTTTTTAGTAAAGCCTGGCGCCTTTTGAACTCCACCCAGTATAAATGTTCAAACTCTGGAAATGAGGGAACTTTCAGTGGGTTGCTTGGAAACTTGGACTCATCACAATGGTCTGAAAAATAAATGTGTTGTACAACAATTAAAACCCTGTATATGGTACAAGTTTCAAATCATTTTGCAAAAGATAAAAATATTTCACAACATAACATTTTTAATGCCTTTATGCCACCATATCAAGTAAAAAAGAGTATGATGTCCATGATTAAGTAGCATTAAAAGGCATGCAATTCATAAATACTTACAAGCTTTCGTGCAGAACTGAGCAATGGGCATCAGATGGCACTTTTCTGGTGTCTTCTTTCTTTTCTTTGACTTTGCTGCATTTTGCAATGTTGCTGGAATCTTAAATGTTTTTCCTACAAAAACACATAAGTTATCAAAACATTACAAATGTAAATAAACATATTGAATTATTCTTATCATTTGAAACTGAAATGAAATACCAAATGATATCAAAAAACTGTAATACACACTAACATTTTATTAAAGCATTTAACTACTGTAACTTTAAGTTTCAGCATGGGACAGTGCTACCCACAGATGAATGAAATACTGGACAGTACCTTTTTTAAAGGGTCTTTCAAAAGCAGCTTCCACCTGGTGAGGATCCATTGGTGTCCAGGGATCAATCACCTGTATATAAAAAGAGGGCACATTTATGTTAAATCTTCAGATTTAAAATTAATGAAACTACAGGTCATTGCTATACAAACAGCACCTGAAGCTTTTCTACTAGATGCTAATTAACAGAGAACAGATTAGTCTTGAATTGAGATATTTATCAAAGATGCAGATGCTTAAAAAAAGAAAGAATCATATACAGTAAATAATACATCATTTACCTCATCAAACGAGTATCAACTTTGAAACTAGAAATATATTAGTACACATACAGTTTTAGCTAAGACTGGCATCCTTTTCCTTTCAGGCCTCTTAACTTCTGTCTTCTCATCCATCTTGCAATTTACCCTAAATTCTTCTTCCACAGGAGGTTGGATATCATCATCAACATCACCATTATTGTCATCATCTAAAAATACATATTCAAGTTTTAACCATATATATATATATATATATATATATATATATATATATATATATATATATATATATATATCAGAAGGAGAAAATAAGATTGAGCAACAAATGCTTAGAAGTCATTAATACTGGTTTTATAGTCTAAACATTAAACACAAGATGTAAAAGGCTGGCCAATGGAAAAAAATTAAATGATTGGTCTTTAACTCTCTGTCATTCCCCAAGGCCCGGTGAATTTGCAGATTAAACACAGCCTCAAACAGAAAGCATAACCTCGAGAACTTACAACTCATATCCAGTGGGAGACCTTCATCTACATTGTTGTCATTGTCCTCTGCCATCTCTGTGCCATGATCATCTTGGTTAGGTTCTGAAATACAAAACTAACATTTATTTTCAGCTTTGAATACTTATTTTGAAACTGAATCAAATCAGTTATAGAGGAACTGCATCACAAGAGGTCTGCAGGTCTTCCCAATTCTGTGCTGGTCTGAAGGAAGTATTTTATTTTCACTAGTCTATGTTAACATGTGATTTATTATTATGTACTGTATTTTCACTTGACCCTTGCCAGTCCAGAAGACCTGTCATTTCGAAAATTTTGCAGGTCCTCTGGCATTTTAAGCAGTCATGACATGTTGGACGGGCAGTTTCCCCATGTCTGCTACAACTAAATGCAATTGGCTGTCAGTAGTCTAACAGTATTGCATGTAATACAGATATACAAATAAAGAAGGATGACAAAGATATTCAGAGATGAGAATGCCAAATTTTTGTTCAAGAAAAACATGTGCAAACTGAAGCAAGAAGTCATTAACATCATAGAATAATTCTCCATATTCAGAGTACTTACTATTGGCATGGAATGGTGTGGAAGATGGTTTATTCATAAAAGAGCATTCCAACAAGGACAAATGTGACATGTCCAACAACATTGTCCCAGAAGCGTGGATATTACAAGTGTTCATCTTGAAGTCATTGCGACTGCCTAAAACTTCTCCTGTGCGACTAAATAAAGAAAGTGATTATCTTAAATCTATTCCCATCATAAATGTAACAAACAGGAAATATCATCTTACTGTTAAAAAAATATGTTCTCTTACAGAATTCCAAATACTGCAATACCCTTTAAATTCAAAACACGAGATAAAATTTGCTGTTGTTCTATGTTTTTCCTCATTTTTGGAGTCATTTGGTAGAATGTGTATACTGCAAAGCCCAGCAAATCAATAGTCTAACAAGCAAACCTTATTAAGGGGTGTTCTCCCTTTTCTCCTTCTTCCAGTGGTACCAATGCCATAGGTGTACGAGGAACAGTCAGAACAGTCTAAAAATAGCAGCAACAGTCATAATAACAAACCACTATTTTATGCTACCATTCATTCAAGAAACACAAAGGACCAGAACTACATAAGATTGTTGTTCCTCAAACATTGCTGTCAGCTTACATTTTATTAAACAAAATGTAATAAAGTAAATAATTTTGCCACATTAAGCACATTATGTTGAGCAGTTAAGAACCTAAGGTCAAATAAAAATTAAACCTATCAAAATAGCTTTATAATACTTACTTCACTAAACAAATCGGTGTCAGTTTTCAGATCAATATTCTTGTGCTCCTTTAAGTCATCCAATGTAAGAAACTGAAACAAAATTGCTGTACCGTCTGGTGAAATGTAAATATAAATATGTACAGCAGCACATGATGCAAACACTGTTAAAATCTAAAGAAGAGCATTCAAGTTAACTTGCCTAGTTGTCAATACACTTTGAATGATGTTATTTAACACTTATTATTCCTCTTAACTGACCACCCCAATAAAATTTCATATCGTATATGTTACGATTTATTTTTTATGTTACGTGTTTTAAATAATTCATGTTCAAGTAAAAGCACATCACAAACCTCTTCATCTTCTTGCTGTTTAAAAGTTACATCTCCATCTACTCCCTCTCCATTCACTGAAGCAGCTTGCTGGAGTTTTCTGAAAAGAAGCATATCATTTATTAAGGGGCACCAGTAATTGCTCATAAACTTCTAAGATTAAGTTGTTTTATCAAAACAAAACCACCAAAATGAAAGTAATGGAAACTGTATCCTTTTATCAGAACACATTATTTTCCAAGTATGATGTTTAAAAAACATTTCATGTGCTTAAAATGACAGTAACTCCAAACTTACTTTTTACTTGAAAGAAGATCAAGCACCTGATACACCAAAGAATACAAATACTCCACCTAGATATAATCAATAAAAATATTTTTTTAAATACATAGTTGTATAATAGTTTGTTAATATAAGAGACTATATCAGCCATTTGAATGAACATGATGCTGTAACTAATATTCCTTTCATCATTAGCTTTATGATCTAAAAAGACTAAAGCTAAAGATATTACTTAATCACCTTTTTGCTGTATACACAAGCAGATCCTTGTATGACCATAGCTGCCTCTGAAAAGTTCATGGTGGTTGTCCCTCCATCAAAAGAGATAGTTATGGACTCGAGCTGAAATAGCATTTAATAAAATATTTACAGTTTGTACTTTAAATATAAAATGCCCTGCAATATAATCATTTTGGCTGACAGATATCTTACCTCACCATAACTTAAATGCTGTAAATGTACAATACACTAAAATAATCCACAGTCAGTATAACCTTCTCCTTTACTGACTTCTATTTAAAACTTAAAACTTAAAACTGTTTAAGAATACTTGATATATTATTGTGAAGGCTGTACATTTTTTCACTCTCATGCATTACCTCTTCAAGATAGCCCTCCAACTCATTAGCAATGTCTACATTCCAGTTCTTGGTGAGATCACGTATGGGTTGTAGCAGGTGGGCAAACCTGTTCTTTAGATCATTCGCTTGGGAGCTGGAGATCACCATTTTGAAGCTGGAAAAATTAGAAAATATCAGAGTCCAGATTTAACATTGTTGTTTCCAGTTACATTGCATCTGCCCCAAAACTTTCCTATTTACCTTCAATATAAAATATTAATCAGAGAAGAATTTACATGTGTATCTATTATGATAACTACAAACTGTGCATACAACAAGTGAGTTATAATCAGAACTTGAAGCACACTGTTGGCTATATAAAGTTTTTTCAATGAATGGACAGCTTTACTCAAAATTAACCTCGATGTGCACTGTAATCATTGTTTTCTTCATAAGAGAAACATGGAAAAGAGACTGCTTATCCAATATGTGACCTTCTCTTAGCATCAAAAAATAACACTATTTGTTGGCACTCCATCACCACATGTCAAAAAATTATTGCATGGTGGTAAGGGTAAGGCCAAAAGCTAAGGCAAGTTCTAGGGGTATTGCGAAATTTAGGTATACTGCAAGTTGTAGGCTGCGTTCACATGAAAAATCTATTTTCTAAAAACATATTTGCGGTATCTTGTGATCACGGTCTGTGCCCTGAATACCACACGGCGTAATTACGGACAGCGCGAGCCAGTTACTTCCGAAGCTGTAATTAATTCTCGGTGCTGCCAGTAATTACACCGTGGTGTATTCTTGGCACAGACCGTGATCACAAGATACGGCAAATAGATTTTTAGAAAATAGATTTTTCATGTGAACGCAGCCCTAGTAGGGCCAAAACTGACAGAGACAAGTACCCCTGTACTGTATATGTCCCCCAAATTAAAAAAGGTCGTGGGTCTTTGATTTTCGATCCTTTTCTAAATTCAGTTGTGCAGTGAATTTGGTCAATGTTTCTACTATGGAAAACTAAGAAAAAAATTACAATCGAAGACATAATTATATATTCGGGGGCACACTACATTAGGCATAGACTTGAAATTACCAGATTCAACACAGTCGCAAGCATTTGGGGACGGTGATCGGTCACTTTCGAAAACTCTCTAAACTAACACTATTTTTTAAATGTCGTATTGTCTTTTGTTTAAATAATTTTGACACCAGCTAATATCCTTACCTTAAATCGCCCTAGAAAATGACTGAAAAACAACACATTGAATTTTCGACCCACTTTCCCATTTACCCGCGTATTTTCAAACCTCTTTTAGATCGCATTGGTGATTGGTTCTTGTTTCAAGATAAGCCATACGTAGTGAAATGAAAAATGATTTTTTCAGCGAATTGCATAATGTATCTGATATATCAAAATAATTTCAGTGTGAAAGATATAATTTAATTACTGAAGAGGGGTTTATTCCCTAGCTCTCTTTTACCGAACGCTTCATTTTGCTTTACCTCGTTTAAGGTGTTTGAGTTGCGAAGTTGTATTTACTCGACAGTTTAAATCGAGGTTTAACAGTGGAAAATGCGAATTCGAAATTTGTTCTAAGCCGCAAAAATTATTACGCCAAGTTCACATGAAAACACAAGGTGTAAAATAACTTATTTTAAAAATATTTTGTAAATTTGACAGACTGAAAACATCATTTAATATTCACTGTATCTTTCTAATGAACATGAATAAGCCAAGAAGCTGCAATGAGTGTATAATAACATGGTACTAATTTATCCAGAGCCTACCAAGGTCATTTAGCCGGATGTGTTGTTAGGCTCCACATTGTCAGTGTTTTTGTGAGTTACGCATCGGTTACCTTACATTTTATTTGGCTAAAATGGCAGAATTAAGAAGGACGAGAGATCTCTTCCTGCGATCAATGGCAGTTATATATATGTTTGCATTTTCGTCGCTTTACGTGCAAATACCCGGTAAGTATTAAATCTAGTGCGATTCCACTTTTTCTAAAGTCTAGACACTGCGGGTCTGCGTTGTGCAGTACATGCACTTGCTAGTATTTTGCCACTTTTACTTCGAGAACCATGACATTAAATATTTTTTAATTCGTCTCGTACGTGCGTAATGACACGAACTACTGTTGTAATTATGGGGCCGTAGCGATAGTCCGAAGGTTCAATAGTCCGAAGGTTCATTGGTCCGAATGTTCACTACAGAACCTTCGGACCAATGAACCCTTGATTAAAAAAACGATGAAAATGTTACTGTTTTTCGGACCAATGAACCTTCGGACCAATGAACCTTCGGACTATCGAGACGCCCCCGTAATTATAGTGGTCAGTTTAACAGTTAGCTTATATTGATTAACCCATAGAAATTCTGAGACCAAATTCAGGGAAATGCATTCATGGATATTGTTACATGACCCCTTCCCCCAAATTTGCAAATATAGTCACAGGTCACGATACTTTTTTTTTAAAAAAAAGTTATACATGAATGATATTTAATGTTACTCACTCAGTGCATATACTGTTTATGAAATGAATGAATTTCTGTGAAATGTACTTGCTGATTTTCCTTAGAAAAATTGTATATCTCTTTATAAGTAACAAATGATCTCAATTGAAATGTTAAAAACAATTAATAAAAGAAAATCAAAATATAAGAGAACTGAAATATATATTAAAATTGTACTTTCTATGCAATTCTGATATCTTGTCATTTCATAGGCTTATATGGGGATAATGGAATTTTGCCTGTTCGAAATATACTGCAGAAAGGTTTGTATACTTTTTTAGAATAAAGTTAAAATGATTAAAATTTATTTAGATTTAAATGTTGAAAAGAAAAACTAATTAAAGATATTTGATAAAGCTTGATTTTTTAAAAATCATTTTTTGATTTTTATGCATTCTTTAGTTAAAACAATTTCTTTTCAGAACCCAATTCATTTGATGATTTTCAAAAGCAGCCAACATTAATACGACTCCTTCCAAAGCTTGGTTTGGATATTCAGTCCTCAATGGATTTTATTGCCCTTCTTGGCATTTGCCTATCCTTCTCTGTGTTTGTATCAGGGTACATGCGTGGAATGTTATCATTTACCTGTCTCTGGGCTTTGTATTTTTCGCTTTTTCAGGTAAGTTAGTTTGTAATATTGTTTTTCCATATTGTTTCATTATCAGGCTGTTTGCGTAAGAGGACTGTCCATTCATTCATTATTCTACGGTAAGTGCCAAGCATTTTGACGGGCCCAGTTAAGCCGACCAAAAAAATTATATTATAAAATTAATTTTTCCGGGCTCAAACATTTAGTCCATACGTCAAAATCATGCGACAGAATTTTTTTCTTGTTCCAAATTTTCGACCACATCGTCGGCAAGACTCGGTAAATTTTCAAGCCAGCGAAATAGATGCTGCATGCCTCGGCCCTTTGTCAATTGTTGTCCTTTCAATAGCTCTCGTCAATGAGGAAGAAACAATTAATTGAAGATCTAATCTGGAAGCATGACGTACCTGTCATTTCCTTTGTCCCCAATGACAATTATAGTGCTTTTAGACATACAATTTGTGCTAATGAAGCAGACTTGCCCTCTCTGACTGATTCATCACGTCCGTAACTGGGGGGAGGGGGGGGTTTAAAAAGGTCTATTCTGGATGAAACCAAATATTGACAGTGGGTAGAATACGTCGTTAACATCTTCATATAGACCATATATAGCGTTTGCTAGCAATAAAAAGTTTGGGAAGAATAAGCAATTTATCATCAAGTTCGATTGAAATATATATGCAGATGGGGAAACGTTCTTGAAGTCAACACCGCAAGATCTTACATTTACTACAATCGACCGAAAGATCAGCAGGATCGACCGCCCAGACTTCTTGGCGCCAAATACCACGCGCTGTCAAAATCTGATGAACACGTGTAGCTGTTCACCTACATGGATAACTGATTTGTCAACAGTAAAAATGACGTCTTCCTTAACTACATGGGAGCTTCATAGAGAGTTCGACTGGGTATTTACGTTACCTGTGAGTCACTTTTTATTTCCCCAGATGCATGAAATGTTGATAATATATAGCGTAATCCACGAAGAACTCTATTCCTGTGACCCCCCTCCCCCAAAATGGGACCGTCTTCATTAACATGTGGTTTGCGCTATGCTGGAGCAGACCAGTTAAGACCAGTCTCTCATTTCTGCATGTGCTCAATTCTCACGTCAAATTATAAATGCACCTGTTTTGTGAAAATTGTGACAGTTAAATGCTTTTTTTTAAAGTTTGGGTTGTATCAGTGGGGTTTTCAATATGCACCGATAAGTAAGAAAATCGGAAGAGTGCCATCAAGATACTGTATGTCTAACGGCACAGGTAGGCTCCGTATTTTGCCTTTTCTCAATATGTTTTAATATGACATGCTTTTAATTTGAAGTTACACTGAATTCCCTTTGAGTACCAGTTGGTATTCTTTGATACGGGTGATTGAATTTTCTTCGGAAGTACGTACGTCTACGCCTCGATGCTGAGCAAGCCTTGCGGGTTGAAAACAACTGATCTCAGACTGGTAAAAAAAATTCAATTCGGTTGATTTCATTTGCCATATTAAAATTCAAATAGGGCGTACGTAGATCACATAACTAGTTTAAGTCCACTAAAGCTACCGGTTTCAAATATAAGTGACCGGCCTTTGTTTACAACACCTGTCTCCGGGGAAATACTCGTCCCACTTGTGAAGCGCATCATGAAAATGATAGTAGGTGAGGGAAATATATAATTAGAAATTATACTTGTCGTCTTTTTTAATGTTAAGTAATGTTAGCACATATTGTACACAGCAAAATAAGATTTCAAAAGGATGATAAAACATGCCTGAAACACGTGTTAGGCGAAAATTGCGGCTTATCTTGTGTAACACTTCAGGTAAAATGCAATACTTCCGGAAAGATGGACGTTTTGGCAGATGCCCCCAACAATCCGACTATATCAAAGGTTTCCATTTGCTGTATTTTAATCAATTCAACCAAACTGACATTTTCATGAAATTAATTAATTAATCTTGGTCGAATTGTTTGGCATATTACCGTATTTATATAAAGCATCATCCCTACAGACAACCTGCACCAAGAAATACTTTATTGTGGGAAATGAAAGCATGTTTTGCTTTATATGTATTTTGTTTTGACAAAATTCTTTTTACAGCATATTTGTATGCTGTGTAACATGTAATCAGACATAAGCCTATATGAAATATGTCATCATATTCATTATTTATATGATAAAGAAATTTGCGATAAAACTTATTTTAATGTACAATAAAAAGTGCCGTGGCATACTTCTGAGTGTTATGACGTAAAACTTATTTTAATCTACAGTATAAATTGACATGCTTTCGTAAATAAATCAGAGATATTTTTTCAGGTTGGACAGACTTTCCTTTGGTTTCAGTGGTATGTATAAGTATAATCAAATTGGATTTTTTTAAATTAGATATTTAAATTTTTGCTGTTTCTTCCTTTGAGTGAGTAACTACATTTTAAAGCCTGTTTAAATGTGTCACCAGACAGATATTTCTCTAGTCATAAGTCACATATTATATATTATTATCATAGTCATAAGTCATATTATATTATTATTATTATTAGGGATATTTTGTTGCTTGAGGCAGGCTTTCTTACCATCCTGCTAGCTCCAGCGATCCCATGGAAAAATGAAACTCTGAGCCCCCATGACCATGTCATATTTTGGTTGTTAAAGTGGTTACTGTTCAGATTGATGTTTGCATCAGGAGTGGTCAAGCTGACAAGTGAATGCCCAACATGGTGGGGACTAACTGGTATGGAGCAAATTTTGTATTCATTGTAGACTAATCTGTCTATTTTATTGAACAAAAAATTCAGCATTTACAACTTTTTCAGGTCAAACATCTGTTAGTGTAATGCTCACATGAGTTATTTCCAGTTTTTGTTAATTTTTCTGCTTAATTTACAATTTATTAACTTTCAGCTTTGAATTGGCATTATGAAAGTCAGGTAAGTGTATTAAATAATTAATTAATATTGGATTTATAATATAATATAAAAAAAATAGTCTACTTTGATTTTTTAAAAAGTTTTGTATGAGACTTAAGTTGTTGTGTGCATATTATTTGGTATTGTAATAAAAAAAACACTTAAGTATATGTTTGTTTTATAAGTTTTAGTTGATAAATCAGAAATAATAGAGGTGAAATTAAATGAAAATTGTGATTCATACAGTTGTTTTACATTAAGTTAAAGAGGGAATTGTAATTGACTCATAGATCTAATGTTTTGAAACTGAGATCAGTATGTTTCAGCCTTATCACAAGACCTTTGGGTCAACTGAGATTGATTTGTCACCGATATCACATGGTGACAATCCAGACATGCTGAAACTGTCGGTCTGATCGGTCATGACTGGGAAAATTTTCTGGACCGGTAGAAAATTGGACTTGTTCGGTCCAAAGGACCGACAAGAGTTTTAAGAATTTACAGTCATCGTTTGACATACTTCACTAATAGAATTATATAAAACAAAGCGTTTTTTTCCACTTCCATTTCAAATCTACCACATTCACAAACAAAGTAAGCTACCTAATCGTACTGGTAATATTTGTCTCAAACGAGTAGGGTGATTTTCGGGCTTACAAAAATCCATTCGTTCCGGCAAATTTTTCATTACAGTCGGTCCAAATGTCCGGCCATTCTGAAAAGTTTTCTGCATGTCTGACAATCTATAAAGAACAGAATGGCATGCTTTAAGAAAAAAAAAATGTCTAATGTTGTATATGGTGTAAGTGTAAGGGCAGTTAATGAGAAGACTTAATTGTGGGGAAACAAAACGGTCTATAAGAAACAGAATGTACCAGAATGCACAGGGGCCCTAGCTCAGGTGGCACAGTCATATGAATGTGCAATATTCACCCCATACATTTTAAACCTATTTGTCTTGATCCTTGACAAAGAAGAAGATTGATTTAGAAAATGTATGAAAGAGATCATTTATGAGCAGATTGAATAACCCACCCTCAGCAAGCATGGCAAACTGAGATACCAACTACCACACCTGTGGAATTGGGCCCTGGGTGACATCCCTTGCAGGCTGTCTTGTGACATCAGTGGCAACCCAACCCAATTTCATCTGAAGAAGGCCTTGTGCTAATACTGAAACATACTGACATCAAAACTTGATATCCAGTATGAGTAATGACTGTGTAAGGGTACAATCAAATTGTCTTATAACAAAATCAGATATTTGACACCACAAGGTTTTTGATTTTTCAAATTAGCTACAAATAACAATGCATTTATAGATAAAAAAAATTCACAAAAATTAGCAGCTGATTATGTGTACTTGTCACTAAATGTTGAAATGCTTTCTGCCTTAAATTTGAAGTTACTAGCCAAATCTAACCATTTCAGTGTCTGCCAACCCCCATGGCTTGGTATTTCCACCAGCTGCCTGAATGGTTCCAGAAACTGTCAGTGGCTATGACTTACATCATTGAGATTCCTGTACCCTGGTTTTTCTTTTTACCAATTAGAGGCCTGCGTATATTTGCTTTTTATAACCAGGTATGGGGCATGAAATAGGCTAAAACTGAACAGGGAGGAACCAGATTTAGTTTTGAAAAAAATCAGTCACTTTATGAAACTGTGGTTGATTGTTGTGCTAGTGTGTCTTTTTGAGATCACAGTGTTTTGTACAAAAGATATATATTATACAAATTTTGACAAATGAACCAAATTTGCAGTTTAAGGATTTATGTAGATTATGGTTCTTCTCTGTACGTTTTAATGTTTTATTCCCAGAAAACTGCAGGACTTTTCATACATGTGTGTAACAGTATGAAAAATTCATTTGCTAATTAATTAATGTTCATGTGCTGCTTTGATCGTTTGATATTCATGGCCTTGTGTTTCTGTTTGCAGTGCAAATTTTTCAGGGTTTTCTTTTCAGGTTCACTGCTTATTTCAAAGTATTGTCCAATGTTTAAAAAATCTAATTGATGAACCTGCTTGGGTGCTTGCAGAGATTCCCCTTAAACAAAGAGTGGCTTATGTAGGAAAACAATTTTAAGTGGGTTTTTGTCATTCATAACCTCATAGCAGCTTTAGATTTATAATATTGCATGATGAAAGTCTACACATAGTATAAAAAATAACTTTGACTTTATAGTGTATTCCCACTCCATTAGCGTGGTATTTCCACCAGTTGCCAGAGTGGTGGAATAAGTTATGTGTATCTGTGGTCTTCGTAATTCTCATTCCTGTGCCATGGTTCTTCTTTTTCCCTGTTAGAGGACTGAGAATATTTGCCTTTTGGTGTGAGGTAGGTGAGCTAATGATACTCCATATTTGCTTAATATATACAAGCTTAAACTGAAGTCATTGATTTTAAAATTGGAGATTTTAGGGGAAAGATGAAACCTTTCTTTATTCCACAGCTGAGTATATACATGTATACATAAATACATTCTATATGCAATTTACGATCAGATTTTGGCACATTTGAATATTAATGTGATCTTTCACAGGACCTGACTGAATTGGTCATGATATTTATGAATATATGATCATATAAGATATTAAAAATAAAAGATGCAAGTAAAATTAGAGTGCTTTTTGTTAAATATCTAGACAACAAAATGTACACATTTATTTATATACATTACAAAATTATAAAATATTGTCTTTTGTGATTGTCTCTTAGTTTCTTGATTCAAGTACATTTTGCCTGAAATGCACAATATCACAGTTAGTCAAAGTAAAAGTTATTACCAGCCTAGCTAGTCCAACTACTTTTCCTAAAATCCAGTTAGTACAAGTAAACAATGCTCTTCCTTCTAGACATGTTTTGAGGAGCAGGTGTATCAAACACCTCCTTTGGAAAGTAGTCCAAAGTTGCCTTCTTTCCACTGTCAGCATAAGACTTGGAGATGTACCACACAAGCCCTGGCCACTGAGAGGCAAACTCAACAAAGGCATTGTGTAGCTTGATCAGAATGGGCAGCATGGCTTCCACTTTTTTCCCTCTAACAGCTATGGTCAGGGTGTGGTTTCCAGATTTCTTACACACATGCTGTCTGAGAAGTAGTTGTTCATCTTCTGTGGTTGCATAAGTCAGACTTTTCCAGTCTATTCTCTCAGTGATGATGTCTTGAATGCGAACAGATAGTCTCTCAAATAATCCAACTGGATAATAAAGTGGGAATGTGTAATCCACCTTCAACTCCTTTATGTCAAGTAGAAGTTTTGGTGTCCAGTAACCCTTGACAGTCGAGATATCCTCTGCATCTTTATTATACCAAGGAATGGCTGCAAATGGTTGGAAGTGGTGTTTGGCCAAGGGCAGGTCAGGCTGAGGGATGGCATAGAGTATGTCCAGTCTTGGAATGAAGTCCATTAGGGCATAAAACTCATCATAACCCAGCTTTAGGTAGAACCACAGGCACTGCATCATTTGTCTGGAAACCTGACCGTGCTGAAGGAACATTTTTCGATGCTCCTCAAAGATGTCAGGTTCATATTTCCCCTTGCTACTAAACACTTTGTTCTTCTCATAGTCAAGGAATGCTTCCATGTTGTGCTTGAAGATGCCTCTCAGTACTTGTACAAAGTATTTGGGTCTGTGGAAGATGACATCATGTAGCTGTGAGCTGCCTCTAAACCAAACAACATCTCCAGTGTCTCGAAGGTAGAGTAAGCAGTGAAGGACTTCCTCTTCATCAAATTTGAAACTCTTCCCAATTTCAACTGCCATATCCCAGGTTAGGAAAAGTGTTTTGTGAAGACGTAAAGCAGATTTGAAGTCGTCCCACTCTGGATCCACGATATCATGAGCATGAGGGAAGAGGTTTTCATTCACTGCTAGACGTTCCATTTCTGCCATGACATCTGCAACTCCCTTGGTGCCTTCAGTGGAGCTCACAATACTTATTGGCATCATTTTGACTGTATTCTGAAGCAGTCCTTCTATTTTCTTTTGCTGTTCTTCCAAAAATTCTGCCGCAGGAGTCTCAAAATTGATGTCGGTCTCAATGGTCTTTTGTTTCTCAATCTGGTCAGTAATGGACTCCAGCTCTTTGTTCAAGGACTCTTCATGTTCTTCCTGGTGCTTCTTAACTTGTTCCTGTATGAGTTGCAGTTTTGCCTGGCTGACTTTTTCATCTTCACACAGATCAGTGTGAGTGCCCACTATCTTGACCACTGCTCCTGGGGTTCGGACATTGATCAGGTCAATCCACTTACCAATAGTGGACTGGAAGGAGTCAGGGTTGTAGGTGCTGTGGTCATAAAGAATCATCATCAAGGCCTTTGGATCCAGAAACATGGGGTGAGTGAACATGTAGACTGGGTCACCACCCAGATCATACACCATAAAGTTGACTCCATTTTCTGTGGTCAGGAACCTCTGCTCAACTATGCTTGTACTGTCTTCCTTCCCCGCAGTCAAATTGATCTTTCCACTGATCATCGCATTGGCCAGGCTTGTCTTGCCAGATTGCGACTCCCCCATGAGGATAAGTTTAAGGCGCAGGAGCTGAGTGCGAGCAATTTTAAGCTGCTGGAGGTAAACATAGATTTTCTGTATATCTGTAGTTTTCCAGACATGCTCAGGGGGAGTGACGAGAGGATTCTTGTTAAGCCAAAGCCCAGTTTTGAACAACAGATGATAGCTGTGGGCTGAGGTTAATCTGGATAGCTTGTACAGATTTAAAGGGAGAGATGTCAACCCATTATCTGTAAGATCAAGGGTTTCTAGCCTGTACAGCTCACAGATGGAATCTGGCAGGGCTTGGATGTTGTTCTTGGCAAGCTTCAGTGTATGCAAAGTGGTCAGGTTGCTGATCTCTGATGGCAGACAGCGAATACGGTTGCTCTCCATTTCTAGTACCTCTAGGTGCTTCAGGTCACCTATGGATGGTGGGACTGTCTCAAAGACATTGCTGTTGATTTTCAGAACTTTTACTGACTTGAGTTGGCCAATATCTTGAGGCAGGTCAGAAATCATGTTGTTTGACATGTCAAGATACTGAAGGTTCTCTATCCTGTACAAAGCTTTGGGAACATCATGGAAATAATTCTTTGAGATATTGAACTCAATGAGGCTGTTAGGGCATTCATCTGGAAGATTGTTTATCTTGCAGGCCTCGAGGTCTAGGGACAGTGGACATGGCATTTCAAACAAAACCTGCGGGACATGTTCTGATTGAATTTGCCCTTTTCTTATGAGATTCTCCATATAGTCATCAACAACACTACAAAAGCTGCGATGGTTCATTTTCAGCACACAAAGATAGGGTAGCTCTTTCAAGGTCTCTGGTAAACTTTCCATGGCATTTCCATACAGCAGGATTTGTTGCAGTTCTTGACAGTAGGCAATCTCAAGGGGCAAGGTGGTTATCCCAGTTTGCTGTAGGTTTAGATATTCCAGTTTTGTCAGATGGCCTATCTCAGGGACAAGGATTTGGATTTTGTTCCTGCTGATATCTAGCTTTTTCAGCTTTTTTAATCGCCACACAGCTGGGGGTATGTACTGTAGGTTACACTCAGCAATGATCAAGGTTTCTAGAAATTTCAGGGAGTCTAATTCTGCAGGAAGTCCACCATAATCATTGGGATGTGAGCATTTGATGCCATTTCTGCTGATGTTTAAGCTGATCAAGTGGGTTAGCTTGCGTATGTCCAAAGGAATGGTTCTGAGGCAGTTTCCTGAGAGGTTCATCTCTCCTACATCTTTGGCTATTAAAATAAAAAGGTTTCCATTAACAAGGTGGATTTTAAAAGAAAAATTAATGCATGAGATTTATAAAAGTAAAATGACATTACATCAGTCATGGAGCTGTAACAACTATCCTTCAAAATAGGTATCACCATGACCTTCTCTATTCTTAAAAGTTACATAATAGCACAGTCTAATTCACTCCAATGCAATTATACAAAAATATTGACCAGAACTGAGTGTATTGGAGAAAGAAGCCATAATTTTTAAACATGATGTGCACAGTCACTTTGATTAAAATTAGACTGATCAAAGGAAATGGGGTTTCAGCTGATTCTGAATATTGTAAAATAAAGATTCTGCAATAAAGCACCACAAATAGAACTCCACACTGCACACAAATCCAGTCAAAATTAAATGAAATAAAATCATTCTACAAATGAAAATTGAAATAAAATATTAAGTACCGCCGATCCACAATGTCCGAGTCCTTTACTGTCAGATATTTAAAAAATGCAAGTGTTAAAATTCTTATCAGGTTATTATGTCAAAATAATAATTGTATATAGTTATATTTTTTTAATTATTAAAAAAACCTGAAGTGGAAACATAGCTCACTTTGAAACAGATGTGTTCCTGTAGTCAGTTTTTGTATTAATTATTCACCAAATTCTGCTTTTAAGTGAACAGGCACTGTTAAAATCTCTTGTTAAAGAAATGAAATTGTCTTTTAACCAAGAAATTATACACAAAATTATACACACCATTAAAGTAGGCTGACTGCACAGTGGTCAGCCCTTGGTTGGATAGGTCCACCACTCGGAGATATTTGTCCTCATGATGTGGAGACTTGAATGTGAGTCTCTTGATTGGTTTGGGTTCCTCTGCAGCTGTACTTGATGCTGCCAGCTTAGTGGGTGATCTAGATCTCGACCCACTGCTACCTCGTAATGTGCTTCCTGATCCAGGTTTGACAGGGGATGGGGACCGATTTCTGCCTTTCATTGAGGGGCTGTTTTTCCTCTCTTTGCCTGTAGGGCTTCGCTGACGTACTGGGGCTAGTGGGCTGCGGACATTCCGTTCTGCCAGGCGATCAGTTCTTTCAGCCCTGGCCTCCATCACTTTCAGGATTTGCTGAAATGAGATAGGAACAAGATGTGTTAAAAAGAGAAAAAAAAAACATTGGCCTTTGTTAAGATTTAGATGTAAAGAGTTGGGAATTTGTCATGATGAAAGATATAACTTATACTGTTAAAATTAAATGTTAGCCATAACAAGTTTCAAATTTTGAAAATGATTTATGGATTGGAAAGCCTGAATCCCTCCAAGCACTGAAACCCTGTTTGACATTGTTTTGAAAATTATTTCTCTGATGGCTGTTCGTTTGCATTGAATGCAGTTAGAAGTTTAGTAGAATGCATCAAATGATAAGATTGCATTTTTCTCCTGATTAATGTTATTTCTCATATTAGTTAAATAAATTGCAGCATAATTGTCTGGTTGTCAAAGTCGTGGAGAATGTATTTGTGCACCCCTGTCCATGCCTTTGGTTTTTCATAAGCAAACAAAAGTTAAGACCAGGGGGTAGATATACATATTGTTTTGTCTCCAAAGATTACACTTTTCTCGAGATCTCTATACCTTGTTTTATTAAATATTTTACCTGAATATACGCCTCTGCCTCTTCACTACTCATTTTGCTGGTTTTCAGTTGTGACCAACAAAAAGAAAGGATTACAATCTCGTACAAAATGTTTGAAAATCTTCAGTTGAACATCGTAGTTATGGCGTCTTCCAGTAAATTACTTGTTCTAAGTCTGCACTTTGAACTTATTGTGAAACCAGTAAAGTTATTGTGCATGATTGGCTTTGAATTGTATTCATTCAAATCTGGTCCACAGTTCGTTGTTGACAAGTGCACTGAATGAGTCTGACATAAACAAGCCACAAAGGTTCTCTGTTGGGGATTATGTTCAGAGAATTGAACAGTTGCCATTGAAATACAATGAATCCAGAGCAGAACTTCATATTTGGAAGAGTCTATTTAGTTGGGGTTGCATAGGTTATGTCAATTCCTACTTGAATTATTTTATTCAATTAGTCCAGTCAAGATGATATACTTTTTTATTATTTTGGAGTTACATATATCAATCATCAGATATTCAAACCATTCTTTACAGAATTATCTAGTCAAATTATTTTTCTTTATAGACAGGTTTTTGTAGTCTCAACTTATTTGAAAATTTAGCTTGACATATTATTTCCCTGTTATTCACTGCTATGATATTGTTCTCCCCTTTTTCAGCGGGCAAAGAATATATAAAATCTTTCATCTGTTATTTATTTTTGAAAATAAAGCATGTTTTGCTGTTAAGTAAACTTGTGTTGTAACTAACTTTTCATATGGATAAGTGGTAACAAAAATATCAAACTTCTAAGTGAGACATGGCAACAGATACCCTGTGCAATGTTCAAAATTGATTTAACACATTGAGGTAAATTGGCAATGTTGATATTGGACTTGATGGGCAATGGCAGGGATTTATTGGCACAAAATGTTGTTCTCTTAAAGCAGCATGACAAATTCACAATTTTCAGTCATTCAAAGCACTGCAATTTCATGTTAAAGAAACCTGTTGCCATGACTGGCAACTATGTATGTTATATTGGAATTTATAGTATTGTCATGGATTTTTAGATCATCAGAGAGATTTCATAGGTCAGAAATAATGGCAGATTAGGGAGTGTGATGGGACATTAATCATATTTATCCATGGATACGTATTTTTTTCTATCTGTTTTCCTTTTAATTTTGGGCACTTCCATATCTGAGTATCGACCTTCATACAAATATTGGTTAATCATGCATTTGGCCATTTAAATGATGTCTACCCTGATAAAATTTGCCACAAATATAAAGCTAAAAATAGGTTAATGGTCGTTAATATTTATTCCCTATGAGTATTTCACCATTTGCATACCAAATCTTGTCAAACAAAGCTTCACTTTTTTCTTATTAGCAAGGTGTTATGGATGTTTTTTTACCAAACTTTTATGACATTATAGGTCAAACTGCTATGTATGTATGTATGCTGTGTTTATGTTTAATATTTTGTCATGCGTCCTTGTACAAATATACTTAGAGTGTATTCAGAACAGATGATCTGCGGAATTATTGATTAGCGTACTAAATATGGCCAACCCCACATAAAAGGTAGCCGCTCATAATCCATTGATGGTCTCCTGGCCTCCACACATGCCATCCCCGCAGAGACCTTGCAGTTAAACCTTAGAGCCGAGACTTAATCTGTTTAATGACGCATATGGAGGCAGTGAGACCATCGCGGATTAAGTGTCTTCCTTTTATGATGGGTCAGCCATACTTAATCTGCGGATCAAAAAGTCGGTGGATCATCTGTTCTGAATGCACTCTTAAAATTGTTGTATCACTGCACAACTTTAATAATTATACATTTGTGTATATATTTATAGACTGTCTGCCATTTTGTCTTGTGTATTATTTGGTCATATTTATTTTGTTCAACATGTGTGAAAATCTAAAGGGGTATTACTTAAGAATACTCAGAAAATAGTGTTACATGAAGTTTAGTGTTACATGATGTATGTAGTCAGGTACCTGTTGCAAAGCTCATTAATCCCAAAACAACATTCTCTCAATACCATTTTGAATTGTAAGTGAAATATATGCTTCCATTGTTAGTCCATTATTTAATAATGCTTCAAAATGAAAAGAAATGAGGTCAATATAGCTTTTCTACATTTCCTAGGCAAGATTTTCAGCACACATTCCATCCAAGGTTGCACCTCTCTTTTCACTTCTTGGACTGAAGAGATTGGCATTTTTGAATAAAAATTTTAAGTCATGCCATATATAAAAAACTTACCTTCAAACTAAAACTGCAATAACATTATGAAGTAAATCACCAGTCCTAAAGAAATTGCTCTTGTAGTCCTGCACGGTCTATTCCTAAGACAAGCACTGTATGAACATGCCATCTGTGCCATGCTATAAAGTTCTTGGTTGTTTAGATAAGGGACCTGTTTGTACAAGTTGACCTACTCTTTATAGATTTTCAGCCTCATTGGCTGTTCTTTATGCCAGCTGATTTTCTTTTGAGTCCTAAATAAGGCCAGTTTGATTTTCTTTTTGCTTCTCAGTGCTTCCAATATTTATTCACGAACAATGCTAGTGGAAAATTACTTTGAATAGTATGCATTCTTCACTTATTTGCCTGGTGTAAACAGCCATTTATGGGTTTAGAATGTTTGCATGTTAACCTACAGATCAGTGCTTTGTAGCCTGGAATAATTGATGTAATATTGCCCAAATACCAAATGCGTCAATTGATATTTACAGAAATAACACTCATGATGATGATCTTGTATGTAAATTTCAATTTAATGTTTATGAACAGATCTTATTTCTTAAAGAAAAAAAGTTGCAAAGACCTTGTCTGCCTCCAGACTGCTGGTTGCTATGGAGGTTTTTAAGTCTCTGTCCAAGTACCATCCATTATGTCATATCAAGAGTTTAAACTTAATAAACACCTGCTGGTACTCTAAATTTAAAGTATTGAAAAAGTGCTTGAATTGTATTGTTAAACCCACCCATTATCCTTTTGACATGCAGCATAGTGTTGATTTAGTGACCAGCTTTTGTAAAGCTGACAAACAGTGTAAGAGTTTTACGTTATGCATAAGGTTTGGGGTTACATCTTTCAGTCCATTGTTGTCTTCAGAAGCTTGGTAGACTATAATCAAAACATAGCAACAGTTTAGAAATATGCTATCTAGCTTCATGTATTTGAAACCTTTTGTTTTTAAATGTGTGTTTATTTTCTTTTTATTTGAGATAGGGTGATATGATTTCTTTCTAAATAATTTCTTTGATGTTATATGACACTATATGCCCATGTTACACAATTTTCTGTATGTCATATTATTGCCACTGTGTTGTCGTTTTTCAGCTTTTCTTTTTCTTTCAATTATTTTTCTTTGAATTAAATTTGATATCTAATCAGAACGATATGTATTATTTGCACTCCACACTTCGATTATCAGAAGACTGGATTAAATATAGATTGCCCTGCAAGCTATGTATGCCTTTCAAAGGTTGTTCAGCAGGTCCTTAGCTTTAAAATAACTTGTAAGCATTTAAGCAATTGCCCTGCTATGAGCAGTTTGTCACCTATAAAGACTCACCTCTATGAGTTGACTGTTGCAGATCCAAACTGTGGGAGATTGTGAACTTTCAACTGAACCAAACAGCACTCTAATGCTGTGTCCTCATTTTGAAATTCCATCCATTGTGCTTAACAGTTGGAAGTTGTCTCCAATTACCGTGGTTACTATTTACCTAAAATTTATGTCACATTTAGATACCACTGAACTATTCTTTAAATGTTCTAACAATTTTTGGCCTTACAGTGTAGCTAGCCAGTACAAAAATGCACTGTTTATGGATTTTCTTTTCAAAGGAAAGTAGGACAGTTGAATTGTAAAGACATTGATTTATTGATTTTTACTGTTATGCAAATGTGTGTTTAGTCACATGTTGGTAAAGTCAGCAAGGGTTGACGTGTGATTAATGAATAGTTTTTTTCTTAAATGCAGTTTTTCTTGTGTGTGTCAAAGTATTTCATAAAAATGTGCTTGTGTCGTAAAATTGCCTAAAGAAAAAATAATGTAAAGTTTGCTTTTGATCTTTTCATTTTTAAGAGTATGAAAGTTGTCTCCTGTAAAACGATAGAAAACTTTCAAAAAGTTGATTATATGCACCGATACATATTTATAAATTGTCATGTAAAATATATATTAAAAAGCGATAAATTCTGCAATCTTTATTTATCATAGCCTTCTTTCTGTCTAAGATCTTAGTTTCTGTATACTTATTTGTTTCATTTAAAAGTATTTTAGTAATGCTTGAACTTAATAATTTGTCATTTTTGATGAATTAGTGAATTTAAAGGATATAGACTACTGAAAAGAAGGGTTTGATTTTACTTCTCGACTGAATTGAATCTGCCAACCTTAAATTTTGTATTTCAGGTTTTCTTCCAAATACTTATTATCATCACTGGAAACTACAACTTCTTTAACATGCTGACCATTGTTCTGTGTATGAGCCTGTTAGATGACCAGTACCTGACTGGCAGAAAACCTAAATATGGTCAGTAACGTGCTCTACAGATTTCTCTGTGATTTCTCTTACACACCTGGGCCTTACTAAAAATGTTTAAATNGTATGTATGCTGTGTTTATGTTTAATATTTTGTCATGAGTCCTTGTACAAATATACTTAGAGTGTATTCAGAACAGATGATCTGCGGAATTATTGATTAGCGTACTAAATATGGCCAACCCCACATAAAAGGTAGCCGCTCATAATCCACTGATGGTGTCCTGGCCTCCACACATGCCATCCCCGCAGAGACCTTGCAGTTAAACCTTAGAGCCGAGACTTAATCTGTTTAATGACGCGTATGGAGGCAGTGAGACCATCGCGGATTAAGTGTCTTCCTTTTATGATGGGTCAGCCATACTTAATCTGCGGATCAAAAAGTCGGTGGATCATCTGTTCTGAATGCACTCTTAAAATTGTTGTATCACTGCACAACTTTAATAATTATACATTTGTGTTTATATTTATAGACTGCCTGCCATTTTGTCTTGTGTATTATTTGGTCATATTTATTTTGTTCAACATGTGTGAAAATCTAAAGGGGTATTACTTAAGAATACTCAGAAAATAGTGTTACATGAAGTTTAGTGTTACATGATGTATGTAGTCAGGTACCTGTTGCAAAGCTCATTAATCCCAAAACAACATTCTCTCAATACCATTTTGAATTGTAAGTGAAATATATGCTTCCATTGTTAGTCCATTATTTAATAATGCTTCAAAGTGAAAAGAAATGAGGTCAATATAGCTTTTCTACATTTCCTAGGCAAGATTTTCAGCACACATTCCATCCAAGGTTGCACCTCTCTTTTCACTTCTTGGACTGAAGAGATTGGCATTTTTGAATAATAATTTTAAGACATGCCATATATAAAAAACTTACCTTCAAACTAAAACTGCAATAACATTGTGAAGTAAATCACCAGTCCTAAAGAAATTGCTCTTGTAGTCCTGCACGGTCTATTCCTAAGACATGCACTGTATGAACATGCCATCTGTGCCATGCTATAAAGTTCTTGGTTGTTTAGATAAGGGACCTGTTTGTACAAGTTGACCTACTCTTTATAGATTTTCAGCCTCATTGGCTGTTCTTTATGCCAGCTGATTTTCTTTTGAGTCCTAAATAAGGCCAGTTTGATTTTCTTTTTGCTTCTCAGTGCTTCCAATATTTATTCACGAACAATGCTAGTGGAAAATTACTTTGAATAGTATGCATTCTTCACTTATTTGCCTGGTGTAAACAGCCATTTATGGCTTTAGAATGTTTGCATGTTAACCTACAGATCAGTGCTTTGTAGCCTGGAATAATTGATGTAATATTGCCCAAATACCAAATGCGTCAATTGATATTTACAGAAATAACACTCATGATGATGATCTTGTATGTAAATTTCAATTTTATGTTTATGAACAGATCTTATTTCTTTTTTTAAAAAGTTGCAAAGACCTTGTCTGCCTCAAGACTGCTGGTTGCTATGGAGGTTTTTAAGTCTCTGTCCAAGTACCATCCATTATGTCATATCAAGAGTTTAAACTTAATAAACACCTGCTGGTACTCTAAATTTAAAGTATTGAAAAAGTGCTTGAATTGTATTGTTAAACCCACCCATTATCCTTTTGACATGCAGCATAGTGTTGATTTAGTGACCAGCTTTTGTAAAGCTGACAAACAGTGTAAGAGTTTTACGTTATGCATAGGGTTTGGGGTTACATCTCTCAGTCCATTGTTGTCTTCAGAAGCTTGGTAGACTATAATCAAAACATAGCAACAGTTTAGAAATATGCTATCTAGCTTCATGAATTTGAAACCTTTTGTTTTTAAATATGTGTTTATTTTCTTTTTATTTGAGATAGGGTGATATTGATTTCTTTCTAAATAGTTTCTTTGATGTTATGTGACACTATATGCCCATGTTACACAATTTTCTGTATGTCATATTATTGCCACTGTGTTGTTTTTCAGCTTTTCTTTTTCTTTCAATTATTTTTCTTTGAATTAAATTTGATATCTAATCAGAACGATATGTATTATTTGCACTCCACACTTCGATTATCTGAAGACTGGATTAAATATAGATTGCCCTGCAAGCTATGTATGCCTTTCAAAGGTTGTTCAGCAGGTCCTTAGCTTTAAAATAACTTGTAAGCATATAAGCAATTGCCCTGCTATGAGCAGTTTGTCACCTATAAAGACTCACCTCTATGAGTTGACTGTTGCAGATCCAAACTGTGGGAGATTGTGAACTTTCAACTGAACCAAACAGCACTCTAATGCTGTGTCCTCATTTTGAAATTCCATCCATTGTGCTTAACAGTTGGAAGTTGTCTCCAATTACTGTGGTTACTATTTACCTAAAATTTATGTCACATTTAGATACCACTGAACTGTTCTTTAAATGTTCTAACAATTTTTGGCCTTACAGTGTAGCTAGCCGGTACAAAAATGCACTGTTTATAGATTTTCTTTTCAAAGGAAAGTAGGACAGTTGAATTGTAAAGACATTGATTTATTGATTTTTACTGTTATGCAAATGTGTGTTTAGTCACATGTTGGTAGTCAGCAAGGGTTGACGTGTGATTAATGAATAGTTTTTTTCTTAAATGCAGTTTTTCTTGTGTGTGTCAAAGTATTTCATAAAAATATGCTTGTGTCGTAAAATTGCCTAAAGAAAAAATAATGTAAAGTTTGCTTTTGATCTTTTCATTTTTAAGAGTATGAAAGTTGTCTCCTGTAAAACGATAGAAAACTTTCAAAAAGTTGATTATATGCACCGATACATATTTATAAATTGTCATGTAAAATATATATTAAAAAGCGATAAATTCTTCTGCAATCTTTATTTATCATAGCCTTCTTTCTGTCTAAGATCTTAGTTTCTGTATACTTATTTGTTTCATTTAAAAGTATTTTAGTAATGCTTGAACTTAATAATTTGTCATTTTTGATGAATTAGTGAATTTAAAGGATATAGACTACTGAAAAGAAGGGTTTGATTTTACTTCTCGACTGAATTGAATCTGCCAACCTTAAATTTTGTATTTCAGGTTTTCTTCCAAATACTTATTATCATCACTGGAAACTACAACTTCTTTAACATGCTGACCATTGTTCTGTGTATGAGCCTGTTAGATGACCAGTACCTGACTGGCAGAAAACCTAAATATGGTCAGTAACATGCTCTACAGATTTCTCTGTGATTTCTCTTACACACCTGGGCCTTACTAAAAATGTTTAAATTAAAAAAAAATTTTTTTTCAATTCTGGTATAAAAAAATTAGTCTGAACATCGAGCGAGTGTTCAAACCATTTGTGGAAGCTGCTCAGCTGATTATGAAAACAATCTGACATTTTACATTTAAGAGTGTAATTTGAAAAAAAAAAGCTTATAGAATCTGGAAAAGCTATACTTGCTGTCTATTTACATTTCTTTTATTTTCCTCAACAGGAATCAAAACTCACTTCATAATAAGACATTTTTTTCAAAACTGGCATAAAAGACTATAGTAAGTCTAGAAACATTTTTAGAAAGGAACACCCATGAAAGAAGCTTTTGGGGGTCATACTATTCAATCATGAAAGAAGCAGTTGGTTTCTCAATTAGAAAGTGAATGAAAATGTATCACATGTATCTATTTGCAGCAACAGAATATTGCTTTTTCAGTACCAATAAAAATTCCACTGGTTGGCCTTGTTTGGAAAGTGGCAAAAATAGTCACAGCTGCTGGTTCACTTTCTGCGCTTTTGTACTACTCCATTACCTTGTTTAACTTGAAGATACGTCCAGATTGGACTGTTGACTCAAAGATAGGTAAGGGTGAGAGCAAGTATTTGAGCAGATATTTGATCAACATGCATCTTTCTTAATCATTGGAGACTATTATTTTTCATGTTTAAAGAGCTGCATAATTATGCAGAGATGGTATACATATATGCATTATAGAAGAATATTTCCTTACTTTATAGATGGAGAAGATAGCCTGGAAAGTTGGGGAAGGTTTTTAAACCTAAAAAAAAACATGAAATTTCATCATGGAATAAAAGCATTCTCTGTTTCCATGTTTAATCATTTGTATTAAAACACAGGGCATGCCTTCATCATATTATTTTTTGAAGAAAATATAAAAGCTATTGCCTAAGTAAAAGATTTTCCTAATATTTATGTGGCTTTTTCTGTATCATTTTCTTGTCTAAAAGTGTTTGATAAAAGATTTTATCATGAAAACAAGGATGTCTCTTGGATTCATTAATAGTTTATTTCTCATCAACAACTTGGGCATTCCAAAATTTGTGAACATCAAAACATATCTTTTTGAACATTGCAGAATTTACTTTATCGGATTTAAATGAATTTCTGAAGAAGTCTGTACCTCTGTCTATTGCTGTTGGTATTATGTCTCTTGGTTTTGAGACACTGAAGGCTGTTCTAAGGTGGGTGAGAATTAAATTCAAAACATTTTACTTGCAATATAATTCAGTCCAGAGGAAAAAGTTTCTTTTGGGAGCCTTCATTGCAGTTTAAGAATTTAGTTCAGAAATAAATAGAAATTCAAAATCGGGGATATCTTGATCTCAGATTTTATGTATAGAATTTATATATTTTTAGTTCGTTAAAAAGACCAGGATTGAAGAAGATAGTGTCCTTGGTTGGCTGTGTAGTATTTGGTATAGCAGCAGTTGGGATGTTTGCTGTAAGCCTGGTAGGTTATGATATTGCACATCAATATCTGATTTAGTTTTTTCAGTAGAAAATGCTAAATATGTCTACCTTCAACTAGTAATTTACAGACAATAAAAAAAAAGAAATTCAACTTTTAGAACAAACCATTCATATTTTCACACTTTCTGTCATTGGAACACTTTATTTTTTACAGCATGTACTCTACAAAATGTAAACAGTAAATACTACTTATATACGTATATATTGTAAATAATATACATGCAAAGTAGTATAAGAGGAATTTAATTTATTCACATTTTAATACTGTGGTTAGCATAATCATACTTGCACATGAGACTTTTGATATATCTACAATGACCCTTTGTTAAATTAAAACTACAGTAATGCCACTTTTAATCAAAGCACCCTGAAATGAATCTATTTCCACCTAGTATAGCAAGTTTCTTATAGTTTGAGCAAGAAAAAACAACACTCTGTTATTAGGTTCCACATACAGTGATTGAGAAAGAAACCAGAGGGAAGATCCCTCCTGGTATTAAGGCCATACACTCAAAAGCCATGGTCTACAGGCTGTCAAGTTCATATGGCCTATTCAGAAGGTACCAGATGAGCAAATACAGGATGTCCCAGAATAAATGTAACCCAAGATCCTGAATGCCATTTATTTTCTGTTAACAAACTTTATACAACCCATAAATTTCTGAAAGCTAGAGAAGTAAGCAAACCTGCTTCTTCAAACAATATGTCACTAGATCTACTGAAGATTTTTTCCACATTTATAGAATGTGCTCCAAATGTGCTCCACTCAGCTGAAGACACACTTGAATTCTACAGGTGTGTTATCAATGCTTTTTAATCACTCTTCTTTTGGTATAGTTCTTATTTCTTGAGTGATTGCTGCCTTGGATGGTTTGGGGGTTGTTCCTATATCAAAACATGGTCTTTGCATTCCCTGGCCTCCAAAGGATTGAGTCTTTAGGAACAACCCCCACATCATATCCCAGAGTCATTGGTAACTTGGCTCATAGAATTCTAGTGTGCCTTAAGCAGAATGGAGCGTATTTGGAGCATATTCTATAAATGATGATAAAATCTTAGCCAGTATGGCTAGTGACATGTTGTTTGTAGCAGTAAATTTGCTAATTTCTTTAGTTTTTAGACATAAATGGGTTGTATGTAGTTTGTAAACAAGAAATGAATTTTCTTAAATTACAATTATTCTGGGATAATAGTGTTTGTCATGAGGTTTATATCTTGGAAGTTTCTTGAAAAAGGAATGGTACATTTATGGAATCATAGTTTCATTAACAAAATAAGTCTTTTCCTGAGAAACTTCCATGAAGCAGACACACATTGGCCATTGAAGGTTATGGCTTATGTTTTTGTTACTAAAGGCCAGACTCTGTCGGACTGCTGTGCACCTATATTGTGCTTTTTCCCTGTGTTCTCTCCTTAGGTCCCTCATACTGATATAGAATGGGAAACTAAACAACAACTTTGGCCTTCAATTCATCAATGGCATGGGCATGTGAGACCCTATGAGATTTCCAATGCATATGGCTTGTTTAGAACGTAAGCCCTTAATGGCCATATAGTTTTGATTTGCATGCTCTTTTATTAAATTTTGTATGAAATATATGTTTACTTAATGAAAATTGTGTGTGCTTGAAATAAATGTACAGATCATTCACTTAAAATTCTTTGTTAAAGCTGTATTGTGTTGCAACTTTTGAGATCCAACCACTTTCATGTTAAGTTTGCTTTTCCCATTGTCTTATCAATGACAACTTAATATGTCATGGCGATATCACAGAAAAATTTGTTTGTCTTGTTATTTTTGCACTGGACATTTGCATGTGCTCATTCACATATTGGTAAATTTCACTCCCAGCTATACCTTTTCAGTAGAAACATCTCTAAAGGTTTTCATATTAATTACAAATATTTAGTCCTTTATATCTGAATTATATATTATTAATAAATTCTTTTTAGGATGACGGGAGTGGGTGGACGCCCAGAAGTGATAATAGAGGGCAGTAACAGCATGGATTATGGATGGAAAGAATATGAATTTTATTACAAACCTGGCAATGTTTCACGCAGACTACCAATAGTTGGTAAGTAAAAGATGTTGACAAAGAATATTTAGTACACATATATTTTCAGACACTGTGTGATCTGAGAGTATTATGCTTCTAGAAACTTGAAGGGATAATGTATGTAGTTTTAACATAAAGGTAATCATGGTAAATGATTAATTTTCTAAATAGCTTGACAGAAAAAAAAAGGCAAATCTTATGGTTTCTTATGGTTTTCATTTTGATAATTACCATCTCTTTATTGTGCTCCTTACCCAAGAGTTTATTAGGGTTACTTTTCTTCAGTTGACTAAAATTGAATAAGCAGCTGTATGCATACTATTTTACTTATGTGAAAAGTGGTGTGGTATTATTGGAAATTATATATTTGCTTATATGTTAAGAATAGTCTGATAAAGACTTTGTCGTTGATATAGTAGCACAAACAACTTCAAATCTGTCGCATAAACCTGGGATACATGCTCCTTAACTAGTCTGTTATGTTATCTTTTGTTTGTAGCTCCTCACCAGCCACGTTTAGACTGGCAAATGTGGTTTGCTGCTCTAGGAACCTACCAGCAGAACCCATGGCTGGTGAACCTGGCATACAGACTCCTAACTGGTCAGCCAGAAGTGCTGGAACTAATCCAATACAATCCTTTCCCTGATCACCCACCTAAGTATATCAGAGCTAATTTATTCCATTATCACTACACCAGCTGGGACAAAAAGAAAAAAAGGTAACAGTAACCGGATTATGGGATTTTTATAGATATGCAAAAGTGGCCAAAGACAAAGGTTTTATTTGTATTACTCAATGTTGAATGATTGTTATTTTGTCACCTCTAAAACTAATTTTGCAAATAATTTCCACTTAGATGAAATATGATTAAGTCTCAATGCTATTCAAAAATGGATAGAATGAAGAGGCCAGTTATATTTCAAAAACCAAGAAAACATCAAGACAGTGTTGCCTTTACATATTTACATTATTTTATTTTTTCCTAGATATTCTACTAAAAACTGGTGGTGGAGACAAAAGAAAAATGACTACCTCCCAATTTTGTCTAGTGACGAGGACTCATTGGTGCAATATATGAGGCAGCAGAACATTATATATGTAAGTTCATCAAAACAATTTATTTATACATTTATAGTTTGAATAACTTTATTCAAGTATCATTCATAATAATTGAATGAAAGGCTAATTTTGCATACCTTGTGTGAGAAGGTGCATTTCATTAGGTAAATGCAAGCAGTTATTTTGAGTTATGTTGAGAGAAATGTTGATTAATGGTATTCTGTGTTCATTTGAAAATGTCTGTGTTACTTTTTTATATCTAAATATACTGCAAAGTTAGATGTACATCTTTCCCAATTCAGTCCCCATAAAAGAAAGAGCACTTCAAATGAAAGTACCAGATGTTAATATTTCCTTCTGAAATGCCAGGAAGATGCGTCATTCACTTAGAAAAAAAAAAGTTAATTTTTTTTAATTTTTGAAATGGCATTGAATTCTAATGCAGGAACAGAAACTTTTTGTGTGTAAGAGAATAATGCTACAATGTGATAAAAAATTACATTTGACATGAAAACCCTGTATAGCATTACTTTGATACGATATATCATATATAATATTATTGGTACATTTAATTTGTTTTCTCTCACTTGATAAAAGTGTAATTTCAAAATCCTTTTGTTGTGGATAATTTGTTCCTTGTTGGATTGATGATCAAGTACCATTATTACAAATGTTAATATATTCCCATCTCCAATATGATCTTTATTTATGTTTCAGAAACCTGAGAAGAAACCCCCAGCAAACATGTTCAGGACATTTGTGGAATATATTCGAAATATGATTGGCCAGATGGAAGGTTTCACCTTTGTTGTCTCAATATTTACTGCAGCAGTAGCTGTTACCTTTTTAGGAATATTTTCACCATAACATTGTCAAAATACTTCTCCTTGTAGAAGTTCTGAAGGCATCCAAAGTTAAATAAAAACAATTTATACATACTTTTTGCTTACAAATGATTTTGTTAGCAAGTATATAAAATGGTGCTGGTAATGTAGACGTAATGTAGACACAGCTGCAGTAACTCTGTGTTCACCTGTCATTTGATGCTCCTATTGGAGAATATACTGCACTAGTAGCCTTGCCAGTATCAAATCTAGGATGAATTATGCTTATTCTGCTTCAAAATTTTCAAGTTTTGATATATAAAATAAAATTGGAATGGACAAATATTGATGAAAAGTCTAAAAATCAATTAAGGCTGTTGCATCATGTTATTGGTCACATTCAAGTAATTTATTTGTACTTGCTCAAAAGAAAGAAAATTAACTTTATTTAAGTTTGTTATGCATGAGTATAAGTTTTTCTCTCATTTAGATATTGTAGTACTGTATGAAATATTTAAAATGAAGTACAATTTGATGAGATCTTTTATGCATTTTGTTATAAGTACCAAGAAACTCTTCACTGGTCTTGTGTACTTTAAAAATTTAATGATTCAATGATAGTGGTAATAGCAGTGTACGTAGATGCTGCCATCCAGTTTCAAAAGGATTTTAATTATAATAACAATACACAAGACATTGTGTAATCTTGCTGAAAATGATCTGATAATATTCTGCTTCTAGAAACTTGAAGGGATAATGTAGGGGGTTTCAACGTAAAGAAAGTGGTAAATTATTAATTTTCTAAATTTAATCTATTTCATTGATAGAAATTAGCAAAGTTGCTGGTGCCATTTTGATATATATATATCCTGTTGCTTATTGGCTTCTCTCCATTACGTTCCTTATCCAAGAGATTATATTTATTTTTTTCAGTTCGGACTTAAAGCTGAATGAACAGTAATGTGCATGTACACTTTTATTTGTGCAAAAATGTTGTGTGGTGTTATTGGAAATTATATATATTTACATATATTGTCTGAAAACAAATTGTTGTTATAAATTGTTGTTAAGTGCCTATTTTCAAGAATGATGTTTTCACCAATATGTACTAGTACATTTAGTAGTCAAGTTACATTTTGGTATTTATATAATCAAAATGGTCATATGTAAAACACTTTCATATCCATTTTTTTCAAAGATCTTGAATTTTATGTTTTACTGGTACTTTGATATCCGTATATGTGTGTATCAGCTTTTTTGACTGGGTGCCCAATAAAACATTTTGCCCCATATCCATGCAGTTTGTTTCATTTTATCAGAGAGTAAAGAAAACAGTTATGGTATGCTATTTATCTCCAGCCTGTCTCCAGTCCAAAGTATTATTTTTATTATGTTTACATAAGGGTAACCATCATGGCCTGATTCAATCTGGTTTTGAATCAAATTCTGCATTTGTTTATAGCTAAACCAAAACTTTTCAAAATCTTGATCTGATGTAGCAATTTGCAACTCATCTTGTGTCTCAAAAAAATTGGTCCTGTTTTTGTATTTTTACCGATAAGTACACCTATTTTACCGTCAATGCCACAAAAATATACTAAAAGAGAAGTAAACCGAGCACTTGTTTAATATGATATTGCATTGGGAGAGACAGGACTTGGAGGTGTTGTGATTGTGTTAGTGGCACAATACAATACACCAATTGGATCTCTATAATTAGTCAGTGCTGACTCCTAAGTTACCCATTTCCGGCCGGCAAGTGACATATCCATTTCCTGGAGTTTAATAATTATTTAAAGTACTGTGCACGATGAGTGACTTTGTGTGGAGTATCAAAAATGGGGATTTAGAAAAAGTCAAAGAATGCGTTGAAATTTCGGTGAGTTTTTACATAAATCAGTTTGTCCTTAACTTACAGAATGCAAGGATGGCAACACCCATCTTCTACATACAGTAGATACTGTACGGTAGAACTTCTAAAAGTCTCCCTCTCACATACTCGTGGATGCTTACTTGATGAGTTATTCATTTCATTAATTTTGGGGAGGATCTAAGTTGTCAAGAACATATCACATCAGTCTAAACTGTTGCGGACTTGGGGATCGTCAATGTCAATTCTGCTATAATATAAGCGTATTTATACCATTATAGCAGTAATAATACTGTTACTGTTACTGTAAAAGTATACGTATCCATACGTACATGTTGTAGCCATCGTGCGTACGGGGCCGTAGCGATAGTCCGAAGGTTCAATAGTCCGAAGGTTCATTGGTCCGAATGTTCACTATAGAACCTTCGGACCAATGAACCCTCGATTAAAAAATCAATGAAAATGTTACCACTTTTCGGACCAATGAACCTTCGGACCAATGAACCTTCGGACTATCGAGACGCCCCCGTGCGTACATGTATGAGCTTCCAAATATAGATATTGACAATGACACACTTATAGTGCTTATAGCCATGTTATTCACTCTTGTATGTACATGTATGAGCCTCCAAATGCAGATAAAGGCAATAGCAACTTTATATATATATATATATATATATATATATATATATATATATATTGAAAGTAAAAGTATATATATTGATGGATATTTATGAAGAGGTACAGAGGAAAATACATATGTAACAACTCGAGATAAGCAGATATCAGTGCAGGGCACTGTGTATGTACTAGTAGTTTTGAAAATTACTGTTTAATAAACACACAAATGACAAGGATAAACTGTTGCAAAAGTCTTAACAGTTAATTTGGTTAAACTGGAGGGGAATTATATATGTTAAAGTGTTTAACTGTAGACCACACATGTAGCGGAGAGCAACACATTAATTCCATGACTTTATAATCAGTTGTCCTCTCCATGACAAACTAAGGGTGCTTTCCCAGAGATTTAGATCGATCCAAAGATTAAGTTTTATATCGACCTAACTCCCTGGGGGTTCACGCTAAATTGCAGTCAGCCGAGCGGACACCATAGTTAATTACCCCCTTACAGCGTTTAGTAGGCAGGACAGACGCTTAAGCCGGCCAAGCTGACAGTAATCTAGTGAGACTCCCCACAGGGATACATCGATCTAAAAATCTATGGAAATGGGGTGTAAGACTGGGTTCCCATACCTAGATCAATCTAACAGGATTGAACCATCGCCAAGGGGTTTCTCACTAAATGGCTTTCAGCTTAAGCAGTTTAGATGTCTGACTTGCCTACTGAAGCTGCTAAACAATAATTAATTACCCCCTAGCAGCTTGAGTAGACGTGACAGACATTTAAGCCGCTGAAGTTGATAGCAATTTAGCGAGAATCCTCTCTAAGATAGATCAATCCACAGTTAGTATGATATGGCCTAGGAATGGTCCCGAAATATATATATGGCATTTGAATGTTGACCATAAACCTACATGTACATGAACATTCCTTGTCAGCCAGCTCATTGGGTTTAAGGTTATTATAGTGTAGGTCATACATGTATGTATTCTTATGCAAGCTAAATGCACCATAATCATTGTAAAAGAAATTTCATTCAAATGACCTTTTTTCAGAAGTGTGATGTAAACAGTGAAGTTGATGGAAGATACCCAATTCACTTTGCATCAGATTATGGACAGCTGAGTGTTATTGAATACTTAATTTCCAAAGGTGCTAAGGTTGATGTAAGTAAAAGGCCTTTCCTTTCATATCTATTCTTGATTTGTGTATTTAAGACTTATTGAAATAAATTCATCCAGTTTAACAAGACAAAAGTGCTGATCAAAGATGTATCAAGTGCCATTGTTGATAAAACCCAGTAAAGACAGGAATTTAAACTAACAATAAAATGATATCCAGAGATTTTTACTCTGATGCTTTATCTGTTACATAAGTTTCAAAAAATGGAAAGCTGTGTGAATCTGCAAATATCATGGTTTCCCACTTCTCAAAGCAAGTGTAGTATAACTGTAGGTGATTTTAATATTCCTTGACTAGTGTCCTTCAGATAATAAGAGTCTGTGTCCTGGGAATGCTCAATGTTGTATGTCTAGCTCTGGGTTAAGACGGCAGGTGTTCATAAGCTAATTTTGCAGTCAATTCCCTTTATTGCTTTTATTTTACAATTTCTTTTTTATAAAGACATTTGTAAATATGTGTGCTTTTAAAGGCCCTACTTACAATAAGAACAAAAAGGTCATGCCTCAGTCATTAAAGAATATCTCTTACAGGTGATGTTGAGGCAAGTGAGTCATTCAATTCACTCTTAAACAAGCATGCCACTTTGCATGCTGCAGGGGTACAAGCATGGCTTTTTTTTTTCATGAGAGTATAATCAGTCAGCATTTTTGCTTTTAAATTTTTAGAGGCTGATACTTGGAAAAGGACATTTACAAAAATATTCCCTGTTCTTTTTTCCTTAGGTTAATGATAAACATGGCATTTCCCCACTTCTAGCTGCAATCTGGGAAGGTCACACAGAATGTGTAAAATTACTAATAGAAAAGGTATGTACATTTTGTCATCATTTTTAGATACTAGTTAACTATATAAAGTAAACTGAGCTGATAAAGGTCACACATTCAAATTTGTTCCATATCTTTAAGTGGTTCTCACAACCAAAGCAACATACAGTTAGGCATCATTTGGTCTTTCACATTATCCAGTGCAGAAATATTTTTCAATGGTGGTCCAAGATTTTTTTTTTTTTAGGGACTGATGATTTTAACTGTTGCCTTCAATATATCATAAGTTTTCTAGCAAAATTTGAAGTTCAATTTATTCTTATAGGGTGCCAAGAAAGATGGCAAAGCACCAGACGGCCAGTCCTATGCAGCTTGTGCCGAAAAAGATGACATTAAAGCTCTTTTGCGATGAACAAAGTGACCTTTGAAGAATATTCAGTGACAGATGACACTCATGTTATACTGTTAATGACATTCATGTCACATCCAATGATGGCAGTTTGCATTGCCTGGTGATATCTATACAACATCATGCAAGAGTTCAGAAGTGGTGCATTCATGATGGAATATTTTATGATAATGACAAATCATCATATTTAGACAAGAAAATCTATCAGTATTGTGCAATAGATGTATTGTCTTGAGCAATTCAAATGTAAATGAATGTCATGATGGAAAAAGAAAAATGCTACATTATTAAAATTGTCTATAATTTTCACGAAGTTCCTTTTAGTGTGCTACGTTGCCTTTGCCTCAGTAGTGTATTCTTAAAAGATAGTCACAGCACTTTGGAACACTCAAATCTGGTGAAGTTGCTTATATATTCCAATGAAACAGTTTGCTTATGGACCAATGTAAATATTGTAGACTCCAGAGAAGTGGATTGCCAAGGAGGTTAATATTAAGTATATAATGTAGTTGACGAAAACAGCAATTTTGAGACTTGTGTATGCAGGCTACGCTTGCTCGTTTTGCAGTAATAAAAATGCTCACTCTAAGCAAGACTTAATTTATACAATTTTAAGGTGCTTTCCCAGAGATTTAGATCGATCTAAAGATTAAGTTTTAGATCGACCTAACTCCCTGGGGGTTCACGCTAAATTGCAGTCAGCCGAGCGGGCACCATAGTTAATTACCCCCTTACAGCTTTTAGTAGGCGGGACAGACGCTTAAGCCGGCCAAGCTGACAGTAATCTAGTGAGACTCCCCACAGGGATAGATCGATCTAAAAATCTATGGAAATGGGGTGTTAATGTTTTTCTTAGTATTTTTTCCTACAGCTAATCAATAACATTTCAACTGGAACCAGAATTTTAAGTTTCCAAACTGACCTGTCATAGTGATTAGTCTGCAAATCTTTAACCATTTTATACTACTGACAAAACGTTCTCACAAACACGTAAATGCACTTAACTGACCCTATAAATGGTAAAAGGAACCTAAAATCATTGTTTGCAGTTTATGTGCCAATAAGATAGAGGGATAATACTATGAGAACTTTTAACTAACATCTCGTTTGTATGCACAGGTTTCTTTATCATAAAATAAAAGAAAATCTGTTTAGTATTTTTTTCACTTTATTTCCATTTTTAGTTTCTTTTAAACATAGTCCATGTTCATATTTGATACGACAGTTCTTAACGGTAAGATTTCTGGTAACGTGCACGAGCTCCTGGACCACCAAATTTCTTGGGTTCACAACGACGAGGATCAGCAACTAGCAGGGACTTGTCATACTGTGCTAGAATGTCCTTTATTTCCTTCTTTGAGGCCTCGTCAACATCTGAAAAGACAAAATTGCAAATTGCAACATATCTTGTCAATTTATAGATTAAAAAAAAAAATATTTGAAACCTACAGACATTCAAGTATTACGTAATAAAACCTAATGCAATTTTATCAACCCTTAGGTCATTTCTAATTTCACTAGCATTAAACTGAACAGTATGTCAACTGTAATTTCAGTTTCATGCAGCCAAACACATTTACTGATCCGTTTTATTAAGAGGACTTGATGAAATACTTACATTTCTGATAGTAAGCCACAAGGGACTTTGAAATGGCTTGGCGGATAGCTGCAAAATGTTTCAATCAATAATTAATGGTCTGACCTAAAAAATGGCGCATTTTATACTATGGACAAATAGCTCTCATGCTGTATATAGCTAAGACTTTTTTTACCATCTTTACATGTATACCAGTTCCAAATAACAGAATCATTGTTTATAGGTAAAATGAGTTTGGGGGAAAAAAAAAAAAAAAAAAAAGAAACCCAAATTCCTGAAAACCTACTTTTCACCTTAATAATTTCAGGACCTGTAATTGTTGCTCTCATAAGAAGTGGCGTCTCTTTTTACTTACCATAAACTTGTGCTACATGCCCACCTCCTTTAACACGGACTCTGATGTCAACACCAGAAAATCTGTCTTTACCAAGAAGTAGAACTGGTTCCTGGAGCTAACAGACAAATGGATATTTTCAGTAAACCTATACATTTACTATCTGGCCAGAAATAACATTTCAAATGACAAAACAAGCTCTCTAAAATTACATTTTCTTACTGAAAGTAAACCTCTTGAAAGAAGTTCATAAAGAAGACTTTGCAGTCTGGTAATCCAATACACTACATTACTTTCTACATGCAGCTTCATTTCTTCTCTGAATGGTTGATCTCAGACGACAAGAATTACATCATACAAAATTGGCTGTACAAAACTGCAAAGAAGTTTTGCAATATGGCATTTAAGTTACAAAAAGTAAGCTGTCTAAAATTAAAGGAAATGCACCAACCTTGTATCTCAGTGTCACAGGTTCTACCAGATCCAGTGGCTTGCCATTCACCTTGATCAAACCAACACCACGCTTACAGTGGGCAACTGCTGTGGCAGTTTTCTGAAAGGAAAATCACCACTTCTAAATTGAAATATCTTCTTCACAATGTTTTTCCAAGTCTTTACCCAACATTCTCATTTTATGTAAAGATGTATGCCATCAATTTAATTTTATACATATATAGAATCAGCATGCAAATATGGGTCTTATGGCACAGAGTGCAGAATGTTCATCTCTGAATGAGATCTATTTGAGAACCGGATTGACCCTGTGCCTTTTATACAGTGGTCTCATTGTGTAATGGAAAGAAACAACTTGAGCACACTTTTCTACCAGTCCACCCTGACATTAGGTGAGAATCTGATGAACACTAACAGTCAATAGCTCAGTACCTTTGCTCTATATATAGTAAGGGTACATTTGGGACAAATAACTACTTTCTTTCTTCTTGTTTTGACAGCCACCATAGATTATGTGAATAAATAGGGATTTGTGGAAGGTTTAGTTTATCCAGAAGAAACAGGGGAGAGGGTAGTTAAATTTTGAATATATCGAACTACACAAAGGTGCCTACACAAAGGTCTCGCACTCTTTCCCCAGACAAATGCTCTGTGCCTTGCAAAACTTTTGTCTTCCCCTCTTTCATTACAGTCAACCTTCATAAAGATCAACATAAACATTCAGACATACATCGTTTTTTTAAAGTAATGTTCTCATTAATCAAGCCTTTAAAAGAGGACTTAATACAAGACTAAAATTAGTTTAGTGGTAGATTCAATATCGAGAAGCAAGGCGATCAATGACAGTTAACCTGCTGTGGCATACGGCACCCTATCATGTCGATGAGATTGTACTAGAGCAGACAAGTCGAAGAGTAACTCACCTTACGCCCGAATACTTGCACCGATTGTATTTGGGGTTTAGTGGCCATCCTACAATACAAAACATAAAGTAAACGTCACGGGAGATCGTTTATTGGAAATGATAACATTAATTCAATGCCCAATTACAGAATTATCACGTAAAAAGGGTAGCTTTTTTGGCTTGATACCTATTTGAGTGTGGCAATGGCCTCCACAGTGCTTAAAAGAGGAAGTTAACAGGGTTGTCCTGAGTGGAATCAAAGTATTTTACTCTCAAATCCAAATTTTATTTCAAAGTCTATTTGAACATTTAAATGATACATCATGGAAAATTATAGAATTTTGTTAATAAACAAAGAAAAAAATTTCATCATTTAGCAAATTCGGTACTAAAAATATTCTTTGAATTTTCTCATTAAGAGAGTATAAGAATTGAACAGGAAGTGACTACATGCCACAACAAGCCTCGTATTCGGTTATTATATCTTCAATTGAGCGGTTAACACAACACGACCTGAGCGATGTAGGGGGGCAAGGTCACGTAAATCTCAAACAAATTTTCGCGGGAAATATTTCTCTGCTGAAAGGTGAGTTGAAAAACAAGCGCTTTATTCACCAAATAGCGGTAAACGTTTTTGCATTTATCTTACTTGCTGAAATATTATGATGCTACTTTGACTTTTTTAATTTTTTTATTTAGAAGATAGTGACAGACAGAGAAATAAATGTTACTGTTATATTCTCCTCCCCAGACAAATTTGAACTTAGTCAGAGTCGGTATTCGGCTAGTTTTTTTTTTTTAATTTTTACAATTTCATTTTTAGCATTCATAATTTGTTATTAGTGGCAACTGTAGTGCATGGTTTCATCATTAAAAACTTTCATTATCTATCAGCAGTTTTGTTTATTCTACTCTGTAATTTAAAGGCAGCTTTTCAACCAAGGCACCTCTCACCCAGCACCTCTTCCTCCAAACAAAATGGAAACTGAAGTGCCTCTGAATGACGCTAGATGCAAAGAAAATATAAGTCCAGAGGGACCAACAGTTTCAAAGAAATCTAGAATTGAACCTTCAGAGAAAAGGTAGATATAGGTGCACAGTACATGTACATCCGACAAAAACCTCCACTTGTCATGCCAGTTATACTTCGTACTAGCTGTGTCTGGTGATTAACAAGAATGGGAAACAGCAAAATTACAATTGTTGAGTTTGCTCAACAAAGTTTAATTTCAAAAGGTATTTAGTTAAATACAAAGTATAAAATAATAACCTTAACAGGCTAGTAAAAATGAGGGGTGGCATGAGAATAATTTAAATTTCATAACTTATGTTCAATAAGTTCACGGATAGCTGGTTCCCTACTGATAAAATGTATACTAGTACATAAGTCAACATACATATTTTGGCAGGACACATGTGGCCAAGTGTCCAACAGTTCGTGCTTGACAATCCCACACAATTATTTTGAAGTTGCTAGATATTGCATGCTTACACACAAGATCATTAATTTTATCTATAGGCATGAAGAATACAACTATCTGGATGCAATTCAACATATAATTGACCATGGGTCTAAAAAAGAAGACCGTACAGGAACAGGGACATTATCAGTGTTTGGTATGCAAATGAGATACAGCCTGAGAGATGGTAAGAATTTCTGCAATGATATGCTGTATTTTAATAGAAATATTTTTAATTTTAATTTCTTTTTTGAAAGTATTTTTTTATTATATATATCTTTTTTTTTTTTAGTTTTTAATTTGAATCTTAGCTCAGTGTACCTCCAGCTCCAATCATACATATTTTTAAAGCAAGATCATTGGCTATTTGCTGTTGTTTGGATAGTTAAATATACCAGTGCATATATGTTTTAGGTGTATTTCCTCTCCTCACTACTAAGCGAGTGTTTTGGCGTGGAGTAGCTGAAGAATTACTTTGGTTTGTGAAAGGGAGTACAAATGCGAAAGAGTTGTCTGATAAGAACATTCACATTTGGGACCAAAATGGCTCCAGGGACTTCCTTGATAAATCAGGATTAAAGCATAGAGAGGAAGGTAGATAGTTGTGTGCTGATATTTAGTTTAGACTAAGATCATAAACAAAATATTTCTATTAATTATAGACAGCTGTGATGATGTGACAAATGCATCATCCATCAGTTCAATTTCATTTAATTTTAGAAATCTCTGTGAACAGCTGCAAATCTGCTCATTTGGTCAAGTAAATTTTTTTATTGATATCATATTCATTTTAGGTGACCTAGGTCCAGTGTATGGTTTCCAGTGGAGACATTTTGGTGCAGAATATAAGGACATGCATGCCGACTACACTGGTCAGGGTGTGGACCAGCTTCAGGAGGTCATCAACAGAATCAAAACAAACCCTGACTGTAGAAGGATTATCATGTCTGCTTGGAATCCTCCAGGTAGGTATATTCAACCATATTCCTGAACTGGCAATTGGGATTGGTTCTCTACATTTTGAACAATTTTGATGAAATTGAAAAAAAGTATAATTTAATTTGTAAGTCAGCGTGAGGTGGGGGAAAGGACAGGACACGCAACAGCTGGAGAAGGATGATTAAATCAGATAGGTTATGGGTAGGTAACGTAAGAGAAACTGTTCATATCCAGCATCTGTTCTTTGCTTCATAAAAGAGTGAGAAGGAGAAAGATGAAAAATGTCTAAAACGGGTACAGAAAATGAAATGGGGCATACATTGGACATTATCCTTTCAGATTTACCCAAGATGGCTCTGCCGCCCTGCCATTCATTTGTTCAGTTTTATGTTTGTAATGGTGAGCTCTCCTGCCAGATGTATCAAAGATCTGGAGATATGGTAATATATACATATATTTCCACGATACTGGGTAACAACAATGGGTTTATCATCTTTGAAAGTCTGTTGAAACAGTGTCTGTCAAGAAAGCATGCTCACAAGATCAGCACCATGTTGAAATTTTGATGCCCATGTCCCATTTTTGTTACTTAGTATGGTGGATGTGCAGATATATATATATATATATATATATATATATATATTTATAAGGATGTTACTAGATCATTTAAATTTGTTCAGTTCTGTTTTGTCTTCATGATGTTCGTTTACAAAACACTAGTAATGTTTCATGTGAATTTTGATGTTGTCTAGCAAAAATTGTTGAAAATCACTCTTCATGTAATGCCCTGCTGTGTTTAATTTCATTTTCAGGGACTAGGGGTACCATTTAACATTGCAAGTTATTCCCTTCTCACATACATGATTGCTCATGTTACAGGCCTCAAGGTAAACAGGGGTTTAAAATTTATTTATAATTCATAGTATATGAGTGCATTCAGAACGTGATCCGCAGACTAATAGTAACAGTAGCAACTTCTCACATCTAGCTGTACTCTTCATTTCATTTTCTTTTTTTTTTTTTTTGGGGGGGGGGGGGGGAATGCACTTAAGATTTCAAATACAAAGTTGACTTTTAAGCATAAACAATTTTAAGATGCATCTGAGGTCAAATTTTTGTCACAAAAGTCATCCAAATACTACCACAGTTTCAAATAGCATTATGTCATACGTAACTTACAGAAATAACGACAGATATTGTTTCAAATTTACCTGAAAATGATATTTGATTGCATATTTTCTGCCTGCTTCATATTTATGACTAAAATTTGAAGAAGGTATAGTTTTAAAGCTCTTTTATAACTGATCAAGTGATAAATTTGATTTATCCTTTGGCATGTTGCATTACTGGGAATCCACACTTGGTTCAAATGCATCTTAAAATGAAAACATTTTTCCATCATATTTCAGCCTGGAGAATTTGTGCATACACTGGGAGATGCTCATGTTTATGTGAATCACATTGCTGCTTTGAAAGAACAGGTATTTATCCTCACTATTTTTAATTTGATGTGGAAATAATTCATGAAATGTTAATAAATTTATTGTATGGAATGGATGAGGGTTTTTTGGAGAAATCAAGCTGTAGTTTAAAAGATCTGAAAGCTGTGGCCATTTTGGTGGTTGATTGAGCTTTGCTTTGATTTCTCTTAGATTTAGATCCAATGCATGTCAGCTTTTTCATTTTCATGTAGTCATGTATACCTCCTTATCAAACTGAACTGTAGTGGACACAAGTTCATCAGTAAGCTAAACAGATGAGCAATGAATGAAAATGCAGCCATCATCAATTGATGAGAGTAGGACACAACAAATGATGTTTTGACTGTAATTGATAAATAAATAATAAGCAATTTGAAGTCAAGTATGAAGTCATTTTTTGTCCAATAACAAAGCTCGTTGTATGTTATACTGATAAGGATATATTTAATTTGCCTATCCAATGGACAGAAGTGCAGAGGATGTCACGAGCAAATCTATTCCTCTCCCTCAAGAGGTGCACGAGTATTTTTTGTTCTCACACTGTGTAATCACACTTATTTACATAACATTTTAAGAGTAAATTCATACATTCCTAAAAGAGTCCTGCAAATGTACTATCTTTGCTCAATATTCTAAAACCACAACATGGATATCAGAGATTTTGATGCTGTTCCCTTGTGTGACGGCATGGGGTTCAGACTTTGAACTGAGCATTTGTTAATGAATCGAATACCAGTGAAGGTCAAAGTGATAAGTGCTTCATTTAAATTCATTTAAATAGAAATTTGGAAATGAAGTAGCTGGCATGCATCCAAACTTAACCTCAATGTACCATTGGTCCTGCAAACCTTTACAATCTCTAGCAAGATGCCTTCAAAGAAACTAGGGTATATGCATTCATGCTTTTTGTTTAAAATGCATTTTCCATTTTCTTTTCAGTTGAGCAGAGAACCACGCCCTTTTCCAAAATTGACCATCAAGAGAAATGTACAAAACATAGATGATTTTCTTTATGAAGATTTTGAATTGGAGGGATACAAACCACATCCCAAAATTGCCATGGAAATGGCCGTTTGATTTGTTAGAGAACAATACTGTCCATCTCCTCACTACAATCAGTTAGTGGTCTTTGGATTTCCTCACTAATTGACCATGAAGTTAGTTATGACCAGTGTTAGAAATTAAGGCTGGACCGTCTGCCTGGGGCTAAGAACTTTCAGAATGGGCTGAGAAGTTTTCCCACTCGGCAGACATTCAGTCCAGCTACTTTTCAAGATGGACTTGCGGTCCAGCAACTAATTTTCCTAAGGGTCCCTTTACGCTGGACGGCGTCCTTTCAGCATCCAGCAGTACGGACCCATTTGAGAGTTAAAAAATTATAATACTTTACGTGCCGACAACTGGCCGATCATTGAGCATTCATTCTGATACAAAATCGGTGCTCGTGTCTCCTTATTAAGACCACAGCGATGCCAAATTACATGGTCGCAGAAAGGACGCCGTCTAGTGTAAAGGGGGTATAAGAGGCAAACACTTGTTATGACCAAGACCATAATAAGTTGTTGATTTCAACTTGACCCCGTTCCCTATGCAAAGATGGTTTACAAAGACGTGTGTTTACAAAGTATTTCACTTTTTGTGTTGAGAGCACCTCTCATTTTCTGATACGCATACAAAGCTGATGAATCTTGTTAGATCTGAAGAAAACTTGTTATAAATATGTGCAGGGAACTTGAACCTGAAAAACATAATGATGCCCTTTAAATGTTAGGGATTAATCTCGTTTTTGAGAGAAAGCTTTATAAGTGGTATTTAGCCAATTCTTTCATAATTACCACATAAAGGTTTTTATTAGATCTGGTTTAGGTTAAGGTGTTTGTGTAGTTCTAATATAATCCACCAAAATATGTTTCAGTTTTAAATACAGAAAGATTGCACAGTAACATGATTTTACCAATGCTAGTTTGTAGTATCTTTTGACCAATTCTATGTTTAAAATAATAAAAAATTTTCCCATTATTTCATAAAGACTTTGTGCTCTTAGTTTTTTCCAAAGTGAAAAGTCCAGATTATATTAAGTTTCTAATATAAATGAATAAAATATTTTAAAGTTTGTGTACATCCTAATTTTTCCAGTTCTAAATAATATACTGGGAGCCATACAAATAAAGCAGTTACTTAACTTCATATTTTACAAAGAGAAATGCATTTTGAAAGGAAAATTTTAATAAATTTACTGCCCCTCAACCTGGAAGATTTACAGAAATTCTAACCTACATGATTTTAAAAAATCTAGAAGTTCACACTTGACTCCACATTCCAATATCTGCAATGCAATGAGTCCAGAAAATGAAATCCACATGCTCAATCTTTTTCTCTTCTGCTGTTCACATTCATTCATGGTAATGATTTTGATGAAAAGAATAACGACTGTTATGACATGTCTGCATCTTCACTACTGGTTTCAAGTCTATGATTCATTTCTATTCCTGATAATGGCACAGTTGCACCTGTTTCAGTCTGAAATATAAAAAAAAATTATGTAAGCAGTGAAATAAACCTTGCAATTAATTTCATATTTGATTGTTGTACGCACAGTGTGTGCCTTTAACATGATTTTGAATTCACCTTGGTTATAAAATAAAAACACTTTGTATTCTTTTATCTTACAAGTTGCTGAATAGATCACATCTCATCTGGGAGAAATATCAAACTGCAATAATGTTTTATATTAATTAACATCAGTAAGGCATTCCAATGACATAAATAATGTTTTGTGTCAAAGATACATGTGATGAACAAAATAAAATTGACATAAATATGAGACACTTTGTACAGGAATTTCACAGAAAAAATATAGCAGACAAATCAAGTTAATACATCTTGGTGTAAATACCTACCTGAAAGAGGACCCTCCTTTCAGGACAATTTGAACTCATGTGTGCTCTACAAAACCTCTCATGGTCCCCACAACATACCGCTGTGGAATCAAATGAGGATTCAGCACCATCAGAAAGTTTATTAGGAGAAGCAAAAGGATTTTGAACATTTTCAAGTTTATGTGGACTAGCACAGCCAACGCCTTCAAACTGTGATAATTGTTGTGTTACACCAAGTAAACCACCTTCATCTACTGCTAGTATAACCCATATAACATCTGTAAAAAAAGGAAATTGGCTAAATTTCATCCTCACGCATTGTCAAATCAAATTCATTGAAAATCTATTTTATCTGTCAATGACTGTTTTAATTTCTTAAATTTATTTCAAACATTTCTTCTGCTTCATGTAACCAATAAATCAACTGCGATGCATACATACAGTCCATTCAAATTACACAACAGAAGAATTAATTTTGTAGTTTTCAACTGAAATTTCACTGACTGCATTTCAGAAGCAGACTTTTTGAAAGTTTTAAGCTGGTAAAGTTTTTTTCTTTTGGTTTGTTCATTTGTATCCACTCGATTAACATTTATGCTTCATAAATTATTGGACTTCACAAAAGCAATTACAACATTCAATTATGATTATTATTAGTATTATCATTGTAAAATCTGTGGTATATAAAAAGTCAATTACCTCCAAAATACATTCCAGTTGGTGTAGTCATCCTCCATTTCCCTTGATATGTCCCCACGGCTGAAGGACTAAACATCTCTATACTAACATCAGTCATCTCTCCAGGCCTCAATGGCTCTACTACAGCCCTCTCCACATTGCCCAGCTGATCTCCACTAATAAACTTTAGGGCACATAGAGGTGGCCACTGTTCATCCCCTGAAATGATACAAATTTGAAGGTTTAGACTTCTCATCTTGGAAAGAAACTGTGCTCTACAAACAAATTTGCTCAAAAATTATTTTTTTCAATCTTATTCATGGTTTCCAAAATTTCACCATGACAATTCTTTTAAAAAGTAAAAGCTGAAAACATACTATTTTAGATGAAGACCGTTTTCAAATCTAAGAGAAAGTTTTTTTTTAAAACTGAAATGCTGATCTGGATGTAATTCAACTAGACAACATTCAGGCTTCATTCACATGGAAAGTCTATTTTCTAAATTGTATTTTCTATTCATGGTATGTTTTGTGATCACGGTCTGTGCCCTGAATATCCCGCGGCGTGATTACTGGCAGCGTGAGCCAGTTACTTATACAAAGCTGTAATTAATTCTCAGCTGTGCTCGTAGGAGATTCTGATACCTTGACGCATGCGCAGTAGTATCTCTAAGCTGTGGAGTTCATCGGTTTAGGTGTGACGACTCAAACATACAGACGCGAAATATGCACAAAATCGACAAACACATTTTTCAAAGCAATCGCGGTCGCCATTAACTTGCTAAATTCCTACTGCTTATGCGTCAAGGTATCAGAATCTCCTCCGAGCACAGCTGAGAATTAATTACAGCTTTGTATAAGTAACTGGCTCGTGCTGCCAGTAATTACGCCGCGGGATATTCAGGGCACAGACCGTGATCACTAAACATACCGCGAATAGAAAATAGAATTTAGAAAATAGACTTTCCATGTGAATGAAGCCTCAGTCCCACAGTTATATCCATCATCTACACCAATTCCACTTAAACCCTATGGTACGAACTCACATTTTTGGGGTTTTATATGAGATGGTCAGTCAACTGCAGGTTTTTTTCATATCAGCAATGAAGAGATTAACAGCTGTTCATTATAAAACAGCAACTAACAAGTCATGATGCCTGTCAGTTAATGTCTTGTTCACATCACTTATTAAGAAAACTGCCTTAATTAAACAAGGCAGCAAAGCTGTCAAATGTACAGACAAAGAACAGAAAATAAAGATGCAAATAAGTGAAAAATTAAATTTTCACAAAAAACTGTTAAATTGCCAGAAAAATTTACCAAACAGACTGCGTTGCCTATTGAAGCTGTATGTTAGACCCATGTTTCTTTCCTGTAAGTTTGAGAACAGTAAGTGACATGATTTCCCTTAAATGGTCATCATAGGAGCAGTGCCCAAAATAGGGGTTTCTTCAAATTTTGATGCAACATTACATAATGTTTAACAGCATAATGACAATCAAATGTTATTAATAAAATATTAGTAACATGGACATTCAGAAAATGTGACAAGCAAAAGTCTTCAAGATCATGGAACTTTAAAGTCACACCTTGAAAATGCCAATATGTGAAAAATTAAATTTTCACAAAAAACTGTTTAACTGCCAAAANTATATTTTAAAACATTTATTTTGTTACATTGGCAATTTACAATATTTATGTAAACAATGATTTTTTAATCTTATATCTATTTTGGACTATGCTATACCTGTATTCTGAATCCTCCACGTTTTTACAAATTTAATATTTGGTGGCACAGACTCTCCTTCTCCTATTGTGATGTCGCGTACTAAAGACATACTGGGAAGCTTATCTTTCGGCTGGTCATAGTCATAGTACGAACAGATTGCTGCCTGTAGATTCCTAAAAATATATATCATAAAGGGAAGAGTGAACAACATATCTTGCTTTCTGTCAAATTCTTTTAGGATTTGTGAGATAGGATTGAACATTTATAGCAGTAGTGCAGACTGAGAGAAACTACAGACACAGGAAAAAAAATACATAAAAAAGTCAAGAAAAAGAAACAATATAAAACAGCTGGATGCTACAACCAGTGGTTGACTCACCATTGAGAAGAAATATATGAAACTACACATTGACTTCACAGTACTGTCTGGTGTAATAAGGACAACACTGTTGTGATGCACAGGTTGTATGAGATAGCAACAAAGTTACAACTGTTAGACAAGTTGGACAAAATAAAATAAAAAGAAAAGTTCATATTTCTGACGAAAAAAATATCCATCCTAAATATCCATCCTAAAAACAAAGTATCAAAGCTCAAATCAAAGATAAACTACCTTGAAGAACAGTAAGAATGAAATAACATATTATACGCAGGATAAAAGACCAGGGGATTGAAGAGAGTGAGAGCCGAAAGGAAGCCAAAGGAAAGACAAAGGTATTTATGAAAGAGGTGTTAGAAATAGACCGAGCCAACACAGAAAACATGGTGATCAAATGTGCACATTGTCTACATTCGCCCTGAAGAATCCCACTCCTGAAAACTGTCAAATTTAATAACTACAAAGACAGGGAGACTGTTCTAAGGAGAGCCAAAGAAATTATTAGAGGTAATAGGAAAATGAATGTGACACAAGGTTCTCCAAGAAACATGAAATAAGTAAGAAGGAAATCTGCTCCCTTCTTTTTGCAGGCAAGAGCAGAGAGGAAAACAGCTTTTGTGAATTATGACAAGCTTGTTATCAATAGGAAAAAGTAGATGAATGAAGATATGGTCAAACAAAAGAAAGATAGGAATCAGGCCAAGGTGATTCAGAAAATAAAAAAAGATACCAATAAAAAAAGATAACTTTCAATGCATCATTAGGAACACAATGGGTTGAAAAACTTCACAAGAAAAGTGAGTACTAGTTCTAACAAGAATAGGAATCCTGAGTTGCTTATATTGTAAGCACGAATTTGAACTATTTATAATAAATTTTATATTATATCTTTTGTGTGTGAGGTAAAGCTATGGACATGTATGAAACTCAGCCACTCCCCATCCACAATACCAGTCGATGACTTTGAAAATCTTTGATGGCCATTGCCATTGTATTTACGTGGATTCTATCATTCAGCCATAAATATTACAATTATGACCTTTTTGTGGAATGTCTTCAATAAACCCTTTCTGGCAATCACGATTACTCTTACCAATTGTTCATATCCAGAAAAAAAGCACATCCTTGCGGATTCAGCTGATTATCAAGAACTCTTTGGAACTCGGATATCAGGACCTCCTTGTCTGTGGTACCTAAACAGCTAAACTGCTGCACAAAATTGGCTTCCAAGTCGCTATCCACCTCCATCGTACGCCAAACGGTACGGTAACATTCAACGTTTTTCTTTCTGTGAGTGTCAAATATATATATTCAAGATTTTTTTCATCAAGTAACATTGACATTACCTTGCCACAACAACGTTGTGTGACGTCACCGTCACCAAACTGCGCATGCTAGTTTCGAAATGCATTGTGGGTTCTTCATGTAAATTAGCCATGTGCGGAAGATAACATTGTAAACATAAAAGAACTGACGTGTTTGAATAAAACCGATATTTGATTATATAAACTTCCCAGCTAAGATTAAAAAATAATTAAAAGTGTAAGTAGTCGTCATTACAAATATAAACCAAGTTGATTTATATGTTTTCCAATTTGTGTAACCCACAATTTTTTCACAAACTTTGAAAAAAAAGTTCGGTGTCTACCCATCGACGACAGTCTCGGGTGCGCCGAAGTTGTTTTAGTCTTTCTGTTTTAGTCTTTCTGGAATCTTAATCTAAGGATGCTTTACTCTAAAACAAAGGATGTACATGTATTTCGAGATACTATCATAGTGGACATATACAGTATTTATGCCATATAATATGTAGTAATTTATAAATTACTTTTTTAATAAAATTATTTTAAAGTTTGGAAAAAATATTGAGGCGTCTGAGTTATAATCTTATTGCATTAACCTCTATATGTATGTCATTTATTGGAAAGAACTTCAGTCAGGTTTAAAGGATGCTTCAGTTGTAAAGTGAGTAACTTCAATTATCGTTTCATCTCGATCTCCTGCTATATAAAATTAGGCTCAGCGTTGAAGGTTTAGTACATGTATATTAATTGGCTTCAATATTTCTTACTATTATATTTTATATGCTTCTTTTTGAATATAGTATATATTGTCAGATTTGGTCAGTCGCACCCATAGCGAGATTGCTGTACCGGCCTCTCTTAGAAGACACCAGAAAAATAAGTGTCGGATTCAGTTACAGTCGAGTGAATAGATCTATCTCTGTAAAGCGAAACAAGATGTTGTAACCATAGTGCGATAACTACGACTTTGAGTTCGTTCAGAATTATTATAAAGGGAGACCAAAATATCTATTTAAAGTGAAACACACAAATTTAAGAGATTAATTTTAAACAACTGCGTATTTGACGAGCATAACATTAGAATCGTCCTTATACATGTACCATCCCTTTTTAACTTCTCCAATATAATTACTCTATTACGTGTTTCTATATACATATGGCCTTTACATGTTTTGAAATAGATTAAACTTTTCTGCATAAACTCAAATTTTGCTTCTTTTCATTCTTTTTGTTGTCAGGATTACATGAATTTTGACAGACCTACCTATTTGGGCATGAGAAATATATACCTACATGGATGTTGTCTCGCTGTTTTCAGCTGAGGGTGACTCATGTGCACCCCTTTATATGTTTTTAATTTGATTTTGCAACCTTGTTTAGATTTTCACACAGACTTAGATTGCATTTAACGGGAAATAATGAGTTCGGCGATTCTACAGTCTGTATATCTTTAACAAACCGGATTTGTTAAGTCAAACTTTGTTGTTCGGTTTTTATGTATCTTTTTACATACTTTTGTCATGTTTAATACACTTTATTTGTTTAAAAAATATCGACATTCATACACAGTTTATTATAATATTATTCTCAAGTTTTGTTTAAATTTCATTTCTACAACTGATTAAGTTTGACGTTACATGATATATTTTTTATACAGTTAGGGGTGTGTAGATCATTTATATTAAATTACAGACCCAGCTGAGAAAAGTGATATCAAGGCATAGTTTCGGTAGATATCACTCTTCTGAGGTCCGAAAAACAGCCGAAACCAATATACTTTACTGAATTTTTTTGTGTTAATCTATGCAATGACTTCAGTTCTCATTATATTTGAATTGAAGTTCATTCTAAAATCGCTTGAAAAAAAAAAGAAAGAAACCATTAGGCTCCTGAGGCTTCATTTGCAAATAGCGGAGGCATGAATAAAAATCACCACATTACTTAATTTAGAAAAAAATTAAAAACCAGAGACTTTTTTTTTGGGGGGGGGGGGGNTTTTCCCATACTTACCAATGGTTAATGAATCCATTTTTACATTCAAAGTTAGTCCCTGGTTTTTTTCTAAAAAGTTTGGTTTTTTGTTAAAATCTCTTAAGAGATTTTAACAGAGTATAGACATCAATGGAGGTCACGTGGTCTAAAGACAAGTTCAAATATCAGAATAAAAGCTATAACTGCTGTTTTCTTGGTAAAACAGAATATATTATATTTCTATGAGTTATTCACAAGGTTTCTATTGTGAAATATAGGTCTCATACGAAGAGTTATTATCCCTTTAATTGGCTTCAATATTTCTTACTATTATATTTTATATGCTTCTTTTTGAATATAGTATATATTGTCAGATTTGGTCAGTCGCACCCATAGCGAGATTGCTGTACCGGCCTCTCTTAGAAGACACCAGAAAAATAAGTGTCGGATTCAGTTACAGTCGAGTGAATAGATCTATCTCTGTAAAGCGAAACAAGATGTTGTAACCATAGTGCGATAACTACGACTTTGCGTTCGTTCAGAATTATTATAAAGGGAGACCAAAATATCTATTTAAAGTGAAACACACAAATTTAAGAGATTAATTTTAAACAACTGCGTATTTGACGAGCATAACATTAGAATCGTCCTTTTACATGTACCATCCCTTTTTAACTTCTCCAATATAATTACTCTATTACGTGTTTCTATATACGTATGGCCTTTACATGTTTTGAAATAGATTAAACTTTTCTGCATAAACTCAAATTTTGCTTCTTTTCATTCTTTTTGTTGTCAGGATTACCTACATGAATTTTGACAGACCTACCTATTTGGGCATGAGAAATATATACCTACATGGATGTTGTCTCGCTGTTTTCAGCTGAGGGTGACTCATGTGCACCCCCTTATATGTTTTTAATTTGATTTTGCAACCTTGTTTAGATTTTCACACAGACCTAGATTGCATTTAACGGGAAATAATGAGTTCGGCGATTCTACAGTCTGTATATCTTTAACAAACCGGATTTGTTAAGTCAAACTTTGTTGTTCGGTTTTTATGTATCTTTTTACATACTTTTGTCATGTTTAATACACTTTATTTGTTTAAAAAATATCGACATTCATACACAGTTTATTATAATATTATTCTCAAGTTTTGTTTAAATTTCATTTCTACAACTGATTAAGTTTGACGTTACATGATATATTTTTTATACAGTTAGGGGTGTGTAGATCATTTATATTAAATTACAGACCCAGCTGAGAAAAGTGATATCAAGGCATAGTTTCGGTAGATATCACTCTTCTGAGGTCCGAAAAACAGCCGAAACCAATATACTTTACTGAATTTTTTTGTGTTAATCTATGCAATGACTTCAGTTCTCATTATATTTGAATTGAAGTTCATTCTAAAATCGCTTGAAAAAAAAAAGAAAGAAACCATTAGGCTCCTGAGGCTTCATTTGCAAATAGCGGAGGCATGAATAAAAATCACCACATTACTTAATTTAGAAAAAAATTAAAAACCAGAGACTTTTTTTTTTGGGGGGGGGGGGGGCTGCGTATTGCATAAGTAGGCTTACCTAATTATAAGAAAAGTTTCCTTAACATGATCAGCAAAGCTTATTTGAAGGTTGTTTTGAATTGTTGTGAATATAATGAAATTTAACACTAAAGCTTTACGTTAAGGAAGTGACTATATACCAGTACAGTAACTTATTCCAAAAGCAAGGGGTTATTTCATTACGTGCGCTCATCTTCAATCCCCTGCATCGTCACCTACACCCCATTTCCATAGATTAGATCGACCTTCTTTAGATCGACCTAACTCCCTGGGGGTTCACGCTAAATAGCTGTCAGCCGGGCGGACACGAAAGTTAATTACCTCCTTACAGCTTGTAGTAGGCGGGACGGACATCTAAGGCGGATTATCTGAAAGTAATCTAGTGAGACTCCCCGCGGGGATAGATCGATCTAAAACCTATGGGAATAGAGCCCTATACTACCCGGCCCTGTATCATTCGTTATTCCCCTTCCATCGATTCTGAATGATATTTCTAAAAATGTTTCACTTTCGCGTCTCGTTTTTTTTTTATGTTTTGGAGTGTTTTACGCCTATTACACATGACTAAAAGACCACGCAAATGTGAAATAATGCACTGAATAATGCCGTATCATAGGGGATGTGCAGTTGTCTTGAAAAACACCGCCATCTAGTGATAAATAACACGTCGTCTGCTCAAAACAGGTGCCCGTCGTTTGCCGTTCGTGGTGTGTGCAAAAAATGACAAACCCAACCAACGACCAACAGCACTGTAAACGTGGAACTTATATTTCAATGAAATACATGTAGAGATTTGTGAGGAGTCTCGGATACAATTGTGAAGAGTGCAATCTCACTAGCTGACAAGGCGATTTCAAATTTTTTGACAATGCCTCACTGTATTCCACAACAAGAACAAAAAGATCATAGAACGATGGGACAAAACAGCAGAACTCCGATCCGAGGTGAAAATAACAAAAATGGACTGACATTCCTACAACAACTTGAACAAGTTGATCAATCGGAGGATGTTTGTTTTACTGAATTACAACAGTTACAGAAAGAAAGCCCAGAAATGGTTTTACGGGGCAATATTGATGCTGATCTACGTTGTTTGATGTGGTTACCAAAATATACTTTAGACTGGATTTGTGACATTGATAAGATTGGAAAGAAAAAAGATGGTATGCGAGAAAAAAAAACAATAATCGTCGTTTGAAGTTTTTTAATAAGATGGAATATTCATTGGGCCTACATGTGATGCGACGATGTTACTTTAATTATGCCCAAAGTAATATTGGTTCTTCAAAACAATCTTTAACCAATTAACCTAAGAGTAAACATGAAAATGTTTAACTCCAGATACTCTATTAACTTAATAAAACACTTAATATCAAGATTTTCCTTTGAAAATATTGTCAAAATTTGCAATACTGTACATAAGTGGTGAGATGCTATTTGGGGAAGGCCTGATCTTTTATGTAATTATACCATTTCAGTATCTACTAAAAGACCAATTCAGAATCTGCCATATAGCTACAATGAAATCCTTAAGATGGCGTTTGAGGAACAGGGACCTTTGACCGTGGAAGAAATTTATCAGTGGATTATGTAAGTTGTGGGACAAATTTTTGTCTTTCCATTTGGCTATCAAAGAATCCCCTAACATCTAATATGATAATAAGAAATTGGAGGGACTCACAAAACAATAAATTTCTAATACAAAATAATTCATAAAGCAAGAGAGTAAAAGGGATACGTAGTTATTTAAAAAAATTCATAAATTTCATGTTTACATTTATTATTCATTTTTTAAATATTAATTTATTTACAGGAAGAAGTTTCCTTGCTTTCCAGACAAAGACTACTCATGGAAGGTATAACATTTTCTGCCTTTTCCTTTTTTAGGGGAGGGGGTGTTGAATGGCTGGTTAAAGGTATTTAAAATTCATATCTTAGCTAGTGTTGTAGTGATAACATAATTTGATATTAATTGTTTTCCTGGATCATTTTTTTTTCTGTATAGACAACAGTTATTTTATTACTTAGGCATCAATAGAACTTTGAAAACTATTTTTATTTATACTTTTTCTTTTAAGAATTCCATCAGACAAAAACTAAGTACAAATATATGGTTTGTCAAGTCAGACAAGACAGGAAAAAAGCATGAGTGGAGGTATGACAGAAAGAAAGAAGAGTATGCCAAAGAGCAACCTTCTAAGAGCCTGGAATATATCAAGTTGCATTGGGTGAGTGACCAAAAAGTAAAAGACTGCTGTCTATCTCTTAAGTGTGACTTCCAGCTCTAAAAATCACTTACATTGCTTCTCAACATTTTTAGTTCACATATTTTTCATCATATTTGAGACATTTTGACAGATTTTAACTTACCTATTAAGTATATTATTTTGCAAATTAAAACAGAAACTTTTGTTTTAAAGTTTTAGTCTTGTTTTATAGAAAAAGAAGAAGCTCCAACTTATGGCAAAGAGAAAACAAACCAAGGTCAAGAACACAGCTGTAGTTACAACAGCAACTACTATCAGTCCAGCAGTTCCAGTGCATCCATGGCAAACCATCCAATCTGTTCCAACTTTTTACCCATGGGTCACTTCCATGATAGCACAGGCACCAACTGCTCCTGCCTCAGAGTTTAGCTCAAGCTTTCTTGAACTCATTTCACCTACTTTAGAGTACTCACGGATGGAACAGTCCCCATTTTCTAACCTGCCCTCTACTCCCTTGGCCAAGATGACTCCATATAGGTGGCCAGAAAGTGGCAAAACAATCAGAGGTAAATGAAAAAAATATGGCACTGTCCTAGGGCGCATTCCCATAGATTTTAGAGTGATCTATCCCCGTGGGGAGTCTCACTAGATTACTGTCAGATAATATGGCTTAAATGTCCCTCCCGCCTACTACAAGCTGTAAGGGGGTAATTAACTTCCGTGCGTGCTCGGCTGACTGCAATTTAGCGTGAACTCCAGGGAGTTAGGTCGATCTAGTAAGATCGATCTAAATCTCTGGAAATGCCCTCTTATATTCCATCATATTAGTCTCTCTCCTTCACTGTGATGTGTCTGTACATATAGCCATCACCTGCATCCATCGTCGCCATCATGCACTTTCATTAAAATATACCTTTACTTCCCAGAATAAACATTTGCTTTGCTTTTGGTTATGTAGTAAATCATATAAGTAACAAAAGTCTGGTACCAGACTAAAGTTTTGGAAAGATTTAACCTGAATGGGGTTTTAGTTATTGTATGGGTATAATTTCTTTATTATGTATTTCACATTTTTATTCTTAAACCTTTGACATGTTGCTTTCATGTAATAAACTGGCATGTTTTCATGCAGCTGGTCTATTTCTAATTTTTCAGGTTTGTTGAATCCCATCTCACATGATGACATTCTGTCAGAATGTGGTCTTCTAGACATGCAACCAAACACAAGCACTATCCATTCTATACCAAGTCCAGCATTCAATATCCCAGTCAGCATTGCAGAAGCAGGGCAGGGTCTTTTTGATGAAATTGGTTAAACCTGGAGGATACCTACATTTCAGTGATACTTTGGGTCAAAGGAAGCCTACATACATTGCCTTTGAAAAAAAAAGGACTCTTTAAAATTGGACTGCACACCAAAAAGCATGTTTGGAGCATGTGCAGAAAAAGATTGGCCAAACTTACCATTACCTGCCAGATTTAAACATCTACCTACCTTGTGCAAGCTACTTTTAATGTTTTTGCCCCTATGTACAAGTTCATTTTCAATTAATTGAATATGCATTGCATGTGCTTCATGAAATTCATTTTATTTCATAAAATCACAGAAAAGCTGCATGAAATCAACACACAAAAATGAATTATAGCTTTTCAGTTATTTTATGTTAGAAGGTACAAAACAAAAAAAAAAAAAGATTTAAATTCTCAAATGTAAACTTTCCATAAGAATTTCTTGGTAATAGTAGTGCTGCCAGTGCATAATTTTAAGTTTTTTTAAAAAAATCATTCATTTAACAAAGGCAAGCAAAGTTGGACTACTGTCCATGATAATGCTTGTCTCAGACATAAAGATTTTTAGAACTTGGTTTACAATATCATTGTGCTGATAATAAAAAGTTCTGAAAAGAGTTATGTCTGATTAAAACATAACCACACTTTCTGAATCTTTTGTAAATTATAAAATGCATACCCCTGCTCCTTAATTGCATTTTGCTCTTACTGAAAATACTAGGAATGCTTGTAACTGTTCACTTGGCTTACGCTAACATAAATTTAAAAAAAAATTAAAAAGCGGGTTTTTTTTTTTTTTTTTGCAAAATTTGCAGTCTCTTATTTGGTTAAAATAATCAATTGTTCAATTAGTACACTGACATTAACATTTAAATGGTGGTAATACTTATACTTTAATTAAGAGCAATTATCTTTCAACATCAATTCCCCTTAATTTTGACTTAATATAAGATCACACTATAAGGAACATCAGAATCATAAGATCTCCTTAGACAGAACAACGGAGGAAAAATTATCTTAGCATTTTAAAGAACCAAATTTTTACAAAGCTGACATGTAACAATTGTACGTTATCGTAGTTATTAACTTAATGCTGAGCTTATTTCTAAAATATCTGGCAAAAAAGTTTTAGTGCATAAATAATTGTTCAAGCGTCTAAATCAAATACTTCTAAATGAAACAAATTGAACAGTTCAGTTCTGAACCTTAAGTGCCCTTTGATTCCATGTAGTTAGTTCTCTAAATGCATTACTGCTTAAAATTATAAGGAAGTATTCAAAAATGTGTACCTTAAACACTGGGACCTTAAAATGAATTAAAATCCCAATAATGTATATACAGTTAAAATTTCACCATTGTGATTGTCAAAGAAAAAAATCATAATATCTTTTTATGTGAAATTATGGCACATTTGAAGAATAATAGCTGTAAAACAGATTGAAGGATGACAACTTAAAGCTGAACTTCTTACTAAAATTGCAACACTAGCAGGATTGGAATTCCAAGTGGGAATATTCTTACAACTTTTCAACATGATCAATAAAAACAAACAAGATTCATGGGTGCATCTTACAATATCCAGAATAAAACAAGATAAAATCAAATATACCTGTAACTTAAAAAAATTTTTACAACAACAAAACTTGAATTAATACTCAAACATTCCATTTTAAATTAAAAAGAGAACATATTAAATATGCATACAAAAATATTGTAATTCTTAATTAACTTATGAAACATGTTCATCAATATCCTGTAATTTCTTCCACTTCTTTAAACTCATCATAGATTTCAACAGGTTTCTTCACATATTTTTGGATAGTTTCATCAATAAATTTCATCCACTTGCTATTAAATAAATCAACAGCTGCTTTCTTCTCTGTATCTGTCATTGCACTGTACCTATGACCAAAATAAAATCGTGCAGAAATACAAAATAAGTCATAAATACAAAACTGTCGGTCAATATGAAAACTATTTGACAAGAAAATGCATTGCTAACTTCATCAAGCCTGAGAACATAGCAGTAAAGCTCCCCAACAGACACATTCATTACAATACTGACAAAAACAGTTACATTATAAAACAGTCCAAAAATGTAACAATTGAAGTAAACAAAATATTTTGTCAATTTTGATGTATTATTACATAAAGTTTTATTGCATAGTCACTACCGATTTCAACCATGTGCTATTACAGGGCTTGACATACCAAGTTATTTCTGATGTTAGTCTAAAATTTAAGTCATCCTTGCCCTCAAATTTAAGTGGCTTGCTAATGGACCATTTGCCTGATATAAATAAGGTTTCAGAGAGCCCACTCACACCCAAATTTTTATATTAGATTTAAGAAATGCCTAAAATATTTTGTCAAGCCCTGGATCTGAACATTCAGAAAATGTAACTAGCACAGAGTTTTATATCCATGGGAATCTTTATCCAAAATCTACTAAATAAATTTGAAGTAAAATAAAAGGTATTAGGACAATTCCCCTGGACCCCCCCCCCTCCCCCCAAGAATATATATTTATTTACAAATATGAAGTAAAGAGTATTAAATTTTTTTTATGAATTCTAGGAATATTTCTTAGTGTGCTGATGCAACTCGAGGATACAGAATATTAATTTTATTAAACAAATTATTTTCATGGAGTACAAGTACAAAAAAATTTAGAAATAGCAGTACAGAAAATTTCATTAAAAATCTGATCAATGCATATCTCCAGGTAAGGGTGGAGTAAACAGATGATCACACTCATCCAGGTAACCCTTTGATAAATTAACTGTTACTTTTAATTGCTTCATTGATTAAGTAATCCTTGAATCAAGATGCATCTCTAGGGAGAGGTGGGGTAAACAGTTTTTCTCCCTTATCCAGGTATCCCTTTGATTATCTGGTGCTTTTAATGCATTGCTCGACTACTACCAACCTACCCACCACACTAAAAATATTCATAAAATATGTTAACCTGTTCATCTGTTTACCCCACCTTTACCTGGAGGATAGGTGGTTATACTTTGATTAGATATTTAATAATACTTTCTGCACTTGTACTCAATGTAAAAAGAATTTGTTATAAAATAAGTTTTTCAATGATGAAGTTGCATTGCCACAATGAAAAATTAATGAAATGGATGAAATGTTTTGAACTGTTTTGTTATCACACTCTTTACTATATACTTGTATATAAATATATATTGCTTGGGGGGAGGGGGGGGGGGGATCATCCGAGGGGGGAATTGTCCTAGAATAAAATTAAAATGATTCGTCATTCACATGGTGAACTACAGATATGTCAGATGGCAACATTGACAACATAGTAATCAAAACACTTACAGTACATACTATATAAAGTTCCATGAGATTATTACATAATTTTTAGGTAATTAATCTTGTCTGTTAAATAGTATTTAGTACAAATATAAATAAATAAAACACGATTTCCTTGTTGTGAACTTCAAAAATCACCTCACCTGATAGAATCCAGGGCTAGTTGCTTCATAGTTGCAAGATCAGCATTCTCCCCAGCTACACCCATGAAAACTTCATAAAAATCATCAGATAGACCAGTAGCACCCCATACTGAGGGGTCATCTGAACTAATCACGACAGGGTAGCCATTTGCTAGCAAGAAGGAAGCTGGGTGAACTCTAAGGTCATCAAGCAGACCTAGAACCTATAAAGGAAAAAAATCTTCACAGAAAAAAAAGAGCAAAATAAAATGAAAAATAAGCTTTTAGTCCAGGGTCACACTTCCATAACACTTTATTTTAATATCTTAGAAGATTAAATGCATAAAACAAACACCTTATGAAAGGTAGACAACAAAAATTACACACAGTTATTTAACAATGAAATTCAAAGAAAAGTAAATTTCAAGGCAAGCTGAACAGTCATACAGTTTTTAAAAGACTCAGGTTTTCAGCAATTTTCAACTCAACAACAGACAAATTTGATCTACAACAAACACATAGCTTATTTGTTATAGGATGAATACAAATGGCTTAAAATACCACAAAAATGTATTTAAGAACAAAAACATACATGAACAATGTAATGGAGACACATATGCATTAAACAGTTCATCCTTCATGGCTGTATTATTCCAAATTTATAATTATACCAGCCATCATCTTGTTGTGGCAAACTAAAACTCTACCTGATTAGAAATGGGATTGACTTCTAGAGGCACATCCTTTTCCCTGATCAATTCTAAAGCCTCAGGATGTTTGGTGATAGCGAAACCATGGCCAATACGTGAAGAGTTCAAAAGTAATGCATCAATTAAATTATTGTCTATATGGGTTCCTTCCCAGTCTGTAAAGAAATGAAAGCATGCTTGGAGTCAGAGATCTTTTAAATATATCTTTATTCATACCACTCTTTTACTTGGGCTTAAACTGTATGTTAATGTTTCAAGGGATTAATACAAAGTTAATTTAATTGATGTTTGGTATTACATATGAAGCACTTAATGCAGTGCCTTAGAAGTATTCTGTATGATACCACCTGACATTTGTAAACATCAATGAAGGAAGTGCTACAGTAAGATACATGACTAAATAATATATTAATGAACTCACCAGTCTCCCCAGCATGAAAGAAATACTTAAGGTCTATAGGTGGGTTCTGCTGTGACGGATACAGCAATTCATTGAGGTAATAAAGCAATGGATGACCTGGATCTTCTTGTCCTACCAGATCAAAACCAACAAAATGCATTGGATATTTCTGATGTAACCTAATGGCTTCCTTGACAGCCAATCCAACATCCACTTTTGGAACATTCCTAAAAGACAACAATGTAAATAAAACATGAGAAGGGAAATGTTTGTATTTTTCTTTGATTTGCAAAATGTACAATTCAGACTATCATCGTATAGATTGGCTATTATTTTTTACTTAATAAATTTATTATCATTTATTTATTCAAAACTCTGCATAATCTCAAACACTGGTTGATTTCAAAGGCACTTATCAAATGGATATCAAATATGCTATCAGCTGATAGTTCACATCCTAGATTGAGATAACTTAACACCAGAATACTGGGTCTGATTTCGTACCAATCATGAACAATGCAAAATGTAGCTGACAGCATTTTAATTTGAAATGCAGCCAATATTAGACCACTGCAGCCAATATCAGACCTTATGACATGCAAATACATCAAATTTAATGAAACATTAAAGAGAAATGTGTTCCATTGTCATCACATCTTTCAGAATTCAAACAAACCTGATCACAGAATAAATAATTTTTGCTCCTGAGAAATCTGGAAAATCCTTGACAAATTTTTCTGCAACTTCACTGTAAGTCTCTACTATCCAATCTTTATCATGGGTAGTGCCATCCAATTCATACACCTGTGAATCATAATAAAACAGTAATAACATAAGAGGATTTCCAGTTAAAAATATTCAATCTACCTGGACAGGATCCTTTCTAATGGAGGTTACTGCACTATACCTATGTTGCTACCTGTTGGTGCCCAGAAATGCATCTGGTTTTGTACAGGTAATCAAACAGAAGTGCTTTAACCAAGGATACCATAATTATAGGGCTGGCTGCAAACAGGTTTGACTTGTCTTTTACACAGCAAAATTACTCAATACATGTTTTTCACAAGAAAATGAAAGAAAATGTTACTTACAGCAAGATTTTGGTACATTGTCATGCATTGTGTGCATTCAAGTAAAAAACAATGATATTTTAGGAATATCTATTTCAATTACAACAACATATATAAACTGAATAAGTGAATCAGCACATCTGCGTGTTAAAAAGGTAGGACATGCACCTTTTACTTATCAATCATGTCTGCATTACATGCATACTAAACCTCCAAATATATGCTACAATGTTATTTACCAGGTGTCAAATATAAATATATGAACATAAATAAAGGTATACGCTGTTACCATATCTACCTCTGAGAGCAAACACCTGACTTCAATATACTGTACATTGTCTTCATAAAACTCTTTTAGGGCCTCATAGAAGTAATCCTTGAATACTGGAGCGTACATGATTAGACCTGTAGCTGAATCTAGAGCATCTAGAAACTTTTGCCAGACAATGTTTTGAGTTGGATATGCTTTGTGCGGGTCTGGTACATTTAGGGTCATATGTCTGTACAGTCTAAATTCAAAGAGAGAAACCGAGAGTCAATGATTTAATAAAGTCATCATTTTATGCATACATTTCATTTCCTATTGAACAAATTGCTTATAAATTTTGAAGAAAAAAAAAGTATTTTAACATCAGTCAGGTTTGCTTTAGCCATCACATTTATGACCAGTTTCAACAACAAAACTCTAAAGAGAAATTAGATTTCAAAGTCTTTAGTCAAACCTCATATGTAAAGGCACTGCAACTTATTTTACTTAACAGTCAGTTCAAATCACAAGAAAAATACTTACACTTCATCAAACTCTGTAGTATTTCCATAAGCTAGTCTCCATGACTCCAGTGTTTTCCAAGGGCAATCTGTAATATTCAAATTTGGAAATTTATTAAAATCGATTTGATATCAATAAAAACATCTTTTCAAATGTGAAATGTGTTTTACTACTTTTATACTTCAAACCATTGATATGGAATTTGTTAAAAATTTAATAATAGGCCTACTTATGGCTGTGCTTTGGCACTAAATAAAGTTTGCAAGGATTGTTGATGGTTGTAGTCAGTGTTAGAAATTAAGGCTGGACTGGGGCCAACAACTTTCAGAACAGGTTGAGAAGTTTTCCCACCCGGCAGACATTCCAGCAAGCTACTTTTCAAGATAGCTGAACTTTCGGTCCAGCAACTAATTTTCCTAAGATGCAAACACTGGTTGTAGTTTAGTATGGTTAGTTTATGTGTAATCAGAAACCATTGAACTTTTCTAAGCCTACAGTATGCAGACTAATCTAGTAAATCATATACAGCTCTGTATTCATGGGGAAACTCTAAAACCTGCCATGACATACCTATTTAATACTATATACTGCATACTGTGACAGTGTACTTGCGTACAACCTATCAGAATGTAACCTGTTCGTAACTCTGGATCACCCCTTACCCTAAACAAGATTGTATCATACAAGGATACTACCCAGGCCTGTGGCCTTGAAAAAGATATGAGGTTCATAGAAGACACACTTTTGCCAAGAAAAAGGTCCAGCCTTCATCAAAACTTCATCTGGCTTTTATATTATCACATGTGAATTTTGCAATTGAGGTCCACTTTAGAAAAGAAAAGATACCCTCCCCCTTGGAAACTGTTACATATGCTACACATGTCTAGAGATGGTGATCCAGCTATTAGTACAAGTAAATATGCAGTGCACTCAATTGCTTTTTTCTGTAATCAATACTCAGTTTGATTTACAGATCATACTACCACCTTTACAATCTATCCAAAACAAGGAATAGTACCAATTAACCAGTAAAATTCAGAAAGTGCAAACTTCATTAACATAATTTATTTCTTTTATTGACTATTTTGATTTATAAAACTTTGAGGTCTTTCAAATATTTTAGCCAACCCCATCATAAATTTGGAGAAAATAAATACATTTCTTATCTTTACCAAATATATAAGTAACTTTGTTAAGTTCAACTGGGTTCTAGCAATTGCTCCCACAGAAAAAAAGAAAATAGTACCTGGATTAGATGGTATAGAAGTGAAGAACCGAAAATGGAGGATTCCTGTTTTTGTGTTGTTGCACATGCAAGCGTGGGGTCTATAAGTGGCATTCTTCACCAGCCATTGTACATCAACCAAAGACACATCGTGCAGATGGAGAGCTGCTCCTACAAATCACAAAAAGCATTTTATAGTTACCTTGACTCATTGGGAGGGTGTTGAAAAAGTGGAAATGGAGTTTTCCTGTAGTTTGGTCAAAGCACATATATGCATTTGGTCTGTATGTGACATTCTTAACCAACCAATCAACATCAACCATTGTTACATCGTGCAGTGATAAAGCAGCACCTGGATTAAAGAAATATGTGATAACAGAATCATTGTAGGAAATAGGAATCAATGAAAAAGACCAATGACAAATCATATTTTTAATGGCAGATTCCCATAAACAAAATGGTCTATATGGATCAACCCAACTCTGCAGAGATTCATGCTGAGTGCAATCAGTTTAACAGATTAACACTCCTCCTGGCTTTAAGTAGAATACAGAGCAGCTAATGATTATACAAGTTTGTTGGAAGCAAAAAGAGGCATGTCATTCAATAAAGCTGACTGTCACAGTCTGCACAGAGTTGGGTTGATCCACTAGACAGATGGTGCTTTTATGGGAATGAGGTCTAAGGGACCATTCCCACAGATATTTGGATCAATCTAAGCATGGGAATCCAGTCTAAAACAGGAAATGTCTTATAAATGTCTTATATGCTTTTTGTTCATTTTGCTTTACATCTTATAATGGAAAATGTGTTTCTATGTTATTATTTCTCCTAAACTAATTTTCTTATACAATCTATTTGTCATTCCAGTTTAAAATATATACAGAGTTCTTACTTATAAATTCTTTAAAGATACTGTGTAAAACTAGAGGATCAGAGAGGCAATACCGCCTCCAGATATTGTACCACCAGCTGGAGTAAGCGCATTCGTATGGAAAACCCCCCAAAAAAGGGACACCACCTCCAGTCTTGTGCTTAACAAGCTCTATAAAATGCAATCAACAAGAGTTCTCAAAATATGTAAAAAATGCAAAAGAATAAAAAATAAAAAAACTAAAAATGGTCCAATCATGCAGATTTTTTCCTAACATTGATCACTCCTGTGATTTTTTAGACAATAGACCCATTGTTTTTCCTTGAAATGTGTTATCAATGTTGCATTTGTAGTATGGGGGCAACACTATGGGCATACCTCTGCTAGTTTTTAAAGATATGAGGGGCAAAAAAATATGCAAAGTTCAGTTCTTGGTGAAAAAGTAGGTCAAAGGTCAATTTCAAGATCACAGTATATGACTTCCTATTCAAGTTCAATAGTAACCATGGGAATTTCTTTGCCAATTTTGGAGATATAAATGCCAGAAAACATGCAAGGTGCAGTTCATCATACAAAGTACAGGTAGGTCAAATCTCAATTTCAAGGTCATAGATAGATTGCCAGTATATGACTTTCTATTCAAGTTCAACAGTAACTTTGGGTGTATCTCTGCCAGTTTTCGAGATATAAAGGATAGAAAATTTGCAAAGTTCAGTTCTTGGTGAAAAAGTAGGTCAAAGTTTAATTTCAAGGTCACAGTATATGACTTCCTATTCAAGTTCAATAGTAACCATGGGCATTTCTTTGCCAATTTTGGAGATATAAATGCCAGAAAACATGCAAGGTGCAGTTCATTATTAAAAGTAGGTCAAAGGTCAATTCCAAGGTCATAGTTAGATTGCCAGTATATGACTTCCTATTCAAGTCCAACAGTAACTTTGAGCGTATCTCTGCCAGTTTTCGAGATATATAGGATAGAAAATTTGCAAAGTTCAGTTCATGGTGAAAATCAGGTCAAAGGTCAATTTTAGGGTCACAGTTAGATTGCAAGTATATGACTTCCTATTCAAGTTCAATAGTAACTATGGCCGTATCTTTGCCAGTTTTGGAGATATAAGGGACTTAAATGTTGCAAAGTTCAGTTCATGGTGAAAAGTAGGTCAAAGGTCAATTTCAAGGTCACAGTTACATTGCCAGTATACGACGTCCTATTCAAGTTCAATAGGAACTATGGGCATATCTCTGCTAATTTTGGAGTAATTCAAAATTTATTTTCACCACTGAATAATGCGTTGTACTTTTTTATATAGCGCAACGCATTATTCAGTATCGAAAACAAAAACATGGACACCACCTCCAGTATTGTGCTTGACAAGTTCTACCATTTGCAAAATTCAAAAGGTCTCTGGCATTTATGGTTCCAGAATTTGAGAGGGTTTTCAATTTCATATGTAATGGCTGCTTCTCCCATGAAAATGCACCAATTGACCCCAAACTCTCAAAGATGAAAGGAGTTCCTGATTGTAATCCCTCACTATAATATGAGAGCTTAGGTATGTGTAGTTTCTGAAAATTGGTACAAACAAATATGTTTTAGCAGAAAAGTCCCATTTTTAGAAAATTTTGGCCCGTTTGACCTTGAAATAAAGGTCAAAAGTCAAATCTCAGGGCATATTTGGAATCTCCACATATGACTTTTGGTCAGACTTCTGTAGTAATTTTCCCATAATTCCTTCGGTTTGGGAGATATTTAGCATTGAATTTTCCAAAATTTGGACAAGGGTGTGTTTCAACGAGCGTCACGCCCAGGCCAAAGCACCAATGAGACAAAAATATCAGGGGGTTCTAGTTGAGATTATATGTGATCTAAATCCAAGAGATGGGGACACTTGCGGTCTAGGAGGAGAAGCGGTAACGGTGACTTGTATCCCACGACACCCTGTGGAGCCAACGGAGCCGGCGGAGCTCACGGAGCCAGCGGAGCCGTACGAGACAGGTCGGGACTAAAACCATGAGTACCGCCAGCGTACACGCTGGTGGTACTAATAAAACAAAAGCATTTTGTTCAATGACAGTTAACAGTGTCTAAAGTACATGTAATGCTCATGTACAACATATCTTGCACAGTTACTTAAGGTAACATACGATTTAAACCGGACTTCTGACTGTTTGTCTTACCCCCAGACTAAGTACCTTAACACTATATCATCATTTACAACATGTGTGTCAAAGTGCAATGAATCCCTAGAGCTATTTCAGGAGCAATACTTGGGGAGTAGTATGTATATTTAGTGCAAGTGCAAGCTGACCTTTAGTCCTTACCTTTTGGCATTCTCCTTACAATATCATATATTTCACTATCTTCAATATATGCTTTGGAATAGAAAAAATGTAGGGCGGCTGGATAAAAGCCGGTTTTTTTGCCATGGCGGATTTCTTCAGATTTGTGGTTCATCAGGACCGTGTTGACAGTCTTTTCCTTGTCTGTCAATTCTATTTTCCCTCCTGTTCGCATAGAGTGTTCTGTCAGTAACAGCTTTGCCCTCTGTTGTAAATATGTGCCATTGTTCACAGCGATTGATGGATGGATACAATAACATGTTATCACCCAAAGTAGCACATGTAATACATAAAACATAGTGCTTGATTTGCTGGAAGAAAGATCGCGAATATCCGCCACCTAAAATGTCTAACGAAAAGTAAGCTTGCTGTAATTCTCACAACCTGACCTCTTGTCGACCTTGTGAAGGTGAAATTTTATCCAATGCTTAAGCAATTTCTCACCATGGCTTTGATTGGGTTGAAACAAGTAGAAGCTTGTGGTTTGACCAATCAGGCCGACATTCACATTTCGCAGCCACGTAAACAAGAGGAGCCGCAACTTGAGTTCAAAATAGTGCTGAGAAAAAAGAGAATCGCTATACCGCAATTTTTTGCAGTTGGTGAAGGTTAAAAACATCCATATCAATCGAAACGTGTAACTGCAAGCTGAAACTTAGGTTGTGTGGGTAAAGATATCCGCAATCTAGGCCGTCCACTGCCGAAGCAAGGGACAAGGGACGACGATTGCAGGCAACCAAAACAACGAGTGCGTACGTGGCGATTGTTTTTCCATCAACCATGTCTGGATGGGTATCCTCTGTTTACTCGTGCATTGTTAAGGTGAGAAAGGTATACTTGTAAACTGATCTTTGATTTATCATGATGTTGTTGTAGAGGATTGTAGTACAGCGATTGATAAAACACTGACGTTAACATATCACATAATGATAAGTCGCCTATTCTGAATGGGGCCACTGTGTTTTCAAAATTTGTGTTCAAGCCAAATTTAATTTTGGTTACAGAGTAAAAAAAAGTAATTTTGATTTTTTAAATAATATTTTGATAATTAAAAATAATTTGGAATTTAGTGACACCCCCTAGGTTGCATATTTTTCACTTTAACATATCCAGATTACTCTTTTCCACATTATACTATACCCCCTCTTTTTTGCTTCTATTATTATTATTGTTCTTACTATTATTATTATTATTATTATTCTTGTTCTTACTATTATTCTTAAACAGAAACCTGCTTCAGAACAGGTTGAGGTTATATTAGATCCCAATGATGTGAAAGAGACTGATGCTCCTGAGTACAGTGCTGACAAGAAAACAGATAATGTAGAGGGTAAATATTTTTTCTCATTGTTCCCATTAATAGCCTACTAGTATTATATTCACAATTTGATAGTTTTCATCTTCTAATAGATCACCAAACCTCTAATTTTTGTTAATTTATTCATCATACTGTATGATAGGCAACATTAGTCAAATGAGTCAAATGTAGAAATGTATGAAGTCATTACATTAAAATGAAAAAATTATTTTGTGCAGCAAACTTATTTTAGTGTCATATATGTCAGATTCAACATCATTTGCTAGAACTTTACTTTCTGAATTCATTCACAAATATTTTTTGGTCATTTTCTCCACAGTGGGTGTCCCACAGCTTCCTAGGATGATATGCATTGCGTAGAATTTCACCACATTGCTGAAAATTTATAAGTCCACCTTTACAGATTTTCACACATTTTCTAGTCTTGTAAGATATTGGGTATTGCCAACAGACTGATCTCATGTGATTTCCATTGAAATAAAAACTTACTTTTCATATCAGAATTATCAAATTCAAATTCAGAACCCCAGCAATCACCAGGAATGGTGTGGCGACTATCTAGTGGCGTTTTCAATACAGCAACTGGAGCTGTCGGACTGGGAGTTGGAGGTGTAAAGTGGGCAGCAAGTAAAGGCTATAATGTAGGAGCTGCAGTAGTCAGTGGGTCTCAAGCTGTTGCCAGTAAAGTTCCAGTAGTCAACAAATTACCAGGTCTTTCAAAGAAGGACAAAAGTGATTGAAGTAATGAAACTGAAATATGTTAAGAAGTTATTTTTAAACTCCACTTTACGTGTCAAAAACAGATTTTTTCTGATGAAACAATTTATTTTGGTGCATGCATTATAAAAATGCAAAAATGTTTTTAACTTACACAAGGTATATAGATATTTATCAGACAATGCTTAATACCTTGGTGATTATGAAAATGGCCCGAGTCTGTTATTAACTCATTTGCAGTTTACTTCACTCAGTTTTACTGGCAAAAATGAAAGAATGGCGCTTTAAGTAACTAAGTGTAGGATTTTACACACCTAGTAAGTACATACACCACTAAACTTATCCTGCTAAAATTATCTGAGGACTAAGTAATACTCTACCATTTTTTAAAAGATAAATATCAAGAATAATTTCAAAAAGAGAACAATAAGAAAAAAAACGAGTTTACCACTTTCTGATATACCATTTCACCCATTAACCACCTTGGAATAGTTCTAAATTGTGCAAGAATGGAACTTGAGGGATGGCAGAATTTGAAAGATTATTGCTGAAGTAAGGTCAAGTACTTTTTAATTTCCCCAGATTGTTTTTGAGTTATGGTTGAATGTCAGGAAAGAATGATCAGATGTTGGTTATTTGCAAAAAAATACTGTTTACCCCAATAAATTCATGTTTTTCAAAAGTTTGATCATTTTTTACTGTAAAATCCTACACTGTGCAACTTAAAGGAGTGTTATATTTTACTTAAGGAGTATTATGTAAAATTGAAAATAGAACATGAAATCAAAGCAACCCATGCAGGTAAAAGGTCACATTCATTTTATCATTTTGTTTTCAGTCTTGTATGTCTTAAATCTTAAATGCTGTGTATCGGCAATCAATTGCAACAAATGAATGGGTCAGATGCCTTCAGATTGCCCTAGTATAGGAAACAGGAAATATGTTCAACTTAATGCCTAAATTTTAAAGGTCAATCACTAAATTATAAATAGGGAACTATCTTTGCAGACAATCCCTTTCTTACAAAAATGATGAATTTCCATGTTGCAGAGATCATTGCAGGAATTTTGCATTTTTGAATAGTTATTTGCATTTATAAGCTTCTAGTTCTACTGGCATATCCTTTAGAACAAGTAAATGAATATGATGTTAGATTTTAACTTATCTGAAAGAACCTGTTTCAAACCAGGTTGTTGTAAGCAATTGGATTGGATTGGCATTTGTTATTAGCTGTTAACTCTTATCATCTTGTATGGCTGTAATTATGGCTGTAAGCCTTGATGCATCATATTTCATGGAAATCTATGCAGTTGTTTGATGTAGATATGAACATCATTTTAGCAAACCGTCCCCATTTATTTATAAATGATCATCATTTATTCACTGCACTTTGACAAGAATATCATTTGCATTTTGCTTACATTTTAACTTAGAGGAAACTTGTCAATTGATGTTAAAACTTGGAATTATGCTCCAATTCAAAATTGACATAGGGTAGTAAAATCAATTTGTATAGAATGTTTCTAAACTTCTAAACTCTAAAGGTGTTCCTTTTTTTGTAAGTGTTGTAGGTGAATGATGTAAATAAAAACAATCATAAACAATGGTGCATAAAAATCTGTGATGCTTATTCTATTTTGAAAATTCGTAAGTTGCATGTTTCCTGGAATTGGTGTTAAGTAATATAAGCATGTTGCAAGAATAGTACTTTAAATATTTTCAATTTTTTTCTTTAAAAAAGAGAAATCTTGTCATTGTGAAAAGGCATGATTGAATGGGTGCTATTGCCTTTACATTCAATGTTCAGAATCCAACCATTTGACCTGCACAATTATTTTGTCAGTATGTGTAGATTTTATGCATAGATATATTTGCCATGGGATATTGTATCCTCGGTGTTATAATGATCTGTAATATATAAAGGTTTCATAAATACATCTAAATGATCTCACTTAAAATGTCAGACTTTCACTCCTTGCAGGCTTAGCACATGAATGCTCAGTGGTAACACAATACATTCGAGAAGTCGGTTGTTTGCCATTACTACAGTAGTAAAAGCTCTTAGATTAACGTGTGGGTTTTCAATCCCTCATAGTACATTTAAATTGATTACCGTAAAGGGATGACAGCTCTTCATTTTGATGGGAAAAGTGCCATGAAAAGAATATTCCTGGGGTAATCGTCATTTTTCTTTTACTTTTCAATAGTTAGTGAATCCTTTATGAGAATCAATGTTGGCCTATTTTTTTAAGTTTGGTTTTTGTAATAATTTCTGAAAAGTAAATTAGGAGTGTAGCCATCTATGAAGGTTCACATGATCAGATGGTATGCACAGATTTCACCATTCTTGTGGTAAAATGGAATTTATTATATTGCTATGGCTGCATTCAGAACAGTGGACTAACTAGTCTGAGGGTCAAATATGGCAATCCACTAAAAAGCTTGCCATCCAATCCCCTAATAGATATTGTATAGATTCCTGGTGGGGAACTTTTCAAGTGGGTGGGCTATATATTTGACCCTCAGACTCGTTAGCCCACTGTTAGGAATGCTAACATTCTTAACATTTGTTAGTAGCAATGTATTTATTGCAGAATTTCGAATCTCATATGAAGAGTTGTTATCCTTTTAATGGAAGGCCTGTCAATTGCAAGTCACCAGATGTTGCAATTTTTCAGTAGTCAATGGTTCATCAGTAATCTATTAAGATCATGTTATTGCATTTATACTTTCAGCATAATGGCCTTTACATAGTACTTCTAGTCAACATGTTCTGGTCTCTGTACATATGTATTGGCAACTTTACTTAGTGTCATTTAAATAGTAAAAAAAAAAGGTTCAAAGAGTCGGTGATAATAGCCAAGTCATGCATATTAGGCAATTTATTGTGAAGAAAATGTTTTTATCAACATTTTTTTTTTCTTCGAATCTTTTCTTCCTTTTGTATATATATGCCATACAGAATACATTTCTTGGGTTTTGGAATGGTTACTCATTAACATATTATTGTTCCCAGTATTATGTTCACAGTTATATGTTTATATAGAGAAATAAATTATATATTTACAACAACAAAAGAAGTGTTGATGTCCAATAGTATAACAAAATTAAAACAATTCCCAGAATAAAAGCATGTGTCAAAAAAAAAATAATAATAATAATAAATAAATAAAATAAAAATCCAGTCCTTTTGTATAAATGTTTAAATAATGTGTCTCCACCTGAAATCCCTCCTATACAAAGGATCTTCTGGAATACAATTAGGGAATGTGGCATTAGATGTGTAGTTTTCTATAATGTCCATGCAGTCCGGTTTTGGTTTATTTTCTGCAATATTCACTCATTGCACACATTGCTTAATACCTCTTATGCAGAATTTCTGAGTGTACAAATCACTTGAGAATTGCAGTCTCGCATATTTCAATACCCAAGTGTTTTGGATCAAAGCAGCACCATATAAAATGTGTTTTGAACTTCTTCCAATGGAGAATATAAGATAAGTTAATTTTTTGTCTTTTTATAATCTGCTACACTGTCTGCTGCAAGGATTTTTCTTTTAGTTCCATTGTCATTTGGTGATATTTGGTCTTTTTGGTTAATTGATTGAGACTGGTTTTCTTTATCCTGCAATTATAAAATGACAAACAGAAGTATAAAAAAATTCCATGCATTGTTTTAGTAGTACTTTTACATTAACCCTTTTTCAGGCAGGGCTCTTGATTAAATAATTGAAATAAATAAAAAGATTTGACACATTACCTTTGCAAGCAAGTCTTTAGCATATTTGGCAGTCCATTCCTTAGCATTCCTTATAAACAAAGGCTTGTTGTACTTGAACTCATTGGCCTAAAACAGTCAAGTCATGCAAGTATGTACCAAGTCCATATCAACAGACTGGTCTGACATTCTTTATTGTTCAAATTCACTCACCAGATATAACCATATTACACACAATTTATGGCAATATCAGATAACAACTGTGTTCATAATGAACAGGTGGCTTTTTATACATCACATCTATCAGTATGACATGGTAAAAGAAAAACACTGATTATAAATACAAGTCCAACATGACAAATTATTCAGACATAATCTATCTGCATTTACTTGATAAACTGGAACATAACACAAACCTTAAACTTATAATAAGTTGGCAAAGTACCAGTCAATTAGACTGGGTTCCCATGCCTAGATCGATCCATCTGGATCAACTTAACTCCCTGGGGGTTCAAGCTAAATTGTTATCAGCTTAAGAGGCTTAAATGCCTGTCACACCAAATCAGCAAGGGGGGTAATTAACTTTCTTGCACACTCAGCCTCACCCGATAGCAGATAGCAATTTAGCGAGACTCCCCGTGGAGATAGATCGATCCAAATATCTTTGGGAATGGTCGCTTAGAATGGATATGTTACAGTTATTAGTGTTTGACATCTGACTTGCCTTTTTTTTTATAAAGAAATTAACAACAGACTATTCGTAAGTGTAAAGTGATTTTCTTCAATCAACAACTAATATTGCTATTACCTAAACTTGTAAACAATTTCAATATTAGCTGTTGATTGAAGAAAATCACTTAACGCTTACTCTTATGATACACACAGCTGATGAAATTCTTCTCGAGCTAGTCTGTTTCTATGATGCTTTTTACTGTTCATATAGGTTTCTGGTTCAATTATGTCAGGAATATAATCAAACATTCCAAAAGATATCACGACAAACTCATGAAACAACAGTCACTGGATTGAAAAAATGTTTTCATTGCACCATGTGGTAACTTACAATGTCAGTCATGAGTGGATCCTCAGGGTTAGGTTCTGCCATTAACAGTTGTACAGATGTGAGAACTGTGGATATGTTTAAGGCTGGTTTCCAAGCTCCCTGTTAAGGGTCAAATGATAATAGATTTAGTACAAGATATAATTGTTAGAAAAAAAACAAAAGAAACAGGAAAGACAGATTGTTAATCACTGTGAGTTTAAAGCCAACTGACATTGCTGCTTCCCAGTTATTGGAATAACAAGATGTATACATTGCTCCAACTCCAGCATTGGTTCCAGCTCTGGAGACAGACACTGTGTCACACACTATTGCATTTGTACATAAAAAGCAAAATACAAGATTTTTTAATTTTAAAAGGCAATATGGTGATATAATAAAAGCATATACAGTACCTTAGGTGGCATCTTCAGTGTATCCAAACATATCCTCCCAACTGTATCAATATTGGGATGATGGATTGGTGTAACAAAGTGAACTTTGGGAGGTTCAAATGGATACCTTGAAATAATGCTTTTAATATTTTAACAAAAGCAAAACTATAACAATCTGAAAATTATAATTTCAAAAATCACTTTTTTTCTATTCTTCTCAGTCTTCTCTTTGCTGAACCATCACATGGATGCTTCAATTTTCATTATCACAGATGACATACTCAAATTTTTTTCTGATATCATTTACTCATCAAAAAATAAAAAAGTAGTCTTGTGAGTAAACCTGTCAAAATATTTCCATAAGTAAAAAAGAAGCAAAAATGTAGTTTTTTTATGTTTTGAAATATTTGCTGTGAAGGTACTTTTTTCTT